TTATTTTAGAAAAGAATTTCTGATGCCTCATCGTAGTAGTACAAACATATATATTTATTTTGATCTGATCGATTGCAGTAAGTAAGCAAATATTTTCCCGGAATTCATAAGTTTGATTTATCGGCCAGGTAAACAAGGAAACCGTTTAAATTGAGTGGTTTCCCCATTCACTGAAAAGCGATCATGTCCTTTGTTTTCTCTACTTATTATTTTTGTTTTTTCCTCAACCTTTTTTAGGGTCATTTTTCGGCCGCCACGCGTCGTGCCGGCGCCGCTGCCAACTGAGCCAATTTTTTGTTTATCTAGGACACGTTTTTGTTGCCCTCGGTCAACCTCAAAAAGGACACAAAAAAGAACGAGCCTGCCACGCGATTTGCAAATCTTCTTCTGCCAAACAAAAAACAATTGTAGCAAAAAATTAGAGCAGACCCGAGTCGGGCAATGCAATCCCGTTCCAGGATCTGGGCCAGTCGGGACTCGGGCATTTCTAGAAAAAAAAAACAAATGCAAAAACAGTTCGCGGAATCCACAGCGGGATGCTGCCCCGACACTTGGCCTTGTTTTTTGCCCGGAATTGCGTAAATGGCCGTCGCTGAGGCCGTCGATTCCAGCGCTCTCAATGTCCTGAATTTTTTAACAACATGCCATAAACAAATGTGCGCAGATTTTTTCACGGTCCCAGGTCTCGGATCGCCGACAGGCAGCAGCGAATGTAGTTCAGTGGCCGTTTTACGGGCAATCTAGATCTAGGCCTTCGAACCTAATCCCGATGCGGGATCGAGGGATCAGGATCTAGGGATTTTATGACCGTTGCGTAGCCGCTGGTATTGCATAACATTGCGTTCGCAGGCCTGGCCATGCTCTCATTATGTCATAAGCGAGCTGGAACAATGGCCAGCCAGCCAGCCAGGATCTCGATCCTAGCAGAATTTCATGACGGAAGGTGAAGGTCTGACGGCGTGCGCTGCTTAGGTAATTTTCAGGACACTTTAAGACTCGGCATTCAACACCTCGTCAAGCAGCGTTTCCTGTTTGTTTGCTCATGAATAAGTTCATGAGATATTCCCCTAGTGAATAAATTCACACTACATCTAACGGTAGCCACATCCGCTGGCTGTTTGAAATTTTAATTACCCAACCGGGCCAGGCAGGATCTATGGCTCAGGAAGACAGGTAGCTCGCCAAAGGACCTGCCCCTCCGACAATTATTTCCGGCACTCCTTTTCGCCTCTTCAAACGAAATCTCTCCGTATCAAGATTGCCCTTCCGTCACGCCCCCATCAATGGCATTGGCAAATGGGTATTGAAACCCTAAAAAATCATTTTGTTAGCATCTAGTTTGCGGTGCGTTCTGTGATGATGCGCCCACTGTGCACCAAAGGAGGTCCCATCGCCTGCTCCCGCCGCCGGCGAGGATCTACCCACGTCCAGGGCAAAGCAAGGCAGAGTCGCAAGGATGCACATGACGCCGTCGGCACAAACGGTGACGATTGAAGACCCCAGAACAAAACGTTACAAGAACATTCGAAATACACAGAGAGAAAGGAATTTGGACAGGAATTTAAGAAGAAAAAACCAAAGGAAATCTTGCTACCTCTTTTTATTTGCAAGGAAAAGAAAGTAATTGATTTAACATTTAATTATTTTGAATACACACTTCAAAGTATTCAATATTTTTCATTTTTCTATAAACTTATTACATTATATTTAATATTCCCTAAAAATTTCTCTAATTTTATTATTTAACAGAAACCCCATTTTAATCTCAGAAACTTCTCAAATATTTCTCTGACTCCACCAGAGAGTGTCATAAAAATAACCAGGCCAGTATACAAAGCAAAACCGAAACAGAAACAAAACAGAATCGTCTGCGGATCCTTTATGGCGGCGCAGATTGGACGGTGAGATTTGAAAGGGGCGCGTGATCGCCATCAAAATGCTCGTGGAGGCAATTTAAATTGCTGAACCGATCCAGACCGAACCGAGCGGCGCGTGCAGTTCCCCAGCAGGCAGTTCCAGGTACAGACACGATCCAGAACCTGCTACCGCTCCCGATCTCCATCGGAGCTCCCCCGAGCAGGAGGAGGCAGATATGGGTGTTGAAATACGTTTTCTCTCCTCATTTTTGGGTTTATTTTTAACAAGCTGCCGGCAGGAATCAAGGTTATGGGTCTAGGCGGCTCAGTAAGTGTCAAATTTTTTGCAGACGAATGCAACTTTGTTTGGTGCTAATTTATAGTTATATTTTTCGCGTAACTAAATTGCTGAGAGTAATGTTCAAGTGGTTTTGTTTTATTTCTGTTGAATGGAGAACGAAATTGTTCCTTTTGTTCAGGTACTTTTAAACTTGGTTCGCAGAGACTCAAAATAAGAATCTATACGACATATATTGGTAAATTTTTACCTAGAAATTGTTAAAAATTAATTTAATTGCCAAAAATATTCTCAAAGCCTTAATCTTCTATCGTGCCAGATTATATCATATTTATTTATCTTTATACCTTTGCTATATACATATATGTATATATATATGTATATACTATACCTATACCTATTATACTTTCACTCAGAAGATTGCAAAGCAGCGAAGTCTCCTTTCCGACTAAATAAAGTATATATATATATTTGATCAGCATCAACAGCCGAGTCGATCTAGCCATGTCCGTTCTGTCTATTCTTGTTTTTATTTATTTTTCTATATGCAAAATGAAAACATTTGAAAATTCAAATTCACCTCAAGAAACTGCTTTACCTAAGCAAGCAGTGCAACCCTACCCGCCTAACGATTCTTGCTCGAGTCCGGTCGCCACTCGGGCTGCTTGCTGTTTGGCCCAGTGGTTAAGGCATCAGACTGCCAGTCAGAGTTGCGTAGGTTCGAATCCGGTTACTTTTTATTCCCTTTTTTTTTTTATTTTTTTATATGTTATTCATTTAAATATATATATTTTTTTTTATTTTAAGAATTGTTTCGAGTTATAGGTTTCCTTTTTGTATATTTAAAATCTACTTTGTGCTTTGTTCTAGTTCTTATTATGATTTTTCCTCTTTTATTTTTCTGTTCTTCTTTATTTTTATGTGTTCATTTCTTATAAAAAAAAGCGTAGTAAAAAAAATCATTTCATTAAGGGGGAAAATATATATATTTATATTTATCAAAAACCCCAAGGACTTCTTTTCTACTTTAAATGTTTGCGTTATGTTTAACAATTATCATCAGCATGAAATTATCTACTATTTAAACCTAAAATGGGTAATAAAAATAAGTTGTATTAGTTAATTCCATAGAGCTGTTAGCAAATGGGACATATAGACGTGCTCCGGAACATTTCCCCGTTGGCCACAGCTAATAGTATGGCGGAGGGTATCTGGGCGAATCCGCGGATAGGAGTGCCACAAACTCCTGCGGAGAATTATTTGTCTATTGTTCCGGCTAGAAAACCAAAACCTGGGTATAGACCTTTTGGGGTAAGTGTGTACACACCAAATGTGGCAAAATATAAAATTAAAGCGATTTTTTAGGCTTGCGGTATAAATATTCTTGTACGCTTCGCACGGCGTAGCATTTCTTGCCATATTTAAAATTAACATCGCAAAATAAATGAAGAATACCTTTGCAGAAATGCTCGAGGCCATGCTAGCCAATGTTTCGACGCCAAAGGATCTGGAGAACGCGGCGATAGCGGCCGAGAAGGCCTATTGGCAGCTCCTGAACACCCTGAATACGACTCCACTTTAAGCCCTACAGCTGGTCTTGTTGAAGGGCAAGATATTCAACACGTTGCAATCAAAAATAGGAGAAATGACGACTGTATTGCATTTGTTAAATGATAATTGTCTCGAAGTACTCAAGTGGCGTTTTTATTTTAAAAATTTGTTCCCGATTTTTTTTATCAAAATTGCGAGTCAAAGCCCCGATTTTGACAAAAAAAAAAAATTTTGTTCACTTATAAAAAAATATAATAAAATTGAAAATTAAAAAAAAGTACCTGTAAAATTAGTTAAAGATGTTATGTTTCAAATTTTAAAGTGATTGGTTCAGTAGATTTTAAGTTATCGAACGCTTTAAAATTTGTGGTTCTCATACATTGAACACCAAACGACCTACGTTCAACACTGCATAACTTCGTGAATTTTGGTATGATAGATGTAAAACTCTCCTCAAAACTCCGACTTTAAATTTATTGTAAAAAGAAGAATAAATATTTATGCAATTTTGGTTGTGCATATATATATGTATAGTATATAATCTTGAAGGAAGCTCTAAGGTCATAAACAAGGTTTTCCTGTAATTATTTCACACTTGTGATAATTTACAGCCATAAAACCCAAAAATAAAAAGTCGTTTTATATATACCGTTTAATATTTTTATAGACCAACATTTAGTAAAGCTTTTTGTTTTATTGTTTAGTTCTTAATAAAAACCTGAATAAATGCATTTCAGTGACTCCTTGTCGCTGGGCAATCAAATAATTCTTTGAAATAAAATAAGGAACCCCAAACTGGCTGCACAAAACCGAGTTTTATTAACACAAACAAGGCATTAATATCAATTTTGGTTTCACTTGACTGTAGAGAGCATATAATTGCGGGTTAGCAGCTGCTGCTGCTCCAGAATATCCTCCAGCTCGGAGGAGGCAGCAGGTATCTCCTCCCCCAAAGCTGTCTGAAGAAATCAGCGCCAATTGGCCTCAAAGCAAATATTTGCCTCGAGTGGCAGTTGTTAGGCTTCAGCCTGGGATAATGACAGGATCGGACACTGAAGACAGAGGAGCTGCTTTTCACACCATCTGAGGCGAAAAGGTGCGAGAGCACACACCTCTGGGCAAGAGCACAGTTCCTGTCTCAGTCGAGGATTCTGGGAAGTGAGCCTGGCAATAAAACGTTGCTCCGAATTAGCGCTTTATTGCGTGTTTGTTTGGCCAGAGAGCTGCAAATGCGGATTCAGTCAATCCTTTAAATCCGTTAAGTTCTCGTTAAGACAAGGGACCAGAAACCAGTGTAAATTATAGCCAGCGGCCAAGAAATTTATTGTGAAGGGCATAATAACAGGCAGCGGATCGGAGCTGGGCCCCATTCCTATATACATATATATAATTCACGTGATCCTCTTTATAATATGTGTAAGCTTTTATTGACATTCGCAGCACCTGCTTCATCGTTTATCACCCGACTATTTACACGTCGTCTCCTGTCTCCTGTCTCCTGTCCCCACCTGGAGGCAGTCCTTGTTCCTTGGGTTCCTTAGAGGCATTGTATAGCTCAGCTATCGTCCTTCCTGGCGGTGCACCGTTTGTAGGCCTGGCTATTTCGACGCCACTTGCGCCTTATATCACATGTGGTTGCGGTATTTATGGAGTACCAGTTCCAGCTTCCAAAAACTTCTTCCATCCTAGGCCAGCTCGCCGATCAGGCACTGTGGCGTGTACACGCTGGCCAGAGAGTCCCAGCCGCAGTCGGCCAGCTGGTGGGCCCGATGCGGATTCCAGTCCAAACCACACACAAACTCCGTGTGGTGGGCATTGATCTCCTGGGCGGATTCCCCACGCTCCAGGTTCCAAATCCTAGTAAGAAGATAGAGGATTAGATAATATCTATATGAGAGTCCGTGACTCAACACCTACCTTGTGGTAAAGTCATAGTTGGCCGATGCCAAAACCGCGCTCGAGTGCGGTGAACAGGCCAATCGCCGGACGGCGAACTCCCCGGAGTACAGCTCAAAGACATGGGTCCTCATCTTGCGCAGATCCCATCCACGGATTAGGCCATCGGATCCTCCAGTCACCAGAACGTTGCGATCGAAGTGCGACCAGTCGCAGGTGAGCGCCTCGCTGGCATGGGCCTCGATGCTCATCAGGGGTTTGCCTGCAAAGTCAAGAGAGTTCCATAAGTTAAGGTGTCCGTCGGTACTTACGCTAGCAAACAGATTGGCAATCAGAGGCGAGAACTTGGCGCCGTAGATCAGGTCGTGGTGGCCCACGAAGGTGGTGATCGAGTGCTGCCGGTTGCAGTCCCACAGCTTCAAGGTGCAGTCCCAGCTGGCCGAGAGCAGCGTGTGGTAGTTCCACTTCTCGCCCCAGTCCAGGCTGTACACCTCGTTCTTGTGCTCCTGCAGGCAGATTAGCGGCTGCTTCGGCGTCTGCTGTCCCGTCGCCGACTCCGCGTCCAGGCCGCACCAGATCTGCAAAGAACCGTCACCGGAGGCAGTGGCCGCGATGTCGGGCGCATAGGGACACCAGGCGACGTCGAACAGGCCATCGGACCACTCCAGACGGCACAGTTCCCCCAGGCTCTGGCCATCTGCAGTGGTCGAGTTCTGTTCCAGCAAAAAGAGAGAGCCACCGCCCGCAAGACCGTACAATTGGCTGAAAGGAAAGGGATTTGGGATTTAGCTTTTGGAAATTAGGAGAATGAAGAAAGTGGTCTCACCTGGTGGCCAGCAGCAAGTAGTTCGCCTCGAAAGGCGAAAAGCGCAGGCTATAGCCATGTCGGTCTGTGGTGGTGTGTGTTTGAGTCTGCATTTTGTTTTGGACTTTTAACTGGAAGGAAATTGGGAATATTATTTATAAGAATTTATTATTTATATTGAAAATAAACATTATAAATTGCAATACAAAGTAAAGACACTTTTTAAGTGTAAAACATTCTTAAACGTTTAAATATATATCGCCTTAGGGAATTTCCCCCTTCCTCTTTTGTTTCCTAATAACAGTTTTGACCTTTGTCAAATTTAAGACATTCTAATTCCTTTATGAAAAGGTGCCCAGACCAATCGATATATCGACGTTTGATCCATAACAGAATAAAACTTGTGGGGTTTCTCCCCCACTAAAGATACCTGGAATACTGGGATGCCGAGAGTCTCTCTCCCACTGATAACACCTAGGGTAACCTCTAATCAGATACTAATCCAGCTGCGTGTCGTCCAATTATGCAACAGTTGGCCACATGACCTCGCAACCATACTTGACATTAGCCAATTTATTCCGGACAAGTGGCAAACTGCGCAAAATGTGCTGTGAACTCGGGGGAGGTGGATACCTCAGGGTGGGTTCAACACCCACAAGTCACACCTCCCTGGGCCGTGTTCTTTTCCGCCGCAGTGTCCAAACAACTGCATAACGCGCAAATCCAGTTAGTGGCCAGAGCGAAGAAGACCCACGGACAGGGCCAGGGCAAAGGTATATAAGCAGGTTGCACGGCTTGGGGCTTTCGCATTTTCCTCCGCCGATCGCCCTGGAAAACTCTACGCGCGCACTCTGAGCTAAGGACCCAGTTACCCAAGGATATATATATTAGTTAGCCAAGGACACCAGCAGCACCAGGACAGCTAACATGGTCGTCTCCGTGAAGGTCTTCAAGAAGGCCACGCCCAACGGCAAGGTCACATTTTATTTAGGGCGCCGAGACTTCATCGACCATCTGGACTACTGCGACCCCGTGGATGGGGTCATCGTAGTGGAGCCGGAGTACCTGAAGAACCGCAAGGTCTTCGGCCAGTTGGCCACCACCTATCGCTATGGCCGCGAGGAGGACGAGGTCATGGGAGTCAAGTTCTCGAAGGAGCTGATCCTGTCGCGGGAGCAGATCGTCCCCATGACCAACCCCAACATGGAGATGACACCGATGCAGGAGAAGCTGGTGCGCAAGCTGGGCAGCAACGCCCACCCGTTCACCTTCCACTTCCCGCCCAACTCGCCCAGCTCTGTCACCCTGCAGCAGGAGGGCGATGACAACGGTAAGCCGCTGGGCGTGGAGTACACCATTCGGGCCTTTGTGGCCGACTCCGAGGACGACCGCCAGCACAAGCGTAGCATGGTCAGTCTGGTGATCAAGAAGCTCCAGTACGCTCCCTTAAACCGCGGCCAGCGCCTGCCCAGCTCGCTGGTCAGCAAGGGATTCACCTTCTCGAACGGCAAGATCAGCCTGGAGGTCACGCTGGACCGGGAGATCTACTACCACGGCGAGAAGGTGGCCGCCACCGTCCAGGTCTCGAACAACTCGAAGAAGGCCGTCAAGAGCATCAAGTGCTTCATTGTCCAGCACACCGAGATCACCATGGTAAATGCCCAGTTCAGCAAGCACGTGGCCCAGCTGGAGACCAAGGAGGGCTGCCCAATTACCCCGGGCGCTAATCTGACCAAGACCTTCTACCTGATTCCCCTGGCGGCCAACAACAAGGATCGTCACGGTAAGATCATCGATGGTATCCCTTGACAGAAATTCGAATTGAATGTCTCTATGTTTACTCCAAACTGTAGGCATTGCCCTCGATGGACATTTGAAGGACGAGGACTGCAATCTGGCCTCCTCCACCATGGTGCAGGAGGGCAAGTCCACCGGCGATGCCTGTGGTATTGTCATCTCGTACTCGGTGCGCATCAAGCTGAACTGCGGCACTCTGGGCGGCGAAATGCAGACGGATGTGCCCTTCAAGCTCCTCCAGCCGGCACCTGGTGAGCTCTCCTCTATTAAGTCTCCTCCATAACACCCTTAACTCCTACGATTCGATCCCTCTAGGCACCATTGAGAAGAAGCGCTCGAACGCCATGAAGAAGATGAAGTCCATTGAGCAGCACCGCAATGTCAAGGGCTACTATCAGGATGACGACGACAACATCGTCTTCGAGGACTTTGCCAAGATGCGAATGAACAACGTCAACATGGCGGACTAATCTCTGGACACCGGCATTCTCTCTAGCTTTGTTGTGAACCGAACGGAAACGAATCGAAAGCACTGAAATCTGGTTGCAGCAGTCTCTCGTGGAGGCCACAATCTTTGTATTATAACCGTATCTATAACGCTCTCTATGTGGAAACTTTGGTGGATCTGGAGTTTGTACCCGTACCTCTATGCATGTTGATGTGTTGAAATGACCGACCTCGAGTCCCTATATTATAAATGTGTTATGGCTATCTAGACTCACCGTTTTTCTCGTCTCGGTTGAATATCCAAAGAGGTTCTTTGTGTAAGGATTGCTCGTTATGGGAGTTCTTGAGGGTTTCAACTTCAGAAGTCGAATGAGCTCCGTAACTGCGCAGCAGAACGAGGAAGGTTCCTTGGGCTGCTGATTCAGGGGTGGTTGGTGGTTCCCGATGACAAGGGGTTGAAAAGCCCTCTGTTTATAGGTCACGTAGGGGGGTTGAAAGGCTTTCAAAGAGCAACAGGCTGTCGGAAATCCTCGGCGACCAATCAGCGAAAAGCAAGAACTAAGAGCTGCAAACTGTATATGGACATGGCCGGCTCTAACGGAAGTTCCTGCGGTAACGAGATGGTAATAATAGAACCGCCGAAACTCATTGTATGCTAAACAGGCCAGCTTTTTGGACCTGGCCTGACCTTGATGACGGCTAAGGCCGCCAGCTGCCGCGAGTTCTGTTCCAAAGCTCATCTCCTCCTCCTCCTCCGTAGTAGATGTAGTTGTAGTTCCCACTCTTCTGGTCCCATCTCTTATGCAAGCAACATAACGCCTGACCGCTGAAGCATTGCACAATCCGGGGCACCAGCTCCGATCGATTTCACACACCGCTGCCCGCTGCTGGGCAAGTGACTTCCGGATGCAGGCCAAGCCCCGAAAAGAGCCAACTATAAATTCCAATGTTGTTGTCAAAATGCTGCCACAAATTTGACGAGAGTGCAACGCGATGGAGCTGCTACTTGGGAAGTTACCTTTGGGGATTCTGCTGCTCCAACTGATGCTCCTCGTCTCCCCGGCGATGATGCAGCAGAACTTGTTCTACCATCCCCGCCAGCTTTACTACGATTCGCCCCGTCTCCGAAGATTCGAGTACGCCGTCCCAGTGGCTCCTCCGCCCCTGCACTACCAGCAGCAAACGCCCCACTTTCAGCTGGTCAACTACCGGCCCAGCTATCAACCCTTGGCCTTGGAATACCAACAACAGCAGGTGCCTGCTCCGGCTCCACCCTTGCCACCCCTGTATACGCAGCAGAGTGTCCAGTACCAGCAGCGGGCCATAGCCCCATCTCATGCAGAGCTGGCCAAGTATCGCTACGAGGGCAACTACCTGCCAGTGCAGCCCCAGCGTCGCGTCGAGGAGCAACTGCAGCAGCAGCAACATCAGCAGCAACAGCAAGTGTTGCAACAGCAGCAGCAGCAACAACAACAGCTCTTCAACGTGCCTCCGGCTCTCTTTACCAGCGATGTGCTTCATGTGATACCTCCACGGATCGCCAGGTTGCAGGAGCAGCAGCAGCAGCCCTCCCAGCCTCTTCAAGCGGAGCGGCCCAGGAGGTTTGCAAATAATCAGGACACTGATGTGGCCGAGTCCAGGAGTCAGAGCGATGGAACCAAAAAGGAAACCAAATATTTTCAGTAAGTCAAGTATATTTTTTTAATATTTCATCAGAGGAAGGAAGGTAGGGCTAAAGCAAGGATTAAAAGGTTAAGTTCAAGATTTTAAGGATAAAACGTATTTGAACCCTTAAATATTATCAAAAAAGAGACAAAAACTTTCTGTTTCTGAAATCATAATATATAGAAATTCATAATTTTATTCAAAATGTTATGCCGAAAAATGGGTGGAAAACTGTTAGGAACACCCAAAAAAAGGTAGTGCAAGTCTCTCATGTTCTTAATCCACACACATGAGCTTGAATGACACACTTACAATTGAAAATTGGGTAGAAAATGGCTAAAATCATTGACAGAATCTTTATTATCATAACTTTTTACTGAAATTTAAAGTATAAAAACTGCTGTAGTAAAAGGGTGAAAAATATAAGAAATATCCCTACAAATTGGTGGTGGTTTTTACAATTTCCAAAATCATAGGTCACAATTACTAACCTCAATTATTTACTGTAGAAATTTTCGGTATAAAAAAGGGTGAAAATTGGATAAAATATGTTGACAAAATGGTGGTGGGTAAAGGATTATACAGGCAGCTTTAATTGAAAATTAAGGAAATTTATTAACTTAAACATTTCACTTAATCTGTTTCTTTTTTTCTATTCGATTTAAGATTAAATAATAATCCTAAGTTAATGACAATTTTTTGTTCTTGGTAGTGACATTTTCATGCGCTTCGATGGCCCCCACTCGCGTAGTCACGGTCACGTCTTGAAGCACCCCAAGGTCCAGGAACGCCGCTTCGAGTCGCAGCGAAGCACGAACCGCTACAAGGGCGAGGTGAGCTTGACTGGAGAGATCTAGCAAAACCATAAATTTCCAGATAATTCACCAGACTTTCTACTGACTTAGGTGATATGGACCGATCGTCAAGGCGGCCACGGCGAGCACCGCTGGGACATGGCTCAGGGAAAACTCTGAATCTAAATTTGCATACTTCCATTACCACTTTCACGTCTTCGCTCTGTAAATACCCATCCGAACTCGCATAAATCGTGACTTTTCATAATTTTGGCGTATTATTTATTTAAGGGCAATGATTTGGCGTGAAATTGGGACGAACACTGCAAAAGATTTGCATACGAATGCAGGCAGCGGGATCTTGTCTTAGGTCAGCGAAGTCGGGAACTTGGGCGATCTTTGAGATTTTCTCACGCCGCTCCGGAAAAGTGGACTGTCCAACTGGTTTTACAACTCCGTCCGTCGAGCACTGTCCCGGCCGAAAAGGTCATCATTTAGCCGGAAACTGGTTCTGGTTCTGGGCAGTGACCCGAGTGCCCTGTCCTGCAGTTACTTAGTTACAGGACATGCGGGTCGGATATGTAAATGTCTGAAGACGCGAGGAAGGGGTTGAAGATGCAAGGGTCTTATCTCCGCGCCTGTGTAACCTTTGAGACCTCGGGGGTTGCATTCGCCTTAGTCCTTGTTTGTCGCCTCATTTGCATATCTCCAAGTCGGAGGCCGAAGTGACATAAATGCCCGGCGGCGGACAGGCCCAATGTCCAGTTGTTTGTCTGCGCCATGTCTTAGGTGCGAGTGACCGAACGGACACATGTTTTAGATCCTTTACCATCCTTACAGCAGTTCGATATTGAGCCGAGACTCCGGCATATGTAAATGGGATGCGGGTCATTAAGAAAGCGTTCGGCGATCAGCGATCAGCGATCAGCGCTGGCTGTCAGTCACTCACTTCACCTTCGAGACTGCCCAGAACTGGTTCTGGTCTCCTTCTTGGGCGATAAGGTCATCACGGCAAGGCAAGGCGGCAACTCATATCGAGGTACCCCGTTCTCACACGCTCTTCTAATTTATGCAAGGACACTGCAGAAGGACACTGGATGCGATTGCGTTTGCTATTGCTGTTGCTACTGCTGTGGCGTGAGTTCCCAAAGGACAACCGGTCTGACCGGTCCGGCCGGGTCCGAGTCTCGGGAATCCGTGTCTTCGGTGACCACGATCCTCGGCTCCTGGATTGTGTATTGTAGCTTCTGATGGGAACTGCCATTAGCTGGCCTTTTGTCAGCAACTGCCCGAACGGGTTGTCTTTGCCTTTGCACTTGGGTGTCACTGAGATCTCCTTTGATGAGGTCTCCTTCTCGCGGGGTTACTGCATTGATTTATACGCAAATAAAATCTGTGTTTACCTTTTGAGCTGGCAGACATCGGTGTGACCTCAATGCGTGGACACCGGGATGAGGCTGGGATTCTCTAAAGAGTTCCAAGTTCAGGAAAAGGTGAAAAGGCTCAAAGGATGGTACAGATCATAGGAGAACACTTTATTGCAACAACCTGCTATTGATCCTTAAAAATATATATACTCTATTTAGAGTTGATTAAAACCCATTTAAAGTTTTTCGAAATTTTTAATTTAATATTCTAAACAAGAAAGTCGAACCTAAATGAATGACATAATATAGAATAATGTTATGATCTCGTGCCAATCGCGAGTCTCGGCATATTTACAAACTACATGGACTTGCGGAACTTTCAGGAGTATTTAGATTTCGGAGCTATCCCGATACCCGATCCCAATCCCTACTGGTACTGGTGGTACTGGGGCTGCTGCTGGTGCTGCTGATGCTGGTACTGCTGCTTGCTGGAGCCGGAACTATACTCCTGCTGCGACTTGTGGCCGCCGGCGCGGAGAAGCTGCGTGGGTGGCGGCGGAGTGGGAATCTTCACCACAATATCGGTGGGCTCGCGAATGACCTCCGCCTTGAAGCCCTCCTTGGGATCGGCCGTGTATTTGACCGTGCGGATGAAGCCATCAGAGTCCACCACCGAGTAGCTGCCCTTGATCACAGCACCGTCACGGATCTCCTTGCGGTTCTGGTAGTTGGTGAACTCATCGTCCTTTACATCGAAGCCAAACTGGTAGGAGGAGTTTTGCTGCAGAAATTGTGAGAAGAATGTTATATATTTGAATCTTTTTTTATGCTGTACCCAAAGTTGGGCGGGTTTCAATTGGGATTTGGAATGCGTACTGTCCCACGAATCTGACCCACTTTGGTGCCTGGGCCAGAAAACGTGTCCAGACGGTTGCGTCATCATAGCCCCCAGGCGCATGCGCGTAGGCTGTAACCAAAACTGAAACTGTAACCAAAGTTGAAGCTATAACTCCCAGTCCCAGATCACGCACAAGTGAAAGTAATTTGGAGCCACTTGCATACAGATATGTTTAATGGTCCGGGCGCACGAAATCAAAGCGCCAAAGCCATAGCGCCGGATCACACGATCGATATTATGCAACCAGGCGGTAGAAGCCAAGCCACCCGACAAACCCAATTCCTCGAAACATTTGATAATTTATGCACAAGGTTGGAGCTTTCCAGGGCATATATGTAAGCCAATATCAAATTATAAACATTGTTGTATGAAACATAAAATGCAGAAAGAGGAAACCTAGATAAAGTAGGAAGTACTAACTTTTCAATAACTCCCACGAAAAGGAATATTCAAAGACCATAACCAAGTCAATTGATTTTAGATTCAACTAACTATTGTCTAAATATTCAGGTTTTTTTTTTTCAATAAGTCCATGAACACCTCGAGGCTTTGGCTAATTTATTCACAAGGTTGAAGGTTTCCCCCACTAAGCGAGGATGCAATCAAGCAAGACCTCCGTTGGACCAAGACAATCCCCTTGCAAATCATTGGCAACTGGGTTAAGGTAACCAGAAGCGTGGCTCTAAGGCGTGGCCAGATCGAACCCTCGATCTTCTGACTTGGCCGACAAAAAAAAACTACAAACAAAACCCAAACTACACAAAAGAACTGCAGGCCGAAAATTGGAAAGGCAAAAGCCAGTTTGCAAGCCGGTTCTAATGCGTGCACTGTCCATTTGCACGAGTGCACCTCTGTGGGAATCGGACTCTGCCCGGGCTTCACCACGGATTGGGGTATATGGGTCGCATTTGAAAGTGATTGTCTGGCGGAGAATGTAAGTGCCGGCGGCAGTGTCACATTTTATGGAACTAAGAAAATTGCATTAGCCAAAGGCATTTCTGGTTGAACTTGTCGGTTAAATCTTTACGGTTATGCGAATTTTATGGGCCTGTTATACATGATGTATGGTTATCAAGACCAAGTACTATTTCTTAGCCATATTTCTGAGCTATACCTCAATATATAAATTAATATTATTATAGTTCACTTTAGCATTAAAACTTCAGTGAAATCTGACTTGAAAAATTGGTATTCCTTTAAAAATAATAACCCATAACAATAAGACAATATCCAACAAATTTCCCCTCTGTAATATAATAAATATAAATCCAGGTAAATTATAAAATTAAATATTAATTTTCCAACTTCCACCTCCTGTCTGGCAATCAGTTTTAATCGATTTGAGAGATGACACGCCAACTCAGCACCTTAACCCCATCTCGTTAGCCCGCTTCGGCATTAAGCCTGATGGATTATGGTCGCTTTGGTAACGGATATTTGCCAGCTTCCGCATGCAAAGGCCATAAACCATCGCCGCTGGCTAAGTGGCTGAGCCTGAGCTTCGACTTGAGCTTCAGCCCGAGCCCGAGCGGACCGGACCAGGAGCCGATATACAAGCACAATGCACAATGCAACGCACACATATGGCCATGGCCAAATCCACGCCACATTGCAACTTTGTGGTCTCCGTGGTTAATGAACCCCAGGTGCCAGTGCCCCCCATTGCCGACTCTCCGGCCACGTTGCATGCTTCAATTGTAATTATGTTGCTGTTGCAGCTATAGTTGCACTAACTGCTGTAGTTGTTGCTACTGTTACTGTTGCTGCTGCTGCTACTTTTGCTGCAGTGAAGCGAAAAGGAAAGTGTGCGAAAGTCAAACTCGATTTGTTTTGCACAGAAACAAAAGATCTACCTACAAAATTGGCAGCAAAAGTTAGTGTTATAAAAAAAAATGAAATCTTTCCGAAAAATCATATTTAAAAAAATTGGATGTTAGCTTTACTGTCTGTTATATAAATCCTGACCTCAAAGCTTAAAGAAACTCGCATTCTTCCTCACCTCAATATGTCTTTGGTCCAATGTTCCCATTTAGATAATCCCTCGTAAAGTGGGTTTTTCATTTCCCCAAAAATGAATATACGATTTTTATCCGTGTATTCCAAACTTACGTCATCGTACTGCTCCTCCTCCTCTTGCTGCTGCTGCTGCTGCAGCGCTGTCAGCTTGTGCTGTCCCTTGCCGAGGATCGGGCTGGACTGGGCTTGGTAGGCGGGCTGAATCCTGCGGGGAGGCTGAGCAGCGGGCTGAGGCTGTGGCCGGTAAGCGGATTGCTGCGGTTGTGCCTGGTACTGCAAGTAGGTTAAAAAGGATATAAAATAAGAAACTATAAATCTTTAGACAGTAAAAGTTGAATAAAGATCAGCTGATAAATTTTCTTATATTTTAATTAATAGGAAAATTGAAATCGTTTTTGATATCTTACAACAGATCTTTTGATCTTAATTAAACTCCTTTTAAAACAAAAATATATCCATTTCATACTGTAAGGAATAACGTGGATAAACTGTAAAATAACCCACCTGAGGCTGATAATCCCTAAGGGCCGGCGCCACATATCCCTGCTGCTGCTGGGCACGAATCTGCTCGGCAACCGTGTCCTTGATGCGGATTTGCTGGCCGGAGCTCACATACTGCTGCGTCTGCTCCGAGTTCTGCTCGAAGATGGGCGTGCTGTCGCCGGACTGGCCCTGCTGCTGCTGCTGGAGCTGCTGGTAGTACTGACGCAGGTAGGCGGGATCCACACCCTGCTGGCCGGCAGCCAGGCCGCTCAACGCCACCACCGCGGTGGCCACCACTAACAGGAGCTGCATATTGCTGTAGGAGCTAGATCACTGATCACAGACGGGAGACACGGAGAGAGACGCGGACACTCAAAACTCAAACTCAAACCTCGGCGGGGCCACAAAACTATCTGCGCTGGCTGCGGATCCAAATTGCACTTTTATATCGCCGAACGCGGAGCAGCAGCCACTCATAGACGTGGCTCTCCACTCGTGGCATGGCTCGCTCTCTGGGCCATGTAACTCTCGACCCGGCTGCTCTTGGTAGCGCCCGCCTGCCTGATTTACAACAGCTGTTTTCGGCGACTCCCCCATTCGGCGGCTGTCGTTTCCGCTCAAATCATAGATCCTCTACCCTCGACCTGGGCTATTGTTTTATATTTTTGTACCCCTTGATCGTTGATTGCGAAGGTATACTGTGTTTGGTAAGTGTACTTAAAGGCACAATTTATTTAAAGTTCTTGCTATTTATAAAATATTTATTGTGTATGTACAACTTTACGAAGTTAGAATTTAGAATTTACTAAAAATTTAATGTGGAATATAAAAAGTTAAAGATAATAAGCATTTAAAGAATAAACTGTTCATAAATTTAAGTTCAATCGATAATTTTTAGAATTTCTGAGAATTTTGCTATCGAGCTTTGACGGAAAAAAGGAAAACTGTATAAACAACCTGCTGTCCCTTGGAAAAAATTATCTGTATTTTATCTTGCTATAGTTAATAAAATCAAAATAAATGTTAAATATTTCCAAATGAATTATAAAATAAATCAACTTTATATTAAGCTAACATATATGGACAATACATCGACCTTAAAATTAAAAAATATAATATACATTCCCCACAGGGCATCACATAGTCGAGTTCATAAACCTTCTCGTTCCATTCATTTCGTTACATTACGTGATCTCGGCCAAGTGATCAGCTAACAGCTGTTAACTGAAGCTCTATTTTGGCTAACAGAGACAGCTGATTGATACCAACGGGGGGCGTTTGAAAACTTTCACGAATTTGTCATTTAACTGAAACTCGGGCAAGATGGGACACCTGTGTGCGTGGGGCGAGGGGTGTTGCAATGCATTTTGAAAGCAGGCAAAGCCCATAAATAAATGTAAATTACATTGCGGTTGACTCCTTCGTCGACATGCAACTACATACATATGTATATATGTAGTTGATTTTATGCAATGGGCTTGAGGCTCTTTTTTTGTGCTAGCTTCCCATTAGATAATCATGCCCAATTAATCGCCCAGCTCTCGACGAGGTTCACATTCTTGAGGTCAATGCGATTGGAAGAGGCCGCACCCTCAAAAACACACAACAAAAATCTAAAATCGAACCCAACAAGTGCAGAGCCTCCATTGTTTCTGACCCAAATTTGCTTAAACGTTTTTCATTGGCGCCTTTTGTCTCGTACTCACATCCATCCATCGAATAGCGAATAGCTATAGCTTTCTGTGTATCTGTATCTGTATCTGTATCTGCATCTGCATTGCGTTTGCGTTGCGGTTGAATGGGCCCAAGCTATCTTTGATGACGCTGATTGCCAAACTTTTGCACTCTGAGCCCTTAGCAGGGGATCATGTGATCGAGTCATTAAACCTCCATAAGTAGGAGAAATATGTTAACCTCTTTTGCACAAAGAAAAAAATATTATAATTAAAAAATTATAATATATAAAGAGTATGAAAAAATGTAAAAAGATTACGATCAACGGAAGTTTCTGACTGAAACCCTATTTTAAATACTTCGTTTTGGTATAATGACTCGATTTTATTTTTTTATTAAAAATAAATACCTATAAACACAAGAAAAAACATTATTTGGTCTATATCAAACATAAAGAAATATGAAAAATCATCATTATCAGCACTCTGAATACATTTCTTTCCATGTACCGGTCATGTGATCGTGTCATTAAACCCCACAAGTCGTGGAAATACTCCAATACCCGATATTTGAGACGACAATGCGATTACAATTGCCCCAGAGCTTTGTTAGTGTTACAGTTGCCGCCCTGAATTTGCATGCATATAGGAGAGGTTTATAAATCAATCGGAGGAGATTTCTTTGGTGGAGGTTGCCTCGCTCGACAAGGTCGTTTCGGGGGAGTCGCCATGGCAAACGCAATCGAAGCTGACCGCTTGATGGGATCGGAACCAAAACAATTGCACGGCGCAGATGTTTGAAAGAGTAACAACCACATTTGTGGCTTACTTAGCCGTGAAGTGAAAGTACATTATGTGTGGTACAATTGTTATGCACATTACACACGTACACGTATGTACGTACACTCTCGAGTCGCGAGTGACTTATTTTCCATTGAAATTAAAGTCAAATTTATGGGTACGCTCATTTCTCAGCTCAAGTTTGCATATAGTTTCAATATAAATAGGTTTAATTGCCCGAATGATTGATGGAATAAGCGCAGATTTGCAGCGTCATGTTATGCAAAGATTTTCGGCTACTCTTTTTTGGGTTTTTAGGTTGGGCTGGGCTGGGCTGGGCTGGTCTGGGTCTGGCGTGGCAAGTGGTAACTACTCAAAAAGAAGGCAGGCGGCAGACAGGAAAAGAGCTCGTCATATTCAAATCATTGTGATACGATTGCGTTGCCGGCATGTGGCAATGTTTGATCCAATTGTGGCCAAATTATATCACACTTAAAATATAAATATCAGGTGCAGCCAGTCGCCAGTGTGGGAATTAGGGGGATAATGGCCAGGAAACTCATGTTAAAGACACACAAACCGCTTTTCTTTAACCAATGAAAGTCGCATTTATTAATTAAAACATTATTTATGCCTATTACATTCCATGACTAGAATCACTCGACGTTAACACACCTGACTGACCTGGCTGTTAACACAAAATCATCGTAAAATAAACATAACTATAAATCAAAGTTTCTTTTTATTAAATTAATTTACGTAGTTCTTCTATGCGGAGACAGTAAATGGTCTGAGGCGGTGTTACTGTGTGTTTAAATTTATTTCGATTCCGATTTCATATACCAAACCAATGTATATCATTAAGCTTGTTAGTGGTTCACAATTTCCTGTCGTTCTTCATATATAATTTATTGAGTAAGTTAAATAGAATTTCATAAAAATCCGCTAAATATGTTAGGAGATAAACAACTGTCGGTGCCAACTGCTGCATGCGATGTTGCCTGTGGGGATGATGTTGCTCCCTCCAGTTGCTGGTGCAGTTGCAGTTGCGTCTGATGTTGCAGTTTTCTAGTATTCGGTGGCACCAATAACGCTGTACATGAGACGATTGAAGGAGCCGCTCTGGCGTATGTTCTCATCGTGGGTGTTTACCACCTGGAAGGGGATATACAGGATATATTAGTATAAATTGAATACTTGTTTTTTATTTGTATATCAATTAACATTGATTTTAGCTAAGTTTAATTAGCCAAGTTTACTTAGCTAATACCCATATTAACAGAGATATGTATATTACTTACATTGTACGGCGGCCGGGATACTGGCGCTGATACTGGTTTCTGTAAGAGTATTCAGGAGAGTGGGGAGATAAGATCTTGCTTAATAACTCTTGGTAATTATCCAGCGTTTTCGGTTACAGACTTTTCAAATGCAATCTCTAACGGTTATGAGCTTTTTCTGTTAGGTGTCAGTCTATGTTAGAATGCCAAAAATATACATATGTAGGTGTGCTTGTGATTTGGAAAATATACACAGAGAGAGTAATGGGGTTAATGAAGATAGTTCAATGCCAGCAAAAAACCAGGTTAGTAGCACTACTTCGGCCCCGTTAGTGGTCGTTACAGCACGTTAACATGCCGCCAGTCAAGGCACACTGTTGACTAACATTCGGTTGGTTCAACTGTACAGGAGGCTTACAGCTTACAGCTTACAGCTACACATTTACACAGAAAGAGAGACGAGAGCGAGCGAGATAGGAACAGAGAGAGACAGATAGACTTTGTACAGATGAGCTTGAGATTGATACTGATACAGATACTGAGATTGAGATACAGATTAAGAGGATCTTGGCGATCGTGTGTTTTGACACAGACTTTTGACTGGGTTTGGTTTACTTGACTGATTGATTGATTGATTTCGAACGGTTGCGCACGATCTTACCTTTCCTGGAACCAATCTATTGGGCTGATAGACCTTAGTCTGCACAGGTATGGTTACTTCCTGTGGCGCGGCATTGCCGTAGCTGCTGTAGCCGCCCTCCTCTTGGATGAGTCTGTAGGTGTCGCTGTTCCTGGGATCGTACACGACAGTTTTCTTATAGCTGCTCGGGGGCAGTGGTCAGTGATATCGGTCAGTGTGATTTCGGGGGGTTTGCATTGAGATCGTTGAAAGCGCCGTTATTTGTTTGGTCAATTATTCGTTGGTTTTTGTGGTGTTATGCATATTTTCAATAGATTTATTTTGATTTTGTTGTTGGTTAATCGAAATTCATTCGTTTAAATGAATTAACAAAAAGATTTTTTGGTTTTGGTTTGTTTTTTTGGTTTTTTTTTTTACATCGGTTGAGTAGCGTGAGACAGAGTAGTGAGAGAATAGAAAGAGAAAACAGGATGTGCACAAAATACGTTAGAATTATTTTGTTTTTCGTTGTAGTTGTAGTTGGTTGTAGTTGCTGGTTGTAGTTGTGCCTCGTTGTCTTAAGAACTGCACACTCCTCGAACGGATTGCGATTAATAGGAAACTCATTAACAAATTCCTTACGAGCTAGTTATTAAAAGTAATCGAACAGAACTGCATAACAAGGTGTGAGATGTATTTAATTATATTAATTGGATTCAACTGAATCCGTAGTTGTCATCGCATGAGAGTCGAAGCCTTGAGATCGGGCGTTACGGGGTTAGGGGTTAGTGGATGGGGTGTGGTTATCAAAGGGGTTGCAGTGGAGCTTGGGGCTTATGAATAGGAACTTTCAGGGCTGTCCTTCAAACAGTTTGTGTATAAATATGTATCATAAATGTGTGTAAATTCAGCAAACGTCTTTGAGTTTCGGGGATTAGTCTTATAAAGGGGCGGGCAGAGGGTGGGGAATACGGGGTTTTCAGCCGGGACTGGTCAGTGGGATTTTCAGGAAGAGGATTGTCTAGTAAAATTGGGCTAAGGACTACTATTTCTTTGATCATTTGTTTTGTTGATAGAGCTGCTGCAGTTGCTGCTGGCGGTGTTGACGTTGTTGCTCAGCAAGTTGGTCTTTTTGCTTTTGTTGCTCCAGGATTTTACGTTTTTGTTCCAGGAAAGATAGATCGATGAAAATTCTAACATTAATCGTGCAGCTAAGTTCTATATATATCAGGGTCTACGAGCTAGAGAGTGGTGTCTTTCGTTGTTTCATGGTTTGATTATTCTATTGATTATACGTATTTACAGCACCTGTCCTATCAAAACGGGAACCGGAACCCCTTCCGCACCTGCGCCACCATTGCCATAATAAAGGAAACCCCGCCCCAAAGATATATAATATTTACAGGGTATCATTTCCCTCTTATCACAGACTCAGGTCATAGAGCTTTACTTTGCAATTGGAGGATACAGAGGGTGAGATATGGGGAGAAGACATATAAAGTATAGACAGCAGAGCACATGCAATCGTTTCTGGACTTGTGTAGTGTTGTTTCTGTTGTTCTGCTTGGATATAGATATAGATATATGGAGGTTTATATATAGAGACTTGTATCTGAGTTTTAGAAGAAACACAATTGTTGCGGTTGTGGAGGACAACAATAACCGGGGGGGTTAGTCTGTACAGACAGGCAGGGAAAACACGGGAAACGTGGCAAACATTCCTGATAAATAGTCATATTCATGGTTTCAATTTGTCTCAAGGCAAGTTCGGGTTCAATTTCAAGTTCTTGCTCAGTTGTGTGCTTTATAAGATCAATAATATCAATATTTCAAGGTGCGGAGGATTCAATCAAAGAACGAACTCAGGCTGTGCTCAAGATATGAATTTACTTTTACCCGTTAAGTTTTGTTGGCAAAGGACGATGCAAAGGACTGTCCTTCAAGCGATTGCTATCGCTCGTGGCGAAGCTACAACAATATACATAGAATATTTAGGTATATAGTATATAGAGAGTGGTCAGATCCGGCAATAGGCGTAGTACGTACAACATCTATGGACTGTGGGTGTGCGTGTGTTTGGTGGGTGGTTCGAGTGTGCTTCTCATTTCGTGTGTGCTGCGGCAGCGTTGGGTTAGTAAATTTCGAGTTTTGATTTAATTTTCAATTTTGTGGCTTTTCTGGTTAGTGGATTATAGCCGCAGCTTAACCAGGAACCAATTTTCGGGTTATATTATGTATATGGACACCTTGGGCTACTCGTGTATTCGTAATCGCAATCGTAATCGCGACTAGGTTTTAGTTTCAAAGCTACTACTGGGCGCATTTTTCGAGTGGCTCTCTCTCTCTGGCAAAAAAGAAAAGCTGCATCAAATTTCGAAGAGTTCTACGCAGATTTATTCAAAAATTGCAAATTCCAAAAAGAAATGAACGTAATTATAGGCAAAATAGAGTGTGTGTTTTCAATTTTGTGACAAGCGTAATTCAAAGTTCGGTTATTAGTGGTTTTTCATTGTTTATTCGAGCTAAGCAATAGGAGATTCCAGACGGTAAATTTCTGGGTGACAACTTACGGAACTGTGGTTCTGATGGTGTCCTCGATGTTGCTGTTGGAGTACAGACCGATGGGCGAGTTGAACTGCTTGTGGAAGACCTGTAGTTGAGGTATAGCATATATATAAAATGGTCGAAAACATTGAAGTACTTGGGAAAATGAGATCTTAAATTGATATAATTTCTCAGATCCCCCGGTTATTGTACTTACGCGGCCAGTGTCGGCCTCCGAACCGACAACCTTGTGCAGCATGGTGTCGGCCACGCGCTGCTTCATGATACTGTCATGGTAGTCATGTCCTGGATGGGCGCGCACAGCCGGGTTGGGGTAGTGCCTCAAGTAGGACTCTGTCGTGGGCGCATCCTTCTTCACTTTGGCGCCGGGCAGGACCAGCGGAGTTGTCCGGTATGGCTGCAACAAAAAACAAAGAAAGGAAACACGGCACGTGATGATCAGTCAAGATTAACGACTTTGTTTATGCCAAAACCAATGGGCACACACACCCAAAACACCCATTTGGCAGCCGCTCGGGGCGAAATAATAATATAAATAAATCAGCGCACGATTAGCAGAGTTTTTTCTCGAAATTCTCTGATCTTCGCCCACTGTGCTAGGTGTGCGCACTTGCCTGGCTGTGTGTCTGTCTGTATCATTTTTATATAGAAAATTCCATTTGGTGTGCGTTTATATACTTTAAAAATAGAGAAAATATTTTTAGGCGCTTACGTAAGCGTGTTCTTTCTGCCAGCCAGCGTCCAGCGATTTGAATTTTGTATCTTTGGCGGCGGACGTTTTATTTTTACCGAGCCGTGGCAAGAGTAAGTAATTTAATATACGTGGCTTGGGGTTTGAATGCGCGCCTAATCGATAAATTAGAGGCAGCTCTGTCGTGGAGCTGCCAGACTGTCAGGCTGGGCTTTGATAGAGTTTCGAGTGACCACAGCACAAATGTATGAGAATACCGAAGCTATCTCCACCGTTCGAGATTTTTTAGGGACAAGGCCACACTGTTTTTGCGCGCTTTTTTGACTGACTGCTACCACGCCGTGTTTTTTAGTTATTAACTACTATTTAGTTGTTACTGCCCGCCGACTAAGACATTAACTAACCCCATGGCCGCCGTGCGTCGCTCCACGCGCCTGAGCAGCATCAGCAAGGCCGCCGCCGCCTCGCCATCGGCGCAGACGCAAGTTCACACACCGCGGCGATCGGAGGTTTGGCGGAGAAGACAGCCGAAGGCAGTGATCGTCGACAGCGACGAGGAGGAGGAGGCAGTCGATAACCGCCTGATTGGCTCCGTTTCAGAGAACAACGAGAACCGCAACCTGCTGAACAAGATGGACAAGGACAGGGCAGCCAGGCGGAGGACGAACACAGGGAAGGCGCCGCCGCCACTCGAGCACCAGCTGCTGGCAGAGCAAAAGACGCCACGCAGCACGAAGAAAACAGCAACGGCGGCAGCGGCGATAGCGCGTTCCCGTGAAGCCGCCGCTATCTTCATAGGGAGCAGCAGCGATGAGGAGCAGGATGTGGACGCGCACCATGTTTCGCCGCCCAAGCAGCGCAGGCTGCAGCCTCTGCCGCAGCACCTGATCAGTCCATCGCGGCTGCTGGACAGGCTTAGCATAGACGAGCGTCAAGAGGAAGACGCAGAAACCAAGACTGACAAGGTGCAGGAGCAGGAAAAGCCCCGACAAAAGCAGCCAACGAAGCGACCAGAAACTAGGCCAGAGAAGACAGTTTCCAGGCCCCAAGCTAAGCCTGCAAATGAAGAACAGGTGAAACAGCAGCAGCAACCCCAATCCGAGCCAGAAACCCTGCCCTCTCCGCCCCGCAACAAATACCAAAATGCACGCCGCGTCCTCAACAGCGCCGAGACCCAAAATCTGCCAGGACGCGAGGAGCAGCTACTCGAACTCCGGGAGTTCTTCACCAGCCACCTGGAAAGCCAGTCCTCCGGCAGCCTCTACGTCTCCGGGCAGCCAGGAACGGGCAAGACCGCCTGCCTATCCCTGCTACTCCGCGATCCGGCCTTCTCCAAGCGACTGCAACGAGTCTACATCAACTGCACCAGTATTGCCAGCGTGGGAGCCGTGTACAAGAAGCTCTGCGCCGAGCTGCAGCTGAAGCCGAACGGGCGCACCGAACGCGATCACCTGGAGGCCATCCAGCGGCACCTGCGCAGCGCCAAGCGCATGCTCCTGCTGGTCCTGGACGAGATCGATCAGCTAAGTACGAGCCGGCAGGCTGTGCTCTACACGATCTTCGAGTGGCCTGCCCTGCCGGGCGCCAGGATACTTCTCGTCGGCATTGCCAACAGCTTGGATCTCACGGACCGGGCGCTGATGCGCCTGAACGCCAGGTGCGAGCTGAAGCCGAGGCTAATGCACTTTCCGCCCTACTCCAAGCAGCAGATCGTGGAGATCTTCAAGTCGCGCCTGGCCGAGGCCGAGGTGCTGGATGTCTTTCCGCCCGTCACCCTGCAGCTGCTGGCCGCCAAGGTGAGTGCTATCAGCGGGGATGTGCGGCGAGCCCTGGACATCGGCCGGCGAGTGGTGGAGATTGCCGAGCAGCAGAAGCGCGACGGCGAGAAGGAGTTCAACATGAAGGCCCTGGAACTGGAGGGCAAGGACGCCGTGGAGGCCAAAGAAAAGCAGGGTAAGTTTTAAAGTTCAAGCCTGAGAACTAGGTGCTATAACTGATCCTCTTTCCCATAATAGCAGATACCCTGAAGCCCGTTCAGGTCACCCAAGTTGCGGCAGTGCTGAACAAGGTTTATGGGGCGTCGCAAAACCTGGAGGAGGACATCGAGGCCGCCTTTCCGCTGCAGCAGAAGCTGATGCTGTGCAGCCTGGTGCTGATGCTGCGCAATGAGCGCAACAAGGACATAAGCATGGGACGACTGCACGAAGTCTATCGCCGGGTGTGCTCCAAGCGCAACATTCTGGCCCTGGATCAGGCGGAATTTGCGGGCACCGTAGACCTGGTGGAGACCAGGGGCATACTGCGCATCATTCGCAAGAAGGAGCCACGCCTGCACAAGGTGCTGCTGCAGTGGGACGAGGGAGAAGTGCACGCGGCGCTCAGTGACAAGCAGCTGATCGCCTCGATCCTCAGCGACACCGCCTGCCTGGGCAAGTGATGATGATTACCTTTAGGAAATTAGTTTACCAAACAATTCGCGCTGGTTAATTGCGCATTTCTAGCATTTTCATTCACCTTGGGGACGCGCATATAGGATTTTTATATATAGGAATACTTTTTGACGCTAAATTTAACATTCGCTGCTGTTGCGCCAGCACTGAAATATTTTGAAATATCATTTGAGGGTCACTTTCGACATTTCGCTCTGACTTTAATTGAATCGAATCTTTGGGATTTCGTCTTTCCGTGTGTCATAAATTAAGTAAATGTTGCGGCAACCATATTCTATTTTTTTTGATCCAACGATCTCTAGACAATTCACTTCCTGTTAGCCCTAAGCAATTAAAGAATAAACTATATGCAAATCGCAAAAGTGAAAACAATTCCTCACTTTCGCTGCGCCTCTGGGTGGTGGTGGGTCGTTGTGCCAAGAGTTGGGACAACACCCCGCCTTTGGCCATTGTTTTGCCAAGAGGTTTTCACGGATCGTACGAGCCAAATTAACGAGTGGGTTTCTCGGCCATCTCGACATGAAATTAATTTCTTTTATAATAATTTTGTTTATTTGTTTAGCTGGCTCATTGTTGTTCTCTCTCTCGGTTCTCTGCTCTAAAAATATCCCCGCTTCGGTGGTATGAATTACATCGAGCGCAGAAAGAGCTCCGTGAGGAATATGTTTCGAAAACTCTTGTTGCCTTTCGACGCATATTGACGAACGGCGAACAAATGTTTGAATAATAAGCTATATGTGCAGAGAGATCGGGAGAGCCAGCCAGATATATGCAGGCACGAATGTACCTATAGCCGCGGTATATGGCTTTTTATATTATGTGGAACGGAACGCTTCTTCTTGCCTAATTATATATATTTTCTTGAGGGAAAAGTAAGACGAAAACCTCGACAGAAATATGTTCGTATCCCGACGGTCGGTTGTATTTGAACTTGAATTCCAAGAGCAAATGTTTGACGGCAAAGGTGAAATCTTTCATCTGGATTCTGGCTATGTACTAGAGACGAGACTGGCAGTTGGAACATGTCTACAAATCTTTGTTTATGCGAAGATAAATAATGCTTTAAGACCCTGCCTGGGTCTCGAAAACTGTGGAAATAATTCTTTAATTTATAACCTGTATATTCTTTCTTAAAATTCATATTTTCTAGACCAGAACAAAGTGGTTTTAACTAGAAAAATATTGTTTGTATAAGGAGCTAGCTTTAATCGTATTGATATATATATTTTAGCTTTGTAAAACTTCTAAATAAATATGTGCAAGCTTACTGCTTAAATTCTTTATGGGTCTTTTACCATTTATTTGGCTTAAAGTTTCTCTTTAAACTTCACTTGACTTGAGATATATTTTTCACATTGTTGCTGTAACTTTTTTCATTTGAAACTCTAGATACATGAGTTCCCATTTAGTTTTTACATTAACTAAAATTATTATTCCACCATTTTGTCTTATTCAAAGTTGAATTCAAAGTTATTCACTGGCTTGCTTACTTGATATTGAATGCATTCATTGAGGTCTGGCTGCTCCTTGTAGTAGACTGGGGATCCGTTTTTGAACTGAACGTACTCCATTTTTGTAATGTGTGTGTGTTTGGGTTTGAATTTAAACTCCTTTGTGTTGGCCAGAATTTGAACAAGATGAAAACGAAAAAGATTATACAATTACGTAATGGAAGATCACGCCAGTTGATGTTTATTTATATTCTCTGATGGCACCGAAAGTGTCCACAAATTGTAATATCGCTGCTAGTGGTATTGATTATTATTGGTAACTTGCTTTTTCGGCACGTTTAAATCAACGCTGCAGCTGGTGCTTCTTCACGAGGATTCACTACAAAAGGATGCTCGAGCTCGAGTCTTATATTGTTGTTTATTTTTCAATATTCCGAACGCAACTGATTTGAAAATTTTCAAATGCTGGCGAATTATTGCTATTCCGACTGCGCGGAATTCCAATTTGTCTATATAGATCCGAGAGTGTCTGTCCCTCGCTGTGTGTGTGTGTGTGTGTGTGCATATAGAAGGCGAGTGCTGACGGTCAGAGGCCGTTCGACCCACGCACCCACACCAGCCCGTTCCTGGCCTTATATACACAGATCTCAGAGAGAGCGGAGATTTCTCCTATTTTTTTCTTTAATATGTATACAAAATATGTTTTTGTGCAAATAGCTTATTCACCGAGCGTTAACGTGGCCAACAACAAACACAGCGTATAAACTTGGACTTGGGCGTTCTTCTTATTTTTTTTAAACGCCCACGCGCCATATAGTCCGTCCCCCCAGTCCCCTCCGGATGTTGTTGTTTGTCCTGCAGTCCTACACAGTAAAAAACTGGTCATTTATATTGAAGAAAATCGTTTCCTATGCTTGACAGCCGCACAAGTTATCATATTAAATTCTGAAAAAAATCTCTAAAGTAATACAAAATCGCAAATAATAATTCTTATATTAATTTTTCTTTTTACTTATAGAACCCCATTATTTTCCTCGGTGCAGCCGAAAATTATAGACATATAACATCTCGCCTATATGTTTTAATTGCTGCTTTGTGGAGCAATTTCATATACCATTTTTTTCGCATTTCGAAAATTAGGCACAAATATTTATCGGGCCCGAGGTTATTGTTTCGCCCGAATGCAGAAACATTAATACGAATATTGCAGCCACAAAAAGAAGAGATATACCTATAGATATATCTCGACGATCTGGGAGATTCATCAGCGAGGTATTGATGTGCCCAGTTTGTTTCAGCTGATTTGCACTGACACTGAGCATTGGAAATTGCCTTTGGCCGCTGATTTGTCAAACCGATTCTGACAGTTCCAAAGATATAGTACATAAGCCCGCTGCGACATCTCCCATTATTATTGGCATTGGCATTCTATATTTTCGTGGCTGTCATTAGCAATTGGCATTGGAACAGGGCATGGGGCATATTATTTGATGTTTTCCTCAGAGCGCGCACACGAGCAGGTGTAATTAGCCTTGGGAGGCAGGAGAAAATTTCAAGTTCGTTAGAAGATCCAAGGAACACATAACTTACACGGAATTATATTCCATTTTTACCACAACGAAGGCTAGAGTTCATTCGAGTAGAAGAGTTCTTTTTGTTAGACTCACACATGGACTATGCGTGTTTAAATGGGAACGATCAATAAACAACCTGACTAATGGTTTCTATGGGGCAAGAAAGCAGTATTAAGAATACAAATAGAACGCATTCAAGGTGGATATTAACCATAATTATATTAAGAGTTCAATAACCGCTAAAAATATGATGCCAGGAATAGAACAACTCCCACGTAAAAAGGTAGTCAAGGAGGGCATTCATTTTTTATATTTTTCTGGACATTTCAGTTTCGAATAATATCTGCAAAGATAATTACAGTTATGCCTGATTGACTTCTTTTAGAAATAGTTAAAAGTTTCCAGGAATAAAGAATTGTTCTGAAATCCCTTATAATATTAATAGTTATCAACACGATCAAAACAAAATGTATCTTAATTTTCAATGTCACAATCATAATTAAAACGAAACCAAGTCCAATAACCCTTAGAAAAACAACACGAAATATAGAAAATATCTCACATTACAAGGTAAACAAGGAGGTCACGAGTTCTGGAGCTTTTTCTAGCCACTTTTCCTTCACTCTCTTGTATGACAAATCATCAAACATCAAAAACATATAGGTATATATCAAAGTGCCCATGATTTTTATTTCGGTGCCGCATTGGCAAACAAAGTTGCGACCTTGGCGAGTGTCTTGATTCATTAGCGGCGTCATCTCAGGGGGCGGGCCTTCCCCATCCCCATTCTCATTCTTATTCCCATCACCATCCCAACGCCACGGCATCACAAGGTGGACAGTGGATCAAAATCTCCTCCCACCTGCCTGCAAGTCAGGGGCCCCAAAATAGTATCGTGGATGTTTTCTTGTTTATTTGCGTCTTTGCCTCTTGGCATTTTCCGCAGAGTTTTCGGGGGGCGGGCATTGGGTCTGTGTATTCGCTTCTGGGTCTGTTACAGTTTCCGACTTGTTTGTGTTTTTATTCTGTATCTGTTTGATTCCCCGCCAATTTCCACCTGCACACTGCGTCACTGGGCCTTTTCCTGTTAAGTACCCCCGCGATCTCGATCTCGATTCCACTTCTATATTTATATTTAGGATGTAAGCGGTGGGAACCTTGACCACCAGCATTGCTGTCCGCTGATGTCAGCTTTTTAAATTCTATAAATTTTAAAATTTTGGAATTGAAATTTGGGAATATTGACAGTGAACTTTGTTCTAAAAATTCAATAGTTTTTTTAATTTTAAAATATCAGACGCTATTCAGTTCGAATTCTTATATTCGAAAAGGAAAAGATACAAATTATTTTACACAGTTTTTACAGATACTAATGCCTCAAAGTATGCCACGATTAATTTGTTAAAAATCTATGTAGAAACAAAAAGGATTACTTATATATTCACCTGGCTTTTTAAAAGAAAGATAAGCACCCTTTTTGATAATATTTTAAACTGCTTATTTGTTAAGGGGGGGGTAAGGTATTTAATTTTTTTTTTCGTAAATTTTTTTTTATTTTTTATTTTAAAAGTTCAATATCTTAAGAATATTGTGTCCAAGTTTTACATCAATCAAAGTAAAATTGACGAAGTTATGCGGAGTTGAACGAAGGTCGTCTGGTGTTCAATGCATGAGAATCACAAAGTTTAAAGCGCTCTCCTGAAAAATGCCATTTTGAAAATCGGTGTACACGATAACTAAAAATATACTGAACCAATCGGTTTGAAATTTGGAACATAACTTCTTTAGATAATTCTACAGGTATTCTCGTCGAGCTTTTTTTAATTTTTAATTTTCTTATATTTTTTATTTAACAAATTAACTTAATTTTTTAGTCAAAAATCGGGGTTTTGACTTCAAATTTTGATAAAAAATAGGGAAAAAATTTTAAAAATAAAAACGCTTCGAGAATACCTCGGGACACTTATCCTTTAACGAATGAGGTATAATTTTTGTAGATCGGATGATTCTGTGGACAGTTAGGATGTACACCGCAAACCAACTTTTTTGGAGGCGACTCGGGAGATTCCCTATAACTCCTCTACCTCTAAATATTTTTCAATACAAAATTTATCACAAACTGTTCAAATGTTGTGTTATTATATGGTATTTAATTCGTTAAGCTAGCTTTAGCCGTTTCGCCACAACATTTTTTTGAAAAGTGGGCATTTTTGCACCGAATTAACCTTACCCCCCCCCTTAAGTAAACAAAATATGAGTTTAAAGATTACCGGTTTGCTTATGTGCTATTTTATGCCTATTTAATATTTTAAAAAGTTTTAAAAGCTTTATCAGCATTGAAACCCAAAATTTTCCGAGAGAAAATAAAGGTTACAATTCAAAAAGCTCCAAGGTCCAAATTTTCTAATAAATATTATACATGTTTTTGCATATCTTGGTTAAATTTTAAAAGTTCAGACACAATCACAAAGAAAAATAAATTAAAAAGAAAATTGACTCTTACTCAAGAAACAAAATTAAATTAAAGGTTTTTTAAACATTAATGGAATTCTATCCTGATTCCTGATTTTCAAATACATCTCTACTAACTCTACTATCCCAATAATAATTCTTATATCCTAACTCCACTCACCTGATTCACAATGGCAGCCTGCTCCTCATCCACATCCTGCTGATGGTCACGCGTTGGCTTCGGCGAAAACACAGTGGACGGCACCTCGTAACCTCCAGACGAGTTCAGCTGGGGGAACACAGTCTGGGGTAGAGTGTCCATGGGTAGCTGGAGGGCACGCTCAAAATGGCTGGGACCCGGCAAGAAGGGCGAAGGACCACGGTGGGGCAAGAGTTCTGGACTGGCCGGAGGTAGGGTGGAGTTGCTGCGCGATCCCGGTCCTGCATCTTGGCTGACGCCCTGAGTGTAGGCGATTTTGTTGTCCCTAAAAAAGTATTTATTAAAGTGTGTCCTTATTTTATGTTGGCAATAAGAAAGGCATTCCCAAAAGTGAATTTTTGTCTTATAATAATGTTTAATGTAGTTACTGTTTAATTTTTAGTTCCTCAGTTCAATCAGCTTTGGAAATACCCCTATATCTATCTGACTAAAGGTACATATAGACCCTTGCTCACCTGTGGACCGTGAGGCGAATCTCGTTGCCAGCGCCGCGGAACAGCTGTTGGGCATCCGCGTGACTCAGGTCGCGTGCGTCGTACTCGCCGATCTTGGCGATGATATCGCCGCGAAGGAGCTCACCATGAGATGGGCTGCCCGCTTGCACCTGCAATGGGCGAATGGAGAGGTGAAAAATATAAGAAGGTCATTGGGGGAATTAGCTGCATCAAATATCACATGTACAGAAGGAGGAGCGCCCGTTGGCAACAGCCTTGACTTAGATAAATGGATGGGCGCATAGATGCAGACAGAATTATGATCGTCAAATTGTGTTTACATTGAGACTGCGATGAGACCAGGAAGGGAAAGGAGAAGGAAACGGGGAAGGCAGTCGCCGTCTGTTGGGGCTAGTTTGTTGCGCCTCAATTAGTTTTACTGGCGTCGCGTTTTGGCAACGCTGCAGTGTTTATTGTGGTTCCTTCTTGTCGGATCTCAGTGTGCCAGTTTCGCTATTTTGATTTGTTGCTGTTTATTTGGGAGCGGCAAGCGAGGCAAAGGCCAAATCGCTTTGTGGCATCTCTGGTTACATAACGCCCCTTACCCTGGTGATGATCAGCGGCGTGTCCAGATCGTTGCCGCCCACCAGGCGAATGCCCCAGGGCGTGCCCTGGCCATCGCGCAGGAGCACCACCGCGAACTCGTGCAGCTTGGGGCTCATCCTGCCTACGATCGTCGGTCTCCTGGTGTTGGATCCAGAGAGCTGGCTCACAGGTTCATCCAATCGACCGGACTGGAGCCGAAATTAATTGGAATTTGTTGTTTATTCGCGCTCGCGGCGCGCTATTGCAGTCCGTTAAGCGTTTTGTTCGATCGCAAAGCTGCTCAAGTACTAATTTTAAAATACAATTCGTATTCCTTTCTGCAGCGGCAAAATCAGAAGCAACAGAAGCAGAAGCCGAAGAAGCAGCAGAAGCGGATCTTGGTACACTGCGCCACAAATCGTGAATACATATGTACATATATGCGGCATACACACAAGTTATATCCGCCGGCAACGGCGACTACATGCTGAGAAACATGAATTCGATTGGCGAATCCTAATCGGTGAGTGGGTATTCTGCGCAAGGTACTTTGCACTTCCCACCTAGGTTGCTACATATGCGGGAAAATTTGGTAAATTCATTTTAAGCAGGGCAACGCGGCGTATACTTGATAACTTGATAAAGGTGAAATTACGCATACGCCCAGTAAACATTTTTTAAGTTGAAAAAATAACTAGGGTTGTATTTTAAGCTGTTTTTAAGAACACTTTAAGGAAAACTCTGAATTCAGAAAGTGTCATTACCAGAAACTGTGAAGCGCAGTCAACTTCAGTTTTTATTATTTATGTGGCAATGCTAAGTGAAAGCCCTAATTTATTGTAAATTGACATGAAAATTAAGAGATTCTTTCCGGTTGTTATCTAGATTGGGGCTAATTTTTACTGTTTACACAGTATAAGAAAATGTCTTTCCTATAAATTTGTTTATATTTTTTAAAGAGTCATATTCCTTGCCAAAGGGTATTTGAAAACCGCCCCGAACTCATGCCAACTTGCGCCCCTTTGTTCGCTCTCATTGTTTAATTTGTCTTGTGCCCTGCATTTCTCGCATTCTGCATTTCGTGGGCCACATATTGGGACAGCACTTGATCCAGTTGCAGACTGACCCTGAATGAAATGAATGCCACATGTCATCATCCAAACGAACGTTTTGATGATTATCGTCTCTGAAGCTAAGAAAAAATATAAAAAATCTGGGCATCTGTTATTTTTTTCCCCCATTTTCAGCAATTTTATTGGCGTTCTTTTTTTGCTCGCAGAATCAGTGTTTGCCGAGCGATGAGGCAACCTAGAGAGAGTGTAATTAAATTTATTTACTGACGAGTCGGGACTATTGCCTAATTTAAAATTGAAACAACAAACTAATCATATCAGATATTTGCAGCATTAGTCAATGGAAGAGTCGACCATATGAAAAAGGTTAACGGTTGACGGCCATTGCCTTGCTTTATATATTTTTAAATATTTGTGCTATCCTCTGCCTGAAGTGATCTGTAAAATAGCTTATTCTGGTTTTTGGCAACATTTTGACTTTTTACAACGGAAAAATCTTTTCCTGCCTGTCGGTTTTCCGCTGTTAGTGCTCGCTGCCTGCCGATATACACAATATATGGCGTGCCATTTCATTTCTCATTCCATTTATACTGCTTTCGGCACTTTTTGGCTGGGGCTTGAAATGTTTTTACTATTTGCGGCCAGAATTGTTTTCATTTCGATTTCATTTGGTAGCTTCTGTAATGATTTTGCCAGACTTTCGTCGCAATTTATGTTTCTTATAAAGGGGGATAGCCTTGAATGGGTGATATATCATTTGAACTACCTATGGGAATTTTTGGGTGTGAATACCGAAAATATAAGCTACTTGCTTTATGTACTATTTGTACTTTTCCTATAATTTCTAATTTATTATGTATAAGCTATTTAAAAAAGTCTGATATTGCATTTCCGTTCTTGCCAAATTTGATTGGAAATGTTTATTGCACCAATTAGGAAACTAAAAAGTATTTAAATGTAATAAATCATACAAATCCTTTCACTACAAATCCTTTCAAAAGAACACCACTGACCCGATTTTCAATTGGCAAACGCAGCGACTATTGCGTCAATTATAATAATATGGAAAATACATTCCATCCATCTTTCTTTGGGCCGCTTCTTCGACAGCTGCTTTACTTGGCCAAAAGTGCAGCAGCGGCTAATTAATTAAATTTCGCTTGACAAATTTACGAGCCGCCAGGGGCGAAATGTTATTGAACTGATTTCTGACACGGCCCGGCGTGAATTGGGGCCACAAACACACACACACAGAATGCACAGCAGTACTCGTTAGCGATGATTGACAAGCCATGGGATGTGGCTTTCAGGGAGGGGTTTCTTGGGGACTTACCCCCACGTTCGGTTCGTCGGCGAAGCGGACGCGCTTCTTCAGCCCGCTGCTGCTGCGTCGCCGGCAAGAAGGAGGCAGCAGTGGTTTTGGGGGTGGCGGTGGCACTGGACGATGCTGCAGCTGCTGCGGGTAATCGTAGCCGGGCACGGTCACCTTCCAGAAAGCCGGTCGCCTGTATGACGCGGTCGCCGCGGCAGATCTGCTGGTCGTCATTGCTCACCAGAGACTAGCGTAAACAAAAGGCAAACAACAAACGCTCCCCAAACATTCGGAAATATTCGCTAAAAATTCTACTATTCGAACCGCGCGCCGCGGTGCGTCTGCTCGCGTCTGCGTGTGTGTGTGCACTACCAGGCAATTGAAAAGCCAAATAAAAACACATGAAAGGCCGCAGAATTGAGCGCAAATAAACTAATGAGTCAAAAGACAGGTGGGTAGGTGAGTGTCGTGCGGAATCATGAATGAAAGGGAGAGGTCAATGGTATTTGAGTCACCTGGGGGTGCAGGAAATAAGTCACTGCTTCAAGCCGAACTTACACATTTAAGGTTTCATATTTCAAACAGCAAATTCAAAATAAAGCGGGCAATAACGAAATGGGCTGCATTGGCAGGGTAATATGAAGATCGATCTGGCAACCTCGAGAACTGTTAGCTCCGAACAACGGTCACACTGAATGTTTGTTGTGATTTTCAATTCTCCGATTTTCCTCTATTAATTAATTGCCAGCGATCCAGTAAATCCACTAGAGTGCCCTGTATGGAGCTGAGGAGGAGCCACCCGCATATAGCTATACCATGTCCATGTTCAAAGCGCGGTAAGTGAGCCTTAGAATCGAATAAAAACCACTCGTACACAAAACACAACTTTCGCTTTCCCTCCCCGAAACGCAGTGTAAAGGAATTCGAGGATGTCCTGGCGGCCCCCCAGGACCTGATCGACCTGAAGCAGCTGCGACAGCTGACGTTTAACGGTAGGATATATCCCGAAACCTCTAACCGAAGATATCGGCAGAATTTAAACAGTGCCTGAAAATCCACAGGTGTGCCCGATGTGCAAAGTTTTCGGGCTCTTAGCTGGAAGCTTCTCTTGGGGTATTTAGGCCCACGGCGCAGCAGTTGGGCCTCGACACTGGCCCAGAAGCGGGCCCTGTACCGGCAGTTCATCGAGGAGCTAGTGCTGCCGCCTGGACATGCGAACAAAGGGGCCGGTGACGACGTGGATTCGAGGGGCGTTGGCCTGCAAGATCATCCGCTGAGCGAGGGGCCGGAGAGCGCCTGGAACACGTTCTTCAACGACAACGAGTTTCTGCTGCAGATCGACAAGGATGTGCGGCGCCTGTGTCCGGACATCTCCTTCTTCCAGCAGCCCACCGATTATCCCTGCGATATTGTGGTCCACAGCAAAGGCGAGCACGGACGGCGGCTGCACGAGCGGGTGGTGCCCGCTGTACTGAGCTCGGCGAACGTGGAGCGTAAGGGCCTGGGCATGACCAAGGTGAGTTGCAGTCCGAAATTGCGTGTTAAAATAAGCTCAGAATGTGTTGCATTATGCCTGCCATTTGGAATTTAGCAGCAAGTAAGTGTTCCCCTTCAATTCAACCCGAAAACTAATCTGGACCTTTCGATCGCAGATAAATTTGATCACCAAGCGCTCCGTGGAGAACTATGCCGCCATGGAGGAGGGCCAGGAGGCCCACTGGGAGGTTGTGCAGCGCATCCTGTTCATCTACGCCAAGCTCAATCCCGGCCAGGGATACGTGCAGGGCATGAACGAGATCGTGGGACCCATCTACTACGTTATGGCCTCGGATCCAGATCTCTCGTACCGCGCCCACGCCGAGGCGGACTGCTTCTTCTGCTTCACCGCTCTGATGGGCGAGATCCGGGACTTTTTCATCAAGACCCTGGACGATGCCGAAGGCGGTATCAAGTGCATGATGGCCAGGCTATCGAATATGCTCAAGGCGAAGGACATTGGCATCTACGAGCAACTGAAGAGCCAGGAACTGCATCCGCAGTACTACAGCTTCCGGTGGCTCACGCTGCTCCTCTCGCAGGAGTTTCCACTGCCAGATGTGCTGCGCATTTGGGACTCTGTGTTCTCGGATGAGCAGCGCTTCGATTTCCTCATCAGAATCTGCTGTTCCATGATATTGTAAGATAAATCTGGTAGTTGAGATCCCTCAAATGTATTTATACTTTTAAATATATTCTCCAGAATCCAAAGAGAAGCCATCTTGGAGAACGACTTCGCCTCGAATGTGAAGCTGCTGCAGAACTATCCGCCGATTGACATTAACGTGGTGATCACCCACGCCGTGACGCTGGCGTAGACGACGCCTGGAAGGATTCTTTCTTGCCCAAATGCTTTAAAGCCTGTCTGATATCAACGGAATGAACCAAGCAATCAACTACTTTAGTTAGCCCCAATCTGAGCGACACCTTTACAGGAACCCCCCTAAGTATACAGCACCTATCGTTACTTTTTATACAACTGTTTGATTTTTATATCTCATTAAAGCGAAGTAATTTTAACATTGCGGAGTCCCAATTATAAATGCATCTGAAAGTTATAGGTTTCTCAGTAGTCAATAGTCAGTAAAACAACACTGTACGTGTGGTATCGTCATTAGAACGCCATGTCAAGGATCATCACTTGCCCATCTTGGGAGCTGTATCCTTGCAAATGGTCTGCGCAATGAACTCTATTAGAGTCCGCGTGGGTCGTCCAGCCATGCCCTTGCGCAAATACTCGAACTCGTCTCCCCGAGTGATCATCACATTGGTGGCATCCTGCACAAGAAGGCGAAAGTGTCCCCATTATATTAAGTACTGAAAATACCGAGAAACTGATCTTACTATATGCATCCACTGGCCGCAGGGCACGAACTCTCGGAGGAAAGCAGCGGCCTTGCAGGGACGTCCTCCGCGTCCAATGCCGTAGTTCTGAACATCGCTGCGCTGTCCCGCTCGCACCGCCTTGCTGTAGTAGTTCCACAGGGGGAAACGCCACACGCGGTCACCAGTGTGCATGCTTGCGTGCTTGATCTGCTGCCACAGGATTTCAGAGTTGGTGAACACACCGCAGGCGGCCTCGTCCAGGGACTGCCGCATGTATCCAGAGCAGGTGCCGATATCAATGATACACTTGGGGCAGAAGTTCTGTCCATAAAGCAGGGCATCGGCCAGCACGAGGACATCCTCGTGGTCCGTGCACTGGACCTCGATGGTCTTGCCATTCATGGACTTGACCATATCGCCGGGCCGGAAGGAGTTGCAGCCAATGACGTTCTCGCACAGAGGAATTAGACCGCGGATGTTGACCTAAAAGGTATGAAGAATAGGCCAGGATCCAGCTGAAGATATGCAAAGAAACTCACCGGCAATCTGAGTCCAGCCACCGCCCGACACGTGGCCACCACCACCGCCGCTCCTGTCATATCGGCTCGCATGTGGAAGAGCTCGTGCTTGTCTTTGATGCACAGGCCACCAGCATCGTAGGTCACGCCCTGGCCCACCAGGACGATGGGCCGCTCCTCGGCACAGGTGCCGTAGTAGCTCAACTCCAAAAAGATTGGGGGCTCGCAGGAGGCCTTGCCCACCGCCAGGAAAGCGTGCATGGACTGGCTCTCTGCCCAGCCCTCGACCTTGACCTCCACATTGACACCGGACTTGCAGAGCACCTCGACGACGTTCTGTGCAAAAGCGGTGGGAGTGAGCAGGTTGGAGGGCATCTCCTGCAGCTGACGGGTCAGATTCTGCGCGGCAGCCTTTTGGAGTCCAATGCGCCAGCCCTCGATGTCGCAGATCTCGTCCTTGCTGGCGAACAGGTCGATGGAGGGCACAGAGATTCGTCGCTTTGGATCCCGCAGCTCCTGGTATAGCCAGATGCCCAGGGCAGCTCCTTCGGCCGCAGATTCGGCATGACCGCAATTCTCGACCTCAATCCGGTCAGTGTCCAGTTCAGCGAGAATACGACAGGCGTCCGCCACAGATCGCCGAATGGCCTCCTTCTGCTCGTCCAGGACCTCGTAGGGATTGTAGCCCAGGCACTCCTTACCCAGACCGACGACCGCCACTGCCGAGTAGTAGGGAATTCGCTCCGGCTCAATGGCGAACAGCATACGGGTCTCGCCCCGCTTGGGCATGGGTCCGGACATCCGTAGCACCTCCAACAACCGGCCGTTGGTCTTCTGAAGGTTGTACCGCCATCCCGTGGGCGTCAGGATTCCGGCATCGTTCTTGTCCTCCTCGTCCGCGAACACGCCTATGACCAGGCCACGCGACGGAGGATCCGCGCAGATTTCCATCTGCTGCAAGTGCAGCATCTGGTTGATTGCCTGCGAGGCGTATCCGCGAGAAGTGATCTCCGGCCGGCGGATAAAACGAGCGAGGCTGCACGCCCGCGATAGTGAGTTGCGCGTTAATCGGAACATTTCGAATCCCAAATTGAACATAGACTTTTATCAAGACAAAAGGATACTACAAATATTGAACAACTAGCACTTTTTGGTGGGGCTTTTAAATATTTCACAGAATTTTTTCATCCAGAATAACTTGAAAAGTGTACGTGTTACGACTATAAACAAATAAAACTGATACTGAAGCCTATTGTAAAGCCGTATCGACACTGACAGAAATTTACCCACAGTCTTGGATTTTCAAAAAACCATAACACACCGAGATTCTTAAAAAAGTCAAGTTTATTCTAACGACTTAAGGGGGGATATACATGTAAACCAAAATTTTTTTGGCAAATTTTTTTTTTGGTTTATAAAATAGTTTATTATTTAAAGAATATAGTGTGTAATTTTCATTATCGAATTCCAACTCTAAGTGCCTCAAATCAAGTATGCACGCAAGGTTCACAAGTGTTAACGTGGGCGCATCAAAAACTTTAAACGTCTTTTTCTCAGCTTCTAATTTTTGCATTTCTACCTATGCTATGGACACGATTCACAAAAAACTATGTAACATATCGGAGTGAATCAAAAATTATTATGATCAGCATGAAATTATCTTCTATTTGAACCTACATGGTTGTTATAAAACTGAGTATTACTATTTTTTAAGAGGGTGGGAAGTGAAAACTGATCACCTGAAAATGGCATTTTTTCCTTCAAATCAAAATTTATTTTTTTTTGTCTTGATTTCGCTTTGGTTTTTTAGGTTCAAATAGAAGATAAAGGTGTAATGAATACAAAAAAATTTAGTTTACGGATTTCGGACAGGAATTACGAGCTCTATCGTGTCCATAGCACGGCAACTCAAAGCTCGAGGCGCTACGGCATATGTTCCATAAGTCCGCCATTTTGTAAAATATTGTTTATAACTAATTTTTTTTATCATCTCTGATTCTACTTTTAACTATATCCAAAGTTTCACGACGATTGCTTGACTATTTCTTATAAAAAAAAATTCACGAAAAATGGCCAAATTTTAACCGCTTACATGTATATCCCCCCTTAATTAAGCAACTGAGGAGGCCTACGATCAATTTATACAAGCACAACATTTTCCCATTTTTGTTTTAATTTATAGGGGTTACATAATTAAAGTTGGCAAATTACAAATTTGAACAAACGGGATTCTTCTTTATTTTTGTGTATAACATCATAAACAAACAGAAGCATTATACTTCTACTTTTCCCTTTTAACATAATGCATATTGGGTCTTCTGATTCACTTAAAAAGTAAAAACAAAATTAAATGTATGATGGAGAAATTAAGACTAAAATTTAATTAAAGCAAAAATATTTAATATACATATAGTTTATTAAGAGTATGTTAAGCATAATATATTACAATTAATTTCATTAAAAATTTTCAACACGAATCTCTGAAAAAATGTGCTTGAACTGGTTTTTAAAAAAGTTTCTTCTGCCTGTGACGCGAGCGATTGCCTTTCTTTATATTAAAATGAAATTAATTTTGAAGATAACGCTAGCAAAATGTAATCCATTCCATATCATATATATGTATGTACATCCGCTCGATCCGTGTAGGGGTGAAGCCAACTCTAACACGAAACCCTACACTAGGCTAGAGTCTACTGGAGTCCCGGTTCCGCATCCTTATTCTTATCCTCATCCCTATCTGCTTTCATTTCCGTTTCCGCTTCGAATCGGTATGACATTTCTCAGGAGAGAACCGGAGCACTGCATCCATTGTTCAGACGGCAACTAGCACATAAAAGCTGGATAACTATGGAAATGTTTTTATTTTTTTTATGAACGATGTTTTCTGATCCAATTCCAAATGGCAAAAATTTACAAACTTCGGCTTCCTAAAGGGGAGGAATCTTTGTCCTTCGGAAAAATATATTCCGGTTCTTGGTCGAGATTTTTTAATATCTAGTTTTCTGTAAAAAATAAAACGTAGTTCTAGTTAGAAGATAATATTTTATTGTTTTTATTCGAAATAAATTATTTTTATAATGTGGTATATTTTTTGAGCCTTGCAAACATTGAACAGCGTATAAATAAATACAACTCGCGTCGCATTAATGCCCGAAGATAAATAATTTTAATTATTCGATCACTGTAAACGAACAACGTATGTTTTTGGGGCCTAGGAACAATCTCGCTTGCAATTTTGAAGGAACTGAAACAACCGACTAATAATTCACTAAAAATTTCGACGTGCTGGTAGCTAGTTATTGGGGCCGGCCACTCCGGCATCCCCTTGTCACACTCCTTTCACACTATTTGCCCATCTTGGGGGCGGTGTCCTTGCATATGGTCTGGGCAATAAACTCTACCAGGGTCCGCGTGGGACGACCAGCCATGCCGCGGCGCAGGTACTCGAAGTCTAAGCCGTTGGTGACCATCACGTTGGTGGCGTCCTGGAAAGGAGAAATACGTTAGGATACTAGAGCCCTGGCAGAAGCGGTCAAGGCTACTTACAATATGCATCCATTGTCCGCAGGGTACGAACTCTCGCAGGAAGGCGGCGGCCTTGCAGGGACGTCCTCCGCGTCCAATGCCGTAGTTCTGGACATCGCTGCGCTGTCCCGCTCGCACCGCCTTGCTGTAGTAGTTCCACAGGGGGAAACGCCACACGCGGTCACCAGTGTGCATGCTTGCGTGCTTGATCTGCTGCCACAAGATTTCAGAGTTGGTGAACACACCGCAGGCGGCCTCGTCCAGGGACTGCCGCATGTATCCAGAGCAGGTGCCGATATCGATGATACACTTGGGGCAGAAGTTCTGGCCATAGAGCAGAGCATCGGCCAGCACGAGGACATCCTCGTGGTCCGTGCACTGGACCTCGATGGTCTTGCCGTTCATGGACTTGACCATGTCGCCGGGCCGGAAGGAGTTGCAGCCAACGACGTTTTCGCACAGAGGAATTAGACCGCGGATGTTGACCTAAAGATCTAGCTATTTAAGCCAGGAACTAGGTGAAAATTAACAAAAGAAACTCACCGGCAACCTGAGTCCAGCCACCGCCCGACATGTGGCCACAACCACCGCCGCTCCGGTCATGTCACCGCGCATGTGAAACAGTTCTCCTTTCTTCTTGAGACAAAGGCCACCCGCGTCGTAGGTTATGCCCTGGCCCACCAGCACGATGGGCCTTTCCTCGGCACACGTGCCATAGTAGCTCAGCTCTAGGAAAATTGGGGGCTCGCAGGAAGCCTTTCCCACCGCCAGGAAAGCGTGCATGGACTGGCTCTCTGCCCAGCCCTCTACTTTGACCTCGACGTTAACTCCGGATTTACAGAGCACCTCGACGACGTTTTGCGCAAAAGCGGTGGGAGTTAGCAGGTTGGAGGGCATCTCCTGCAGCTGGCGGGTCAGATTCTGCGCGGCAGCCTTTTGGAGACCAATACGCCATCCTTCAATGTCGCAGATCTCGTCCTTGGTGGCATACAGATCGATGGCCGGGACGAAAATGCGGGTCTTGGGGTCGCGCAGTTCCTGGTATAGCCAGATGCCCAGGGCAGCTCCTTCGGCCGCAGATTCGGCGTGGCCACAGTTCTCGACCTCAATCCGGTCGGTGTCCAATTCGGCGAGAATGCGACAGGCGGCGGCAACCGATCGTCGGATGGCCTCTTTCTGCTCGTCCAAGACCTCGTAGGGATTGTAGCCCAGGCACTCCTTACCCAGACCGACGACGGCAACCACAGAGTAGTAGGGAATACGCTCCGGCTCGATGGCAAACAACAGACGGGCTTCACCTCGTCGGGGCATGGGTCCAGACATCCGGAGCACCTCTATCAGCCTGCCGTGGGTCCTCTGAAGGTTGAACCGCCAGCCGGCTGGCGTCAGGATACCGGCATCATTCTTATCCTCTTCGTCAGCGTAGACACCAATGACCAAGGCTCGCGAGGGCTGATCTGCGCACATCTCCATCTGCTGGAGCAACAGCATCTGGTTGATGGCTTGCGAGGCGTAGGACCGGCGCATCACCTCGGCCACATGTCGTCGGCACACCGGAGACTTTTTACAAATCCGGAACAACTGGCGCGAAACCCCAAACATGGTTTTTCACTACTACTACACCTTGAGTGCCGAAAAAAAATAGTTTCCGAAAGTTATAAAAATTTTGTTCCAAACAAGTTATGCAAGCACAGATAATTTTTACTGATAATTTAAGCCAAGTTGTTAACTCTACGAGACGTTCACATATACTGAATCTATAGATTTTGGGCTTTAGCTAGCTGGTTACTGGTTGTACTGGAAGTCAGGTGACATATGGTTCAGGGCCAACTATATGCTTTTCCATGGCCTACCTGGATGGGCTTTGAACTTGGCCAATTTCTACAAAAATCTCAATCTAGGTTAAAATAAAACGTATCCCAGATGACCTTCTTTCGTTTCGTTTATTAGTTTACATACTCAGCATAATCAATTAGGTACAATTCGTTCGTTAGGTAATACTGCTTAACATTTGAGACACAAACTAGACACAGACACGTACGCATATCGAGAACATTTTTGGTAACATACATATTGGGTTTTTTCCATTTAGCCACTACGAGTACGAGTAGGTAATCCTGTATATAAAATAACAATGGCTATCGAACGCCTTCTCTATTGCCCTCTAAGCAATTCGATCTAACAATTCTTGTACTTCGAATACGATTTGTATATGTAAATCGACCGTTGGTTGGGTTGCCGTTGCTGTTGCCTTTGGGATATGTTTCGGTTCAAATGGCTTCAGGTTCGATTCCTTTTGTTTGGTGGGTGTGTGTGTGTTCGATAAGAAAATATGCAGCTGATATACAGGGATATATCTACATATATATTCGTGGTTGGGGGTTCAACAGAGACTAGAGTTTACGTAAACTTTGAAAGAGTGCAACAATCTAAGGGTGCGCAGAGCACATAAGAGGCACGTTAGTTATTTGAGCAATTATAGCATAGAGACTAGAGTGTTATACAGCTGTGAGTATCCATGAGTCCTTGATCCTTGGTACTACTGCCCGGTACTTTGGCATTCGTCAGCAAAAAATCCCATCCCCCAGATCGCCATAAGCGAGTTTTTTGGTACGTACAAAAGGGTGGGCCAAAGTGAATTTTTCGGTTTCCATTTTTTTGTTTACAAGTTATTTGTTATTCATGTGGGCTTTCCTGTCGTATTGAGTTTATGTTGGAAGATTTGTTTACCCTGGTGCTCACTAAAGATGAAAAACTATTTATTATTTAAGGAATAAGGAAAGTTATTATAGCTTATCACTCATACGCGGTGTTGCCTAACCGCACAGTTTATTATTTACAATAAAGAGATCTAAAAACTGTAGGAAATGACGGAGGAAAATAAGAACTTTGAAGAAGATGCCTTCTATATTATTTGTTAACTATACTCCCTGCTGGCTTCCCTGTCGTATACGTAATGTAGTATACCACTTAATATTAATTTTTTCAATTTGTAATTCACAAAAACTAGCAATTTAAGCCTTTTAAAATACTGAAAATCCATGCGATTAAAATATCTTAATTTCAGCTTATTGAAAAATCGAAATAGCTATCTACGGCCGTTGATATGAGCATATTTAACCCAATTTGTAGTCAATTTTTTAACCCGATTCAAAAACGCAAAAACCAACCAATATGAACTCACAGTGGTCTGCCCTTTTGCACGTACCTTATAGTAAAAACCCGTTAACCAATCTTAAAGTTTCAATCACAAAATCGTGGTCACGGTTACGGGCAGGCCATCGGCATTGACAGCCTGCTCCGTCTGCACCCGGGTGCCAAAGCTCTCCGCACTGGTGGCCTTGCTGAGATCTATGGCCGGCACGTCCTCGTCGTAGTCGGAGGCCAGCTCCTCCTCCGCCAGGTAGCTGCACTTGGCCACAGCCTTCGCCAGATGCTGCTCCTGCTCCTTCTGCCCGTGGAAGAAGTGGGTGCGGGCCATGTAGATGATCCCGTCGTCCGTGTCATCGTCGTCCGTATGGCGCAGCGGGTAGTGGCCGTAGCCCGCCTCGCATTGATACGGATTGGATTTGACGTGCACGTTCCGGCAGCTCCCGCCGCAATTGTGGTGGCTCTCGGCATCACCGCCATTGGCACCATAGCAGTGGCCCCTGTGGAGCGAGTGGCCCGTCGACGACTGACCTCCCGAGTGGGTTTGGGGATGGCTGTGGCCCTGGGAATGGGTATGGGTGTGCACCTGACCCACGCCAGCCTGGGCACTGCTGGAGTGGGCCACTGACTGCTAGATGTGCGAGTGCGAGCGGGCAATGGAGAGCGAGTAGGGACTGAGGTCCTTCTGGATCCGCATCGAGTCGTAGATGGGGAACTCGCAGCACAGGATGAACTTTAGGGCACTGGGCACCTCCACGTAGACGGCAGGTGGCACTGGGATCAGTGGTGAAGTGGAGGCCTTGTACTTCCGGTACTCCAGCTGACTGTAGAAGTTGGGGGAACAAAACAATACAAATTCTTAATAAATTGTAAGGGTTATTTAAATATTTACTTTAAATCTTTCAATTATAATTGTTTTTATATTTTAAATATAATGATTGTCTTCTAAATTAATGCAACTTACTCTTTGTACTTCTCATCGGCACTTCGTTCCCTTAGCGGAATCCCGGACAGGAAGAGGATAATCATCGTCGTAAAAATGGGCGAGGCAATTGCCACCCACTCGTGACCGCTGATTACGTTCAGCGATATGGCAAAGATGCCCCACCAGATGACCACCTCACCAAAGTAGTTGGGATGCCGCGACACGCTCCACAAGCCTTTGGAAGATCTTCCTTTAAAGATTGCCCAGAAGCTGTGCATAGTTAAGAACTCACCATCGTTGCAGAACTTGCCCTGATTGGCCGGATCCTGGCGGAAGGAGAATTTCTGCAAGTCCGCATAGGTCTCCGCCAGCAAACCCACTATAAACATGCCGGTGCCCGTGGAGTCTAGCGTGGTCATGGTCTTGGGAGCATGTGGCTGTGAGTGGCGTGGCGAGTTGATAATAATAACAGGCAGTGACACAATGTAAACCCACACGGCCTAAGAAAGGGGGAAGGTTGTATTAAATACCAAATAGGTTTTTATTTATTCCTTAAAGCTAAAAATAAAATATAAATACTTTGGAAACACTAAAAGAAACATATATATTTTAAAACCTTAAACTCAGTCATTAACAACCTATAAATTCAATGCTTCTTCTGCTCGGACATTTAGTTTAAAATATATCAAGAAAGGTTGGTGCAATATAAATGTTCTCTTATTTAATATATAATTAATGCTAATTTAAGCTTATTAGTGAAACAATTCAATTAATTTAGCTTGCTTTAATGTTTTTATAAACCTTAAAAATGCCTATAAATGTCTATACAGATCAGAGATCCCTTGATTTAGTGCACTTTTCACAGATTTCTCAAATTGGCTGTGCTTCAACTGGCAACAAGTGATTGGAATTCAGGCGAAATGGGAAATAAATTCAGACAAAACGATGGCGGGACATGCCACATGCAGCACGCCACGAAGGACGGACTGCAGTCGTCCACCATTCCATACACTGAAACATTAACAGGCCACCACCCACCACACCCACAACGTTTAGCAGGCGTCACCCACATGTGTCATGTCATTCTGCCACAGAGAATGGCGTTTTAATTGTTGGCCTGATTGTATGTGGGTGCTGTGTGGGTAGGTGTTGCTCTGGGCCAGAATCACATGGTGACCGGTCTGCTGACGCTGACATTTGCATGGGGCCCAGTTTGGGCGGACGACAAGTGCTGAAATATGAAATATTCACAACCTTTGCGCACGTGTCAATTAGTGACAGTTTGATTGATTTTCCACCTCCAAGTTGAAGGCTCTGTCATTGAGAGCGAAATTGAAAACTGGCTGACGCAACTGATTGCCCTAACCTCGTGCCCCCTGCACGAGTACTATATGTACACCTGTTCTCTCACCTGGAATGTCCAGAAGACCGCGTAGCGTATGATGTTGCGGCGGGTATCCTCGAACTGCTTGTCACGGCCCAGCTTGACAATCCTGTACAGCAAATATCCGGAGAGCCGAGCGCCCCACAAACAGACGAAGAGGGTGACCATCAGCTGTCGACTGTCGTAGGCCTAAAGAGGATTTAGATAGATCATGAAAATATAATTATACTTAAGATTTACAACAATTTTTGTAGAATTATAGAACTGAAAATAGTCCAAAGCTCACTGGCTTAATGGTCAGCCTAGGATACTTAAAAGGAAGCCAAGGCTGCCTATTGAAACTTCTAAACAGTCAAGCTTCTTGTCTTTGGAAAGATATCTTTTAAATTCGCTTTGATTTATTTTTCAGAGCCACGAGGAAGCAATAACTTTATTCGTTTTTAAGTAGTTTTAAGGCATATTTTTCAGTCTTTGAACCTCTTGTAACTGATTTCCAACCTGCATCAGTAATTTTAACCTTTGCTACAGAATAAAATAAGTAAGTAAAGTAATTTTTCAACCCTGTGCTGTATTCTGTCTGAATATTAAATATCCAATCCTTCTGAAATGCGGTCTCAGGTTGCTGAATTTTCAGGGAATTTTATTTTGGCAATAAAAGTATTGTGTGGGTGTGTGCGGATCACGTCGGCATTGCAATAAACATTTAGTGGTTGCCATTTGGGAATGAGTTATTCTCGGACTCGGGGCAATTTGAGGGAGCCTCCGCAAAAGTTCGAGTTCAAGGCTGAGCCCACTGCCCTGGCAAGGAAGTCCCTCTCGTAACTATTCTAGCACCAATCTCCGCCTTAACAAAGGCAGTTTCCTTTTGGTATCTAGGGTATCTGGGAAGTCGTCCCCCTTTCCGCCAAAGAAAAACGTACAAAAATTCATTGGCCAACGAGCAATTCGCACGAATTTACTGGTTTATTTTTGCATCGTCAGAGGAGAATTGTTCTTGTGATGTTTTATTTTACAAAACCACTTTCGGTGGTCATGCAAATTTTGCATAAATAAAGCGAAGCACGCACGAGTGCAGGCGGCGGCTCTATGCTTTCTGCTGCACCCTCCCAGAGTGACCAGCTGGTGGGGATTGGGACGAGGGAGTCCATGGATGAGTGGACGGACGGGTTTGAGTTGGTTCAATAATGAATGAGTCCCGGACTGTGCACTTTGCATATTTATAAACGGCATTGAGCGAGCGGCAAAGTGGAATCAGAAATGCATTTCGCACGGAGGAGAGCCTGCCCCTCCTCGCAAACGGCTCATGAAAAATGCAGGGAAAAATTGTTAAATTGCTTTGTCAATGGCAGCTCAGGCTGCTCATGACCGTAACCGCAGTCAAAGTCACTCCTGGAGGATGAGGTCATGGCGAGGATACGTTGAGGCCGAGACCGGCAATTTATTGAGTGCGCCTCGGCTGATAGTTTAATGGGTTTGTCGTAGCGAGGCGGACATGATTGCCTATTTTGCTGTAGTTTGATTGAGCTGCCTTTCAGCCGGCTCTCGGGCCATTTTATCGCTCGATTTATTAAGCGAGACTGAACGGCGATAAACCATAGCCAGGCGACTGCATGCAGCGCCAGTAAAGCATTTTTATGGCACGGACACACACAGACACCGAACAAGCAACAACAGCCACAAGCCATGGCAGCACTTCCGCTTCCGCCCGACGTCGCATCGTCCGCCCGCCGCCCCATCTTCCCTTCGCCCCCTCTTTAAAGGAAAACATTTTTCATTGCCAACTCAATTTCAGCTGGCAGCTGACAGCCATTTAAATTTAATCGACGATCGATATTGAATTTAATGCGTTATGCGTTTTGGTCTATTGTCACAAGTCACAAATTTGTGGTACTGAAAATTAATTGAACATAAATGCAAATCGTGTCCGCAATGAAATTCTTGCGTGTGCAATTTTTGCCACTTAGTTATTTGTTTGTTTGTTGTTTTTCAGTGTGTTTGTGTCCAGGACAAAGACAACAACAACGCCAGCAGATAGATGTGAATTTATTTCTCAATTTGCCGGCCAAATTGGTATAAGCCCTTTAACAAGCTTTCATGGGCTATTGAGTGAATCGATACTGTTGTGGGCGTTAAACAAAATGGAAAAGTGGAAACTGAAACTAAAGCTTTCACGGGCTTTGTTTTGCCTTAAAGATATAAAACTGTAAACGGCTCTCTAGCCATATTCTAATTAATATTATGTTTTTTTGAAATGAGCTTTAAGGACCTCAATAGGTGTAAAACAAGCTGGTTTTAGTCATTATGTATCAGCATTTACCGCTATTAAAACGATGATTTTGGAAGAGATAAAAGTCCATTGAAGAGTAAAAGAATAATATATAATGAATATTTAGTTATAAAAGAGGTTTGAATTAGTGCAATATTATTTATAATAGATTATAAAGTTAACAAACAGTCCATACTTTAAACGAATCTTTTATTGTTTCAATTTTAAATATAACAAAGTGGCCATTAGCTAAAATGTGTCATCAATAAATTCAAGTCAAATGGCGTTTAACACATTTAACTTTTTGATTTATCTCAAATGATTCTCCATTAACAAAGTAAAACAATCATAATTAAAATCTAGGAGAAAGAGAGGTATGAAATATTAATTTATTCCAAAGTGTCAGCAACTAAGATAAATATCATTTCCTCCAGGCTTGAACTGACAACAAAAAGAAAATACCGACCAAAATAATTCATATATTATTTCCTTGATAATTATGGTTTTTCATTGGAGACATATGTTTGTTCGATATCAACTATAAATCAAGAGCCCAAGGCAGACAAGTGTCAACACCAGAAATGGTGGGGTTATGAATTACCTTTGGTATTAAAAAACAATCGGATTTTTAAAATTCTTTTCAGGAATATAAGCCATAATTAATTTCAGATAACTTTCTTTTGTAGAAAATTTACTTAAAATATCTGTTAATTTATATTCCTAATTAACAAGTTTTCCAATTACACTTGATATCCTTCGAAGAAAGCCCGCTTTAAATATTAATTAATGAGCCTTAGGCATACACAGGACTGGCGGAGAACATAATTTTACCCAGGAATGCCTTGGTAATGACAGGGAAAATTACAAAAGTGCCCATCAAGACAGATTAATTAATTGAAAATTGTGGGAAATCTCCGGCCTGCCGGTGCAATCGCTTTCAAGCTGCCCGCAAATAGCGTTAGTTAGCTGCTTAGGCAGCGTGTTAGGCTGGCGGAAGGACACGCCGACAGGCGGATTGAGGACCCTCACGATGCCAAGGTCATGCCACAGCCGAGAACAGAGCTCCACAGCTACAGCTGCCACGGCAACAGCGGCGCAGATACGGCAACAAATACGACATGGAACACACAGGCGGCGAGAACACAACAAGAAACAACAGCGAAATGGGGGCCTCGATGGGCGTAACCTTTTGTGTGTCGGCGGCAATGGATTTTAATGTGTGCGTATGCGAAGCTCAGTTTTCAATGTCAGCAGCCGAAACCACCGACAGCCACCCTGCCAGCCCTTGGCCCCTGCCAACGCCAACAACCCTTCACGCTCAGTTGGGTGACATGTTTATGGCCCCGTTTAAAGTTGAGAAGATTTCATTTTGAGAAAATAATATGTAAAACAATGAAACCTAACGACTAACAAAGCTACAAATTTTCACTAATTTGTATTATTACTTTTGTTATTTGTTAAACAAAGCGTTCTTGTTACTGTTTGTTAATTTAAGCTTTTAATATTTAAGGTTTAACAAAACGTTTGTGTTTCTTTTCGTTATTTTTAAGCTTTAAATATTGCTGAACATTTGTTATTTATGGGTATTGGCAAACTTTATTGCCTTCGGGTATCTGACATTGGAATAAATTACTTTTTGACTCTTTTATGATTGCAGATTTTGTATCAATGATTTATTTGGGGTATTTTTGATTTATTTTATTATTTTTTTGTAATTATTTTCTTAATTTATTTATTGTTACTTCAGCGGAAAAGCAGCTCATTTTTTCTGTTTTGAAATACTTATAACAACATATTTTTGAAGCGGTTTGTGATAAAAATCTAGTTGCAAGTGAATTTTGTTCACTGTTCAATGGAATTCATTAATAATATTTTTTCCAAGAACCTTGTTTATCAGTAACAATACATAGTCAGTTATTAACTTATTATTTTAGTTATTGAAGCACCATAAGAATCTCTGTATTTAAAAACCCAGAATTTGCAATAAACTAAACTAATTTTAATATTCTTTACAAAACTTGTAGCAGTTGTTAATTATTAAAATTCCACTCACCTTCGAGGGTCGATCGATTTGGCCGAGAAAAAACGTGAGCAACGAGATGATGATGAAGTTGACGCCGCCGGCAAAGTCCGTCAGCTTGTCCATGTGCAGCATGGAGTTGACCAGGAAGAAGAACAGCTGCAGGCTGCCCACCACAATGGCGCTGATGGCAAAGTGATCGTAGTCCAGTACATTCACGGCCATTGTTGCGATGAGCGCGGGTTTGCCCTTTCAACTGGCTGGCTGCCTGGCCCTGTTTCAGCGGCTCTTCTGTTTTGTGGTCCTGCCGGCAACAGGTTCACTCGTCCACCTCGCGCTGTTCTTTAATATTGCAAAATGTTTTGCCTTCACATCGCTTCACTCACACTTTGGGGCCACCTCCTCTCGTGGATGTCCGTGTTGCTCCTGCTGCCGGAGTGGCTTTACATTCTTTGCTTGCTGGGTGGGTGGCGCTGGCTACCAGCCAAGGATTCCCCCTCTTTTTTCGGGGGCAGGGAGGCCGCTTGTTGATTACGTATTTATGTGATGATTGTTTATTTGGGGTCGGGTCGAGTAGCCTCTGCAAAGTGCAATAAATAATGCAATTTGAGCAAGCTGTGGCAGCTCCAAGTTATTTGCTAAATGAAAACTTAATTCAATTTCCCGCGCTCAGCGCCACGTAAGTGGTGTGTCCTACCCGCCCCCGACTGTCCCCCCTTGTGCCCATTAGCTTTTCAGGCACAATTTTAGCATAACCGCCTCGACATGGCAACAATCTCAAGCCCTTTTCAACCAGCCAGTCTGTGTGCATTGAGCCGACAAATCGTTGGCAAAACAGGAGGCTGGAGCAACATGTTATAATCTTGTGGGGCGGAGATTAGAAAATGTATTAAAAATAAATAATTTCTATGAAAGGAAATTGTAATAGTAAAATGAGATGCTTTACTTTTGTAAGTATTAATTTCCCTACAGTTTTCATTATGAAAAACTGTTGCGTTTAATTAAAACTTAAAAACACAAAGTGCTCTAAAACCCTTTTTTCCTAACTAAGTACGCCCCTGATCCTGGGTGTGTGTGCTCAAATGGTTTATATGGCACATACTTGAGCTGGCTGGTTTAACTTCTTGAGCCTTTATTTGCCTCTTGCGCTTGACTGCATTTGCACTGCTCTTCCTTTGGACAACGCAGCCTCCATCCGCAGCATCCCTGCAGGACCCCTTAATGTCCTCTCGTCCCCCCATTCAACGACCCTCGTTTGGGCAACAACATTTTCCTGCCTGCATACATAATTAACAAATGGAAATGGTTATCTATGTTGCAGTGTCCTCCTGCAAATCTGGCCCCGCTCAAGTGGGCCATGATGTTTATGGCGCTGCAGGTGGAAAAGCCGCAGGGAATCGATTTTCGGACAGTTTAATGGAGTCCCGAGAAGCTCTCCGAAAATTTACTGACGACGGATTAGCTCTGCTCGAAGTGGCCTTTGAAATGTGGTGATTGCGCTGTGGTTTTCCGCCCATACAAATAGCAACTCAATTAAATACAAATTTTTTATGGATTTCCACGGGACTTTTAATGCACTCGTCAGACATATCCTTGTGTTATTCTTGTTTGATTGAGCATTGGAATATTTATTGACTTAAAAAAAAGCTACTCAATTAAATATCAATTTTTTGAGCTTTCGCGAGATTTTGTGTTACCTTCTGGGAATTTTTTTCATTTATTCACGGGTATTTCTTTTCTTTGCCATATTTTAAATACCTTAAGTATAAAAAAATTAAATTGTTAAATATAAATGTTGCTATTTTCAGAATTTTCCTTCCATTAAATGTTGCCTGCTTTTTCATGGCAATTTTAATTAATTCAACCGAAACAGCATTTTTTGTTGGTAGTTTCATTTTTTCCATAGTTTACCAAATTAAATTGAAATGCCAACGTTTAACAATAACATTTTAAATGAATAACAACTCAGCATAATAGCTTAAACTGAAATCAAATTATTTTTTAATTTAAAAACCCCATTATTTCCGTTCACTTTGCCTTTTCTGTTCTGTGCATCGTTTTAACCTTATAAGTAGTAAATAAAGTTAATGGAAGCTGTCAGAACTTTTCTGCTAAAGAGGTTTCAATTATAGGAATTAATTTGCACTTTTAAGCACTTTGCATATTGTTGCCTGAGCGGAAGTGTTATAATCTGTTGTTGAAGTTCAAGTTCAGAGATTTCAAAGTATCCCTACTTTGATAAGATTCTTAGAAAATTGAAGCTCAACAAAGTTGCATGTGAACAGGTTGACGAATTTAAACTGAAAAGGCTTTTCATTGACAGATTGCTGCCCAATATAATTTCCCAGAACGTAGCTCCTATTGCACCCAACCAACCGAATTGTAACCATGTAATCATTTCAAAGATAATTAGACTTGACTTTCCGCTAATTTGCAAGTAATCCCATTCTGAGGGAATTTTCAGAACGCCCCCGGAGGCCCTCAAATATATGCAACGCTTTTTGCATTCGCAACTCGCCAAAGAAATGCATCGGCATAGCACATTCATTAAAGCAACACCCGCGGCGCATTCAAGGCCCAAAAACAAAGGCAGCAGACGTGTTAAACTTGTGCCTCCATAGCCATAAGTAAAAAGGACGAGCAAAAAAATGAAATAGGAAAACACCTTAGTATATGCAAAAAGTCAGTCAGCTGTGCTGTTGCCACTTGGCTTGCTCCTCGCCTGTTGTCATTGTTGCCGTTGTTTGTGTTACTTTGACTGCAGTTTATGCACGGAAAAAAATAATTGGTTCGTTTACAATTAGATTTTAATAATTATAATCTCTATAATCCAATTACCCATTATTATTTTGAATTAAAAATGCACTTTTAGTTATTCTTGAGTTTATCTAATTACAAAGACCTTTACAAATATGCAACCTTTTCCCTTCCCGAGATTCCGGGGACACGGGGATACGGACTGGGGTTATTCGTTGCCGCAAGACATTGACAAGGTGTCTGCCAGGCTGTCACTCACACTCACCGCAGCTCGGTGCTGTTGTTTGTTGTTTTCCCTGTGTGGCGAAAGCTCAGGAGTGAATTTACATACCAGGCCAGAAGACAGAAGCCAGAAGCCAGGACTCAGACTCGGATTCCTGCCACCCGCGCCCTGGACAAATAGTCGCCCCACAAGCTGTGCCCACTTTTAAACGCATTTTCGCGTGCTTTGCATTTTGTTCGCCAGCGTCGTTTGCCATTGTCGCCACCTTCTCTCCGTGTGGGCATTAAGGCATTCGAGCTATGAATTCACAAAATTGAACAAGAAAAGTCTAGATCGATGAGGGTGCAGCTTAGATACCCTGTCAAATGAAAGAAAGGGTCTTGCCAAGAAACGAAAACTTTAAGAAAGGAATCCCTGACCTTGTAACTGAAACTTAAACTTGTTTTCTATTATTTCCTTTGTTGAGATTGTATTAAGGAAACGGGATTTACTCTGGAAAACATTTGTTTTCATTTAAGTAAGCCAAGTTTTTTCAAGGCTTCTTACATTTCCTTTAACAAGCTTCTGAATAAATAAGATTGTATGTTTCCTATTGAAATGAAGAGAAGAAGAGTATATATTTTAATGGCTCTTTAATGGACACCAATTAAAATACTCTCTTGAGTTTGTTCAAATGCCTTTTGTGAAAATCTCGGGAACCCTAATTTCACACCCTTGTGCCGTGTACTTACATGTGTTCGGCATTAGCTCTGAGCAGTCCCAACAAATTGAATATAACCCTCAACCTCAACCTATTACAACACTTTTCACGGTCGAGCCAAGACAATTCTCGATTTTCCGCGCGCGACAACTGCACGTTGCTCTGTGCCAGTATTTGTTTTCCGCGGTGTGAGTGCTCCTCGTGGGTGTGTTTTAGCTGTTGGCACTGCATTGGCTCCATGTAATGGAATTGGCTGCGGTTCAACGGTGCGTATGATTAACTTTATAGCAGCCAAACGGCTGAACGGCAAAACGGAAGGCTAAAGAAGTTCCATTTAGGTGGAAAGCGTTTGCGATTGCTACCACTTGGTGGGACTGGATGTCGTCTGTTTGCCGTTTATGCTAATTGTTGTCATAGTTTCTGTCAGTCCTGCTTGTCGCCCCGCTGTGTCACAGGCCAATTAGGCATCTGCCACGATTTTCTGTTTTGTGTTGACTTTATTGATTGTCGGCTCAATTTGCCTCGCTTTTTCCATGCCCCGCAATTAATGGTGTCGAACTTTTGTCGCCGGAAAAGCCGACAAACCTTAATTTAATTATACGATACCAAGAGTCTCGTGTAGTTGCCCCTATTAATTAGTAACAGAACCAGCCACGCTTGCTGATTTTGGCAAGCAAATAAAGAGGTAATTGTAACTGAAAGACCTAATAATTAAAACAAAGCAATATTTAAGTTAAACGGAATACTAAATATATTAAAAATCTCACACAAAATGACTGCAAACTTTCCATGGTCCCTGCTTTAGCTTTAAACTGAAAGCTTGCAGCGTGATATCATCTGAAGGCGGCCTTGCTTCTATTCCCATTTCGCCCAAATGTGTGTCCATACCAAAGATTCTGCCGAGTAATCCGGCGAAATTGTTTTCTCATGGCCCAGCGAAATGGGAACGTATTAAACTGAAATATTCATAAAGTGCAACTCGTAGCCGAGCAATTCAATAAAGCGGAATCCATATCGAATTGACTGCCACCGGCGGAAAATTTCCATAAATAACCAATTCTGATGGCTAGATTGGCACTTTATGTAATCCCACCGAACGCGCCGCGTCGGTTCGAAGACAAGGCGTGGGAATAATGCCTTAATGGTGGCTTTATCATGGGCACCTTGAACTTGCTGCTGCCGCTGGTTTTCAAACTGTGTGTGGCTTGGCCAAGGACCCTTTCGGGGCTAACTCAACGGGTGGTCGCCTCAAAGAATTATTGACGTTTTTTCAATTAAACTTGGTGTATTTATGGCTTTCGGTGAGTTCTATTTTTATGACTGTACGGGACGGGACGCGATGGAACGGGCCGGGCAACTAACATATCCTGGTAATGTGTTTGCGTTTTGTGTCAATAGTGTAACTGAAGCCATTCCAGCTAGCTAGGTATACACATGTCCTGTGCTATCCTGTGGCAGATAAATAAATCGCACAGAAGCTAAACAGAAAAACAAGTGTACACTAAGAAAATTTGTTGTTACTAGATTAAGTACCGATGTTTAATTCTCATAAAAAAGACTATCGCTATCGATTTAAAATCAACTAAAAATGTAAATAAATGATGCTAGACAATTTTATAACATACTTTTGGACATTATTTTCAATGATTTCAAATCCACAACAATTTCTGTGCGACCCCTGTATACAATTTTTATAAAAAACTAACGTTAAAGTTCGGTTTTCTAATTTAAAAATGTTTTCTCAAGAAGAATGCGGTACTTTATTTCCAAACCTTATTTTTAATTCAGCCACAGTTTCGGGCTAGATTTTGTTCGAGTGTAGACGCACACGCACTGTTATGTACACCACAAAATAAGACATATATGTACATACATGTAGATATATGTAGATATATGTTTTGTATATATACTCGAACGCTTAGAAACAGACATTAGAGTGTCTTTCTGGTGACTTTGTCCGCCTTTTTCAGGTTGACACAAGCGGGGAAGTCAAGCGAGTTGGACACGCGCTAAGTTTTACAATTTCCCTCTGAAGGTCTTGGCGCCCACTTCTCGTGCCCTTCCACAGAGACCTCCCCCCTCCCCAAGTTCTCACGCTGCCAAACAAGTAACGCACATTTCCGTTTCCGCTTATGCCACAAAATGGCCAAAAGTGGCCGCCATTGATGGCCCGCTGATTAGTTACGGTTTTTACGTAGCCCCCGCCTGAGCTTAATTTCTCCTCGTGCTGCCGCTGCGGTTTCTTTTTATTGCTGCCCTCACGCGTCACTCTTCACCCTGCTTGTTTTCGATTGCAGCCAGCATCTAACAGAGTACGAGGCGAAAACAAACGCACCAGACGCCGCGCGCTTTTGGGAACGGAAATGAGCCCGGGCAACCGACGCAACAGACGACTCCGGGTGAACTGAAACGGCGATTCTCTTCCAGCAGCAGCAGCTGCAAGGTTGAGACCGCGTCTCTCGGGCGCTCAGTGCGCAACTGCTGGGAAAGGGGCGCCAGATTTCAAATTTTAAGTGGTCCCTTGTAACGTAGAAAAATGTTAGTTTGATAAGGAAAACAATGCTACGATATAAATTTCAAAATTAAAATTGAAATCAACTCAAAGGATTCCCCAATTACTTTATTAATATGTCATGAAAATTCTAGTTCCAGAGTCCCGAAGAAAATGGTGGTTATGAGTTATTATTTAATTACTCCATGCCGAAAACTGCCTTGAGCTCCGACACTTTAACTGAATCCGCTTGCTTAAATTGCCACAATTTTCCGCAAGCACACTTCAAGGGCCCGGAATTTTTTAAGAACGGAATGAATTTAGTCATGGCCTGGAAAATATAAGTATGGACATTATTAGGAAAAGGAATATTTACGAATATCAAAGCTATCTCACCTCGAGCAAGATCTCTTCAAATTTTCCTTCTGGTGATTGGAACATCGTGTATGATACTATGTTATGCATTTTTTCGACTGTTAAGGATGAATCCAAATGGAGTTGTAGCAACAATACATTAATCTTGTTTACCATTTCCGAAATATTTGCTGCAATTGAATTAAAAACCGATTTTTGAGTTTGGCGAAAGAAATTATGATGGAAATGGTAAGCAGGAGATTCATGCGAGAAAGTAAAACTTAATGCGAATTGATACAATATTGAGGGCGCTTCCTGCTCTTCATATTCCTTGATAACAATTTTTAAATATTGATTTCCGTCATCCTCGAACAATCCTGTGTGTAGGTTGTTGTATGTCCTGCCACTTTTACAATTGATCTTGCCCATTCTTAGGATAGCTTGCCTTATATCCCAGTAAAAAAGTTTGGTTAGCTTGAGGCCATTGACATATCCGTTCTCGACTGCTGGATGGTATACAGACGTCTTGAGCCTAAAGACTCTGAATGGATGGCCCCCAACTAAGCGAGGCTCTATCTTGAATGGCATGTTGATGCGAAGCATGGGTATCCATATTTTGTAAATATCTTTTTGAAGGTAGGTGCCTGTAAGATATATTAGAGTATGTAAATTTTGTATTACAAAAAGGTGGTTTAGGGGCAAGTCATTTTTAAAGAATTTGATAAGCGAAGAAAATTTTTGGTTTAAAATATCCGCTGATTCTAAAGAATTGCGACTTACACGTATCTATCCAGTCATTCACTCTTTCCTTGAAAATGGAATTCATATTAATTAGTTCCAGATTAATCTTCTCGGATATTTCGACTGCATCTTGAGTGTATAATTTACTCTCTGACTCCGAGGGCTTAGGTAGACCTTCTGAAAGAATTTTCAGCGCTTCGTTAAATTTAAGCGACATATTTTCTCCTGATTTTTTATTCGGAAATCCCCAGAAAAACTTTCGGTTGTCAAATCCTTCGAGATGGACTTTTGTTTGACTATCGAAGTAACATTATCGATAATAAGCCTTGTAATTTATTGAAATGTAACCAAAATATGCTGTTTTCAGTTCTCCCTGCGAATCAATTTCTTATAAAAACAATTTAATTCCTGAATATAATATATATATCAGCGATGGGCACGCAGTGGCTCAATTTGCTCACGCTGCTCAAACCGTTATCTTTTTTCGGAGGCGCCAGCATGTCGCACAATTGCAGACGCACAAGTGCAGTGCTCGCGACCAGCGAACCGTGAAGATTTACAAAAACAACCACACTGACCTTTGGCGCAGGTAGCGAGCACATCCCCGCGATCCCGAGTTTGCAACAACAAAACACAAGCGACCGAACTCGCACATCGTCCCAAAAACAAGAACAATTTTAAAGGGAACTGTGCGGCTAGCGTTGACTTCTGCACTAAAGAAAAAAGATTGGATTTCTTTTGCAGTCGTTTTTCTTAGGCGGACATAAATGCACGCAAAAATGGCTGAAGATATTGATCTACTCAAAAAGTTTTTGTCAGTGTATTTTCTCGGCTCGCACATTCTGTGTGTCGCGTGGGTGCGACGCTTCGCAAAGCTGGGGGTTGTTGTTGTTTTTTTTTTTCAGCGAGCTGCTGCTCAAACCGTTAGATCTCGTGCCCATCGCTGATATATATAGTTATATTCTTAGCCATATAAAGAAATATCCATAATAGTAGCAATACTGGCTGTTCAGGTGTTTTACCAACCGATATTTTTGGAAATTGAATCGTTTATATTTGTATATACTTCTCTTTTATTAAAATATAAACAAAAAAGTAAGGATGTACATATCTTTAGCAGGCAAAAGGAGGAATGCCCGATCACAAGAAGAATATTCTCTGTGTAGGGAGTATGCCGGCAATAAAGTTGCTATTTCGAGAAAAGGTTTTAAAACGGCTTCCTTCATGTGGATGCAAATGTTCCTCAAGGACTCCATGGTCTAGTTCCAAGTTTTTTTTTTTTTACTTTAAGTTGGGTCTAATTAAAGAATTTTAAATATAATTTCAAGCCGAAAGTTACTTTCCCAATGGGAAATACAAATAAAAATGTACTTCTCAAATTCATAATAATATATATATTTTTTTTTTTTTTTTTTATATATATTTATTCAATAATAACAAGTATACTGCTACCTATGTGGCAGCTTAAACAGGTTGTAAATTATAGGGGAAGAACGAAATTTAGTTATACATGATTTAATTATTAAGCTACAAACAGTTATATAAATCTTAACGGGAGGTCATGTGGGTGGTATTTTTTGAGTCTCCTTTTTCTTGGTCTCAATATGAGCCTATTCGCTAGGGAGTTAGGATGAGAATAATATATTAATTGGTGAAAATAACGGCAAGAAAATTTAAATAAACTGCAACAATTTTTTTAACTTTGAATGTGTACAAATGGAGTGTTCAACATTTTCAACTATTTAAATTAAGCGCACTTGGTGCCAATGATGCCACTGTTGAATTTGGCAGCACTGTCAGTCAAACCAGAAAAGGTGGCAACGCTGACTATGAATAACAGTCTGCGTTTTCGCATAGATTCTCAGTTGCAATGCTTGTCAAACATTTCAATGCTTCCAAAAACATGTTGTTAACGAATGCGAAAACATTTTACGTTTCAAACTGTAACGTAATCGTCGCTCTGGCAACCCTGTCGCGCTCACCAAAGTGCAATCCAATTGGAACCAGCCAAACCAATTGGAACCAACAAAGTACAAGCAATACACTGCGTTTGGGTAATTCCTTACAGAGCCAGTATCCTTTATTCAAATCTCGGCCGTGAAAAGCAGTTTCGCAAATGGGCGCACTGGCCGCGTATTCGCCAGATACGGCCACACTGTCCACGAAACGGGGAACTCGCATTGCATGTGAAATTATTTAATCCTTTAATTAAAGTTGTTGCGGGCGAGCTCCTGCATCGGCGCCGCCGATTGCGTAACAAGGGCCTCTTCGGGGTTTCTGGTCGGAGAGCTCAGAGTTGGTGGCCGGAATGGCGTTGGCCTTGCGCGTGGCCCGATTTGCTCCGGGTCCGGCGAATCATCGTCGGCGGCTGTTACACCTGTGCACCCTCACCACCACAGCCGCGACTGCCAGGTGAGCGTTCAGCCGCCCTAATTAGCAATCGGCATTAAAATTCAATTACCACTCCACAGCGATAACCTGCAGAGAGCAGTGTGTTGTCTCCAACCACAACAGCAGCGCAGGCAGTTATCTACGAAGCCATCTGCGGCGGCTCCGTCGCAGATCAAGCGGAATGTAGCCGCCGAGATAACCAGCGTGGGCAAGGCCATCTATGAGACGGGCTGGGATGCCAACACGCCCATCGAGCAGCCAAAGACCGAGCATATCAGCCACAGTAGCAGCGACAGCTCTTCACCGCCGGCGCCGCTGGATACGAAGACGCAGGATGAGCAGCGCAAGGAGCCGGACACTATCAAATCGAAGCGAGAACAGATGCGGGACAACATGCAGGACTACATTTTCACCCGCTACTTTAACTACGTCAAAAACTATGACAAGGTCCTCGAGAAGAACTTCCCCAAGGCCATGCAGCTGTACCGGGTGTTCTTTGACGGCGTCAAGGACTTTTTCGGCGACATGAAGCGCTTTCTGAAGATTGCCCGCATAGCCAACGACTCGCCGCAGGGTATTCGGGCCCTGAATCGTCAGGAACTGGAGCTGTACATGCAAATGCCGCGGGACATGATGAAGGTGGCACCGGCTCTAATCGGCTGCTCCCTGCCCATGGTGGGCTATGCCTTCTTTCCCCTCGTGTAAGATGCGGCCTAAGATTCGCTTCCGGGGGTGCCATTCTAACGAAGACTTGTACTCCACAGGTTTTGGTACCCGCGAACCTTCCTCACTGCCCACTTCTGGACCCCGCAACAGCGCTCCGATTTCCAGAGCTTCTACATGAAGCGACGTTTGGGCTACAACAAGGCCGTCTTCCGCTGCCTGCAGGCCAAGCTCAAGGCGACGGCCAAGCATCCCCAGCACTCTGCCTTCGCAGAAATCCTGGGCCAGCTGGGCAGTGGGACGCATCCGACGCCCGAGATGCTAATCGACGTCAAGGACATATTTGCCGAGGGGCCCTACTCGTTGCTGGGAATGCCGCGGAAGCATGTCGTAGGTCTTGGCCGGAGCACTAAATAGTCCAGCTACTTATTTTTGTGTTTCAGAGAAACCTGATCAACCTCCACGGCCTGCCCGGCAGCATATTCAAGCGTCATCGGCTGCACGAGCACTGCTTCCTGGTGCACTACATGGACCAGGCCATCACCCGCGAGGGTGGCGTTCACAACTTGACCCCGACTGCGCTGCGCTACTCCTGCTACCTGCGTGGCCTGAATCCGGACGGTATAAGCAACGAGGAGATGATCGAGTGGCTGCGGAAATGGGTCAAAGTATCTACGTCGATACAGGGCGAGCACATCACACTGTTCCTACACCTGCCCATCCTGCTGGGCTACAACCACCCCAACAACTGGAAGACCATTTACGGGAAACGCGATCCCTGAGCACCTGGTGCTCGGCCGGGTTGCCTCGTTCGTGCTATATTTTCTAGACTGTGCTTTAAAGATTGGACTGTTGAGATCACTTTTTGTTTCTTGAAAGCAAATAAAACTGTTGAAACCAAACATCGCGACTTTTCCTCCAGCAACCGAATGAAAAAACGGGACGGTGCTCGTGTGTTTTTCCTAAAAATAACACTTTCTTTTATTTTCTCCATGGTGGTGGATGTTCATCAAGCAGTTACTTTCGTTAAATGTTTTTTTTACTTCTTGGCCGCGGCCTTCTTGCCACCCTTGGCCTTCTCGGCACGCAGACGCTCGCGACGATCCTTCTTCAGGACGCGGGGAGTGCCATCAGCCTTGGTGCGCTTCTTCAGTGTGTTGAAGGCGATGGTCAGCAGCTTGTTGCGCTGGCGCTTGGCATAACGCAGCTTGAAGCGGTCGAAGTCGTTCAACGAGGAGCGCTGAAAGAAAATTTTAGGTTAATTCACTGGTTTCTCACAGAAAGCACACACACGTAGCTAAGCTGAGTGCGTGATCAGATAAAATAAAAGTAGCTTCATTTATGTGTCAGCCGGCAATTCCTATCAAGAACTTTCAACTATCATCATGTGCAACAAAGAGAGGTCAACAATTAAACAGAGAAGAAAATGTTTCAATAAATATTACATTCCCTTCTCTGCACTATTTCGTTTCCCCATTAAAAAAGAGTCGCAGACTCTGTAACATACCTTGCAGATGTTCTGTGCCTTGACGGACCAGGGGCTGACCTTCCACTGGGCCTTCAGGTCGCTCTCCGTCCAGGCCTTGCGCACGATGCGCGTGGGCGCGGTGTAGGGGAACTTGATGCGGTACTTGGTCAGGTGCAGATTGTTCAATCTGTATTCCTGACGGGGCACGCCGGTCAGAGGACCATCGACCAGAACCTAGGGGAAGAGAATGAAGTCAGCGGTTAATTTGAAACTTCGACTGCGTTCGCGGAGGGCGCAACAAATGCCATGCTTGCTTGCTTGCTTTCAGTGGGTTAAACTAGCTTCATTTATGTGTCAGTTGGCACTTCCTATCAAGAAGACAAATTATCATCATGTGCAAGAGCAGCGCAGTGGTGCATTTGGTTGCCGCTCCCCGCGGGATTCCCTGGCGAAACGATGCACTTACTCTGTTTTGGTCAATGACGTCGACAATGGCCACCAGGCGACCCTTCAGGGGACCGGCCGAGGCCTTGGCAATGCGACCAGTTTGTACGAATCTCTCGAAAGGCTGCAAGCAGAGAAATTCATGAGATTCGTCTCAAAAATAACCAAATTTCGGTTGCTGCATGGCCAGCGCGTTGCTTGTGTTGGTGTCCACCACGTGAAATATTTCGGGCGCAGTTTTCTCATGCGATTTATTGGCTTCTGCGCTGGTTTTAATTCGCACACGTTCAACGCACTGACCCGTCCATTTTAAGATGGCACTTAATTCAGCTCGAGCGGCTTTTACCGCTTAATTTTCACATTTTCAACTGATTCGCAGAAAACTTTGTTGAATCTTACCATGACGCTAACCGGAAAGAAAGAGAAGGAAAGAACATTTTTGACAGCTCTGCCGCAACATGGCGTTAGTGTTGCTAAGCGCAGGGTTGCATTTTCTGTTCTGGTCTAACAACACTGTTTAGTGTGGCAGTCTTACCACGGGTATTCTTACTTTAACTGACCAAAGCCACACTAGCGGCTAACGCGACGAAAAATAAACAAAATAAAAGAAAAGTAACAAATTTATTCCTAAAACATATCCAGAATGGTTTACATACACTTCCCTAGCAATCTAACAGAAGAGGAGCAGATGCTGCAGGCCAAATATCAGAAGCTCAAGAAGAAGGTAGGTGGGTCCAGTAGATTAAACACCTTCCCCCCGGCTTAAATGAATATTTTTTCCACAGAAAAAGGCTCTCCAGGCTCACAAGGCGCCTAAACCAGAGCCGGAGAGCTCCATGACCCTGAAGCGGCCCACGGATGCCCGCGATGCGCGCGAGGTGGCCCGCAAACTGATCAAGAGCGGCGCCATTCCCGCCATCCAGAAGCAGCAGACGAAGCAGGATCAGACCTCGTTCAAGCGCCCAAAGGGTCAGGAGCGCGCCAAACGCTCCACCTCGGAGACCAGCTCCTATCAGCCCTTCTCCTCCACGCAGAATGACGTCGCTCAAGAGACAATTATCAGTGAGATCATCAAGGAGGAGCCGCGTAGGCCCACTCCAAATCTGTACCAACACTTTGCCACTGAGCGGGATCGCGAGGAGCGCGGCCTGCCCGAGAAGGTGCCGATGGACACGACGCCTCCGCCAGAAAAGCCGCGGGCCGGCAACACTATCTTTGTGTCCGGTAACAAAGTCACGGAGGATTTCCTAAAGAAAACATTCAACGATTACGGCACAATAGTGAATGTATCCATGGAAATCGAAAAGAGGTAATTATAAGTCCACTTTTCTCTTAATATTAAGAAGATTAACAAGTACTATAAGAAGATGAAGAAGAAGATGTTTTGTGGGATCTCCTAAAATACAAATTTCTTGCAGTCGCGGCTTCGTTTCCTTCGCCAAGCCCGAGTCCGCAGATCGCGCCATTGCGGAAATGCATGGAAAGAATGTGAACGGCATCAATTTGCAGGTGCAGCTGGCTAGACGCCAGCCCCAAATAGAGCCCATTAACGATGCCTCCTCATCTGCAGTCTGGTCTTCTATCGGTAAGTATTTGAGTGTTTCTGTAATAGCTTTTTTTATGGCATTTCTTATTCCCATTTTAGCTGCCAGCAAATCGCAGAAGGGCAGTCACAAGGACCATCGTGAGATGGTTCTGTACAACGAGGACTTTTTGCTTTAAGCCAGCAATATCATTCATAACTTTAGTCATTATAAGTGAACAAATAAAAATCAATGTTTAAGTATATTTTGATTACCATTAATAATTATAATTTTATATTTACTTAATTGCTCAAAGAATAATAATTGTTATTTTGAGCGAAAAAATAACAAAAAAATAATGATTACTTTTTAAGAGATATTATACTCGTATTGCTCAAAGTGCAATATCTTTTTTCTAAGTGGTTTGTTCGAAGAAAAAAATGTACATGAAGTTTGTCTCTTTGTATGAAGCGACTGTCTGTTTCGTCTATTTTCGCTTCATTGGATCATGTAAATATTTTTGTCAAAATAACCTCATTAAAAGAAAATATTGCAGTTTGAGCGAAATTCTCGGCGAAAAATTATCGCTAAAAAATAATTATTTTTTTTAATGTAATTTTTTTGCTCAAAATAATAATTATTCTTTGAGTGATTAAATAAAACTCAAAAATTAATAATTAAAATTGGTTTAATATATAAAAATTTAGATTTAAGCAATCATTGATTATCTTTAAGGAGCGTCCAAATAGCAGCCGATTGGTATAATTGTTTTATTTTGCGGCTTTTTCAAGTGGATGATTTTTTTGTTTAAAGAACATTAATAATCATTATTTACGGTCCTTGAGAAAAACACATTTACCTTTAGTTTATATTTTTTGCTTTATTGAAAATACGCTTCTATATATTTATGTATATATGTTCCCTTTCTGGCTAAGTACTCGCATTTCAAATTATATAACGTTTTCAAATGAATTCAATGAGAAAAGTGTGTGTGTTTGTATATTAATTCCTACGTTTTTGGTCTAAATTAAACAACATTTTCGTTCAACAATTGAATCTCTCGCCGCGCTTAACCGGTAGTAAAAAATGAGCAAACAAAAGAAAGTTTTTATTAGAGTTAGTTGTCCCAGCTCCTCCTTCCCTGGCTGCGCAAACTAAGACGTCTAAGTACATAGGTAATACATGGTCGTTGCTCCTCAGCTCCTTCCTTCTGTCGCTAAGGATCTCATCTCTTCTCGCTGCTAAACAATGTTGAAAAATGTTCCTCTATATTTTTGGTTAGTACAAGTTAGATGTCGGCATGTTTTGTCTGATGATGATGGATCAGTGAACTGGGATTCCGGTTTCGATTATGTTGTGTTGTGTGACTAGTAGCACGGGCGCGGGCTCGCCCCTCCCCACCGCCCACCGCCTCCATCGGCGCACCTCTCCTCCTAAAGTAATTTCTCGTTAGTATCATTAAGGCCTTCAAGTTTCGTGCGGACCACCTGGCCGCGTTAAATTCGTTTCTTCTCCCACCAAGATCCCTGATCTCTTGGCCAGATTCGATGCTCCAAAATGCAAAACCGCCCCAAAAGGATTGTGTAAACCAGCAGCAGGAGGTGACTCCCCACAGCCCCTCACGTCTGCCTGCCCTCGTTCCCGGGCGGATTGAAGTAGTCCCAGTGATGCGTGTGCACCTGTCGCCCGGTCAGCAGGAAGATCAGCACACCGAACGTGATCAGGATGAAGAGCACCATTAGCGCGGACACGTTGCGTGGCGCCTGCTGCGGCTCCACAGCCTCGCCGCGCACATAGTGCGTCAGCTGGTTGATGATGTTGACTAGCTCCAGGCTGCAGGCCGAGATGAATTGCCGGCCCGCCTGTACCACCGTCTTGGGCTGATCCTCGTCGTACTCGTCCTCCGGCGGCTGTGTGGCGCTCCTGGTGCGCGAGCGTCTCGACCGGGAGCGTGGGCGCTCCACTAGCTGCTCCTCCAGCTCCGAACCGGACTCCTCCTCCAGGTGCTCTTGGGCGACGTGGCGTCGTCGGCATTTGTGCGGCGCCTTGCGATCTGCGGCGGACGAGGCTTCTGCCTGCTCCGCCTCGGCGCTGCGCTGCAGATTGTAGAAGGCCAGTGGAGCCAGAGACTGCAGGTACTCCACGGTCGGGTATGCTGTTGGCGGCGGTGGCAGTGGCAGCAGGCCCGTCTCCGTCTGAGTCTGCTCGTCGAGATTGGCGATAGGCGGCGCTTGCTCGGTGAGCTTGCTGTGGCGTGGCGGCTTGATGGGCTGCTCCTTTTCGGAGGTGGCGGGTTCGCTGCTGGGCTGCCGGCTGGTCTGCGTCTCGCTGGTCAGCAGCGAAGTACGCTGCTCCCGCTGCACCCGCTCCACAATGTCGTCAATAAATCCAGGCGGCAGCTCGATGTTCTGGACTACCAACTGCCCGGACTTGCACTGCAGATCGTCGGCCTTGATCTGGGCGCCGTGGAGCTGCGACACTTGGATTTGGCCAGCCTGCAGGGCATGGACTCTCAATCGTTCCACTTCCAAGTCCGCCAGGCGACTCGGCAGTTGCGGCTCTGGCGGGGATTGAACCGATTGAATGGGCGTGAGTTCACGGCTAGAGTGTTCGGCAATCGTTAGACTGACGGCTGTGGTGGGTTCCAGGGCGGTAGTGGACCTGCGCCGCGGTGGTGGCAATGGTACCACACCAGGCTCTTGCTCCTCATCCTCTTCCTCATGACCGTAGGCGGGTTCGGTGGGCAAAGTGGCTACGAATTTGAGCTCTACTTCGGCCTCGGTGGGTTCACTGGCGGTGGACTTCTGAATGGTCTCCTCAACGGCTGGGATTTCGGGTTCGGACAGATGCTGTTCGGTGTCGGATAGGAGTGTGCGCTCCTCTTCGGAAAGGGTGTGTTCTTCCGCTGAGAGCGGATGCTCGTCCTCGGACTGACGATAGTCGAGCTCGGAGGTAGCCTTTTCCTCTTCGGATTGCTGGTAATCGATCTCGGAGGCGGCAGGCTCTTCTTCGGAGAATGCCAGCTCCAGCTCTTGCTCCTTTTCCTTTTGCCGGTAGTCGGATAGCTCCTTCTCCATGGCTTCTTGTAGCTCCTTCTCGAGGGCTTCCTCCAGTTCCTGTTCTGTGAGCTCCTTCTCCAGCTTAGCTATTTCCTCCTCCTCTTCCTGCTCCGAATACTTTTCGTCCTCGTACTCATTGTCTCTCAGCGTGCGCTCCACCTCGTCGTCCTCCAGCCGGCTTTCGTAGTCGCTTTCCAACTGAGCCTGCTGCAGCTGCTCCACCGCCGCATCCAAGTCTGCGGAACTGGCCGCATAGTCGCTCAGGACCACTTCACCGCCATGGTCCTCCTCCTCCACGTCGGACTTGCTCTGCACAGAGCTGTCCGAAAGCAAGCCCTCGCGTCGCAGCTCCTCCTCCTCGCGCCGCAGTTCGTCGTCCTCGAGATCGGCGGCACTGATGGGCCGCACAATCAAAGAGGCCTGCACAGCGGCATCATCCTCGCCAGCCGACAGACTGGGCGTGGGCACACGCCGCTCGATCACCACCGCCGACGAAGGCGTCTGCGGACGACTCAGCGACTTGGAGCGATCCGCTTGGGAAGATGCACGAGATCGCTCCGACATGCTGCGCTGGTTGGCATCCCGGAATCTCTGCAGACCCTTGGCCAGCTGCTCGTCTTCGGTCAGCACTCGGGCGCCATCCACCTCGTCCGGTTCCTGGGCGGCCTCAACGCTGCGCAGCAGATCCTCCAGGGTCTTGTTGCCTGATCCGTTGGAGCGACGCGGCTCGATGATCTTCATGTCCTCGGTGATCTCGAACTCCTCGCAGACAAAGTCATCGGGCAGCGGGTCCGTTTGCGTGGACACCTCTACTTCGAACTCACCCTGGTCGTAGCTATCTGCCTGGCTGGAGCTGGCCACGTGTTCGCTTTCGTCGTAGCTGTCCAGGGTCTGGCTACCACCTCTCGCGGAGCGTTTCTCACGCGGAGGACGCGGTGGCGGCGGCAGTGGGCGGAACTTCATCTTGTTGATGATCTCGCCCGACTGCAGATTGGAGCGCGGCGACTCTGGTCGCCCCAGGGCGCCCGGCTCCTCGTAGTCATCCTCCTCCTCCGGCGGCTGCACCTTCTGGGACTCGTAGCTAGGGAAAAGGGTGTGAGGTGCGTCATTAGATAACATCATGGGCTTGGGGATTAAGGGTTCAAAACTGAGCAAAAGCCAAAGGCAAGAAGATGCTGTGTCTGTGTGGTGGGTTCATGGTCTGCTTTATTGTGTGGAGTGCGTGTCTCGGGTGGATCGGATTAGTAGCCTTAGCCTAGTCTAGGTCACTCGGCTGCTTAGCCTAAAACTTAACGGCAAACGAAATAAAATAAAAACTTAACGAAAATAATGCATTCGCAACAAGTCAACGAAAAGAAAAAATGTTTGTCAAAGCTCCTCTCTCGCTCTTACTTCGACTTGATCATCTGGGGGATCTCGACCAGACTGGCCGCGGATCTGCGACGCGGCACTACCGGCGAGTCCTCCGTGGGCACGTACTGCTGCGGCGGCGGCGGACGAGCTGGCGGCGGGGATCCCCGAGAGCCGCGAATGCTGGGCAGCGTGGCGAAACGCTCGCCCGGCGACCGGGTGAACTTCTTCCGGCGGGCTGGCGGCGTGGGCTTGGGCAACGACTCCTTGCGAACCACCGCATAGCTGAAAGCGGGCAATGAAGCAACTCCTAGCGAACTATGGTTCCAGACGGAGGTGGGTCCTCTTCTACTCACCCATCGCTCTCCAGCATGTCAATGACGAACTTCTCGTCGCTCTTAGTCCTCGGCACCCCCTCCTCGTTGTCCTCCAGCTCGGGCCTCGTCTTCGTGTGCACGTCCAGGATCAGGGAGTCGGCGCCGCGCGATGTGCGGTCGTCCTCGGACCGCTGCGTGCGCGCCGAAGCTCCGTCCGTAAATCTGTCCGGCGTGGCTAGCGGTATGTGACGATATTCGTGTTCAGTGCGATAAACAATTACCTGGAAAGTGGAGGAAGTGATTCATTTATTCTACGTCTAGGTCCTGGAACCCAAGCTCTGTGAATCCTTTCAAGAAGCAGTGCCGTTACTCACATCTTCGTGTGGCTGCAAAAAGGTGTTCGATACTGATCTACCACCAAAGCCGTTGATGAACGAGTCCGCATCCTTTTCCACGGATGCGTCGTCCCTTGTGCGTTTCTTCTGGCGCCTCGGTGCCTGCGGACGGGTCTTCTGTCGCTCCTTCTCTAGCTCCTCCTGAATCATCGCCGCTGCCCTGCCGCCGATATCGAGGTTATTGAGCGCCTGCTCTGAGTCTACAGCGGCCTGCTGATCCCTTATTGGGGGTCGGAGGTACTCCTCGTCATCGTCGAAGTACTGAATGCTGCTGCCGCCATCCGCCATGGGTATGTCCTGGCTGCCCTCGATGGAGTATTTGCTGCGACTGCGGGCCTTCCGAAGCGGTCGCTTCGGCGTGAACTCGCTGCCGTTCTGCGACATGGAGAGATCGTCTCCGTAATCGCTGCGCTGGAACTCCTGCGAGTCGAATTCCGGCTGGTAGTTACGGGGCAGGCGACGTGGCTTGGCCGGAGGCACATCGTAGTCCGCGAACTCCGCCGGGACCTGCTCCGCGGAGTAGCCGACATGCTTCAAGGCATTGGGCATGTCGTAGCCCTCGCGAATGGCCTCGCTGATGTACTGGCGCAGCTGGATGTTGTCCTCAGAGATGCCCCGCTTGCGCAGGAAGAACTCGTCGTCGTCGATGGGCTCCATGACCACCTTCTTGCCGGAGCTGGCCGTGGATTGTGCGTCTTGCAGATCGTGGAACTTGTAGAAGCCAGCCTCCGCCTCCAGTTCGGCTTTGCGGAGCAGCTTGTTCTTCTGTATATCCTTCTCTGTCCAGCCCTCGGCATCTCTGCTGTCTTCGGAGCGGAGATCCGAGTCCTGATGCACCATGGGACGGCGCTTGAACTCTCGGGACCGCTTGCTGGAGATCTCGTGGATGGCACGGTTCTCTTCGTCGAATTCAGCGAACTGCTTACTGTCAGCCACGGCGCCCAGGATGCCCATTTCCGGCTGCGGCTGCGCCTCGCTGGCTGTGTCCTCGGTGCCCTCAAGATCCTCCTTCATGCGGCGCTCCAACGAGGACTCCCGGTCGAAGCTTTCCAACTCACTGCCATAGCGCCGGTAGCGAGATCCCTCGCTGTCGTTGTAGCTCACGTCGGAGAACTTGTCCGCCCAACGGGAGCGCACAGGGCCTGGTCCGCGATCGCCCTGAGGTGAGCTAGTGGACGTCTGCGAAGGCTGCGTCTCCGTGCTAGGAATCACACTCAAACTGAGTCCCTCTGTGCCCAAAGAGGATTCCATGGCCACGGGAGCCGGCTCCTCGGGCTTCTTTTTGCGGAAGGCCCGCGGATAGGTGCCAAAGTTGAACTCAAACTTCTTTTTGGGAGCAGGTTGGGCTTGGGTGGGGGATGCAGTGGTTCCGGTGTTCTCCTGGGTGTCCTCTGAGGGCAGCTCACCCTCGTTCTCCTTGAAGCTCTTGCTACGCCGCAGCTTCAGCGTGGATAACTTCTCCGGGAGCTTGAACTTGGACATGTCTGGCTTGTTGAACTTGGTGAACTCCGGTCGCTTCAGATCCTTCAGTTTTGACATATCCGGTCGCTTGATCTCGGGCATCTTGATCTTGGAGAACTCGGGCGCCTTGAAGCGTCTCCTTTCCTTGGCCTTTGCTTTGGGGCTTCCCGAAACGGGCTTGGGTTTTGGCTTGGTCTGAAGCCTGGTGCGGAGCTTACCCGCCTGCTGGCGGATGCCATCCTGCATTTTCTTAGTTCGGTCCTGGGCCGAGGCCATGAAGCCCTTGCGCCGGTTCTCCGGCTGCAGTGGCAGCTCCTCCAGGGCGCTGGAGTCCACCTGGCTGGTGTGGATTTCATAGTCTGTGCGGGATTCGGTGCGGGGCGTGGTGCCGGCCGAGCTGAGCGCTGCATCGATGTCCATGGGCAGCTGCAGCTCGGCCTGGGTGCTGGGCGCTGGTGAGGATCCGCCCACGGGCTCGTATTCATGATCACTGTGAAAAAAATCAAGAAAATTAGATTAGATATCAGCGGATTCTGGACGGGGATTTGCAACATGGATCGTGTGGTTGTGGTGGTGTAGAAGCGGTAGCTATAAGGAGCCGTCACCCAGCGTGGAGGTCGGCCTGCTGCTTGCGTGTCGAGGTCGGGTTCTCGGGGGGATCGGGGACAGGAGGGTGGCGATGGCTTACCGAGAGAAATAGGTCCGTTCGAGGAAGTCTCTGTGTTCTAATTGCTTGGGGGTCAGGGGGTTCGCGTTGGACTCGAAATCCGCGAGGCGCGATTTGCGTTCGTCAAAATGGAAACTAACCGTCTTTGTCATGCGCTCCGCCCCGAACAGCTGCTCCTGGGATCGGCCCAGCCGGGAGCCCCTGTCATAGGACTGCGTGCGCGGCTCCCTAAACGAGGACTTGCGCTGCACCCCAAAGCCGCGCTGCTCGGAGGGAGCACGCTGGTGGAGGGGTCGGTACACATTACTCCTACTTCCGCTCCCGCTTCCGGATATCTGTATGGGCACGGAAATCAGCGGACGGCTGCCGCCCATGGAGACATCCCTGCTGGCAGAGTCCGTGCGCGAATAGCCCGATTCAGGTCCACCAATCTCGCTGGAGTAGAGGTTTCTGTTGCCGGCCATGAAGCTGCCTCCGCTCCCGGTCATACTTAGGTTCATGCTGGCGCTCTGGCTGAAACTTCCGCCACGGGGCACGGCGGACACCACCACCGGGGCAAAGGCCTCGCTGATATCCACCGAGATCCTGTCTGAGGCTCGCTCTGAGGCGGCAAAGTCCTCTCGACTGCTGTACATAGTCTGGGCGCTTGGAGGTGGAGCCGGTGGCTTTGGTGGCCGCACACAGTACTGATCCATTTCGTCCACCTTGAGCGAGAATGTTTCCGTCACCCGCACGGCCAGGGGCTCCGCTTCCTTGCCCTTGATTGCCGCCGTGGAGGTGGTCACTATGGACATGGCTTTGCCCCGGTTAAACACCGAGAGCATAGGGGACTTCTCCAGTCTGTCCAGCTTCGGACTGGGGGTTCGGGAGCGTTGCAGCGAGGGTGATGGTGACTTGCCGCGCGACTCCTTGCCGCCAAACATCGACTTAAAGCGCGAGGTGTAGGAGCTCTTGACCTCTGGCAAAGCATCCGGCGGGCTGTTGGTCACGAACACATTTTCCTGCTGCGGTGTCCACTTAGAGGCGTGCTCAGGCGACAGCTGTCTTTCGGGGGTGTACTGGCTCCTGAGGATTGGCTGTGCAGCGGGACTGGGAGAGCGGGATCGTTGTATAGCGGGTTCTTTGGCGCCAAACATCGACTTGAAACGCGATGTGTAGGAACCTTTTACCTCTGGTGTGACTTCCTGCAGGTTGGCAGAGGGAGCGTTGGCCACTAAGACATTCGGTTGCTGCGGTGTCCACCTTGAGGGGCGTTCCGGCGATAGCTGTCTTTCGGGAGTGTATTGACTCCTTGGGATTGTCTGTACTGCTGGACTTGGAGAGCGCGATCGTTGGCCTGGATCCTTGGCACCAAACATCGACTTGAATCGCGAGGTATACGTGCTTCTTACTTCTGGAGAGGCATCCTGCAGGTTGATAACAACGGGTTCCTCTTGTGGTGCCCACTTGGAGGCGCGTTCCGGCGATAGTTGCCGTTCTGGCGTATGCTGGCGCTTGAGGAGTTGCTGGCCAGCAGCTGAGGGAAGTACTGTTTCCGCTGGTGAGGGACTGGTCGTTCTACTCGAGGGAAGCTGCAGGGTAGCCATTACGGGCGGGGACTTGGGTCTTCTGGGCGTTGGTCTGGGACTTCGGCTGCGGTGCTCCGCCGCCTTCGCCTCCTCCTCTCGCAACAGTTGGTCTATATCCACCACTGGTATGTCGTGGATGATCTCGATCTTGGTCAGCTCATCCACCTTCAGTGGAGCCGCGCTCAGATCGCCACCAATTGAGGGCGGGCGTCTCGTCTCCGATTGTATGTTGTCCCTGATGCGAACAATGCTATGCTCCTGGGCTATCTGCTCCAACTCGGCCACCGTCTCCGCCAGAGGGTCGATGGGTGTCACCGTGGGCTTGTAGGGGTTCTGGAACTGCTGCAAGTCTGACTCCAGAAGGAAAGAGGGCCGCACCGCATCGCCGCCAAAGCGGGACACGTCAATGGGTCGATTCTGGGGCAACGTATCGCCGGGGAACTGGTTCTCCTTGTTGGCTTCGCTCGGACGCATGTAGTCCGTCGAGAGCGGAGGCTTAGCGATCCGGAAGTCCTGCTGCTGCGACGGAGCCGGCGAGGGCTGGTGGGATGGGAACTGCGGTGGCTGCTCCATCATTCCCGGCAAGGCCGTGGCTGGAATCAAGTTCAACTGCGGCGGCTGCTGGGATCCCGGCACAATGCTGGCTTGGAACAGATCCGCATTGGACGCGCGACGACTGGTACTGGCCGACCGACGTCCTCCCGCCGCCCCTGACGCAGCATTCGGTATATTGATGTCGGCACAGTATAGGTCAGCCCGGGAGTTACCGGCCGAGATGCGACGCAGCGAGGTGCCACTGCGCATGGACAGGGTGTCGGGAAAGCGACCCATGCTGCCCGAGGACAGTCCCCCCATGGACAGCTGCCGCCTGCGCCCGGCCACAAAGCCTCCACCAACACCACCTAGCTGCTGCTGTTGGTGATGCTGGCCAGGAAAGTCCGGCTCTGTGGCGTCCGAGATGCTGCGCACCACCAATCCCCGCGACCGCGCTGTCTGCTCCAGCTCCGGGTAGCGCTCCATGAAGCTCAGATCCACCGAGGGAGCCACATCGGCGTGACTCACCACCTCGAAGCTGTGCGCGGACAGGTCGTCGGACAGGAGATTGAGATGCGCGCCAGGGAACTGCTCCTCGGCGTGCTGACTCAGCCGCGAGCCAGGGCGCGAGTCCACGGGATTTATACGCTCCGGCAGCAGGGACTCGGACTCAAAGAACTGGCAGGCGCAGCGCACCTCCATGGAGGCACCGCTGGCACTCTCTGCCCGTGACACGAAGTGACGCTTCTCGGCGGGCAAAGCACCCACCGAGGCCGATCGTCGGGAGTTCAACATGGTCGCCAGCAACTATTACTTGCTCACTTGGCCCCGGCCGTAATCCCCCTGCTCCGCCTGCGGATCTCCTCCTCTGTGCTTTTGTTCGCCTTCGCTGTGTGGTCGTCGTCGGTGGCTATTTTTAAAGCACCACCAGAGCAGACATTGAATTTATTTTCTGTCCCGTTCGAAATTTTTACGGGGCCAAGAATTTCGCTCTTGGTTTTGCAACGGTTCGAAAAACCGTTATTTCGTTGGTTTTTTCTCAGTGGTTAATAATCGATTATCGATACCGCGCTTTGGAAACACTGTATCGTCGTCCCTGTCGCTCGTGGCTATGGCGGAGAGGTCCGGTGTCCCGTTATGTGTACTTGTGAGTGTAACCGCGAGCGCGTCTACATCGTTGCGATTTTCGGCCAGGACTGAGGACAGAGAGCTTTTCGCCATTTGCGCGACACAAATTTTCAACCGAATTTTCTTGTTCGAAAGATGAAAATGTTTTCTTTAAAATTAGCCAAAAACACAAACACACAAATCGCCCGCGACACGGATTAGGGACGTTTGCCAGTGTTTGTGTATATCTGTGTGTGGGGATGTGACTGTGCGGCGACAAAGCTGCCAGCCTTCTCATAATTGCGATCGGTGAGTTGGCTGTGGTGGGCGGGGGTGGGCAAGGAGGAGGATGAAAGAAGAAGAACTGGGAGGAGTAACAATTAGTTTCTCGGCCTGCACTTTATCGTGCTATTTTTGGGGTCTTCCGAGGCGGGCCCTGCCGGAAATCTTGTTGTCATTCGTCGACCTTTACGGCGCTAAATATACTCTACACTCTGCCGTTTGATGTTCGCCTGGCACGCGTCGTTTGTCGCTGCTTTATCCATGTAATTACTGGTCGTCAGAACTCGTCCTGGGCCTTCGGATGTGGCGTGACCTTTGAAAGTAGTGTTCAGATGATCATGGCGTCACAACGAGTCCCGCTCATGCAACCCCGTTTTCCCCACCCACCACAAATCCACCGAAATCCGCGCATATTTGTGTACATATGAATTTACATATTTATTGAACCAACACCAACATTCAATGGAGGAGTGAGAAGGACACGTACATGTCGGCGACAGGAGTACAGTATTGTGAGTAAAGAGCTTATCGGTTATCGGAAAAGTCTTCAAAAATGTAACAGTTATTCTAGAACTTGGCGAGTTTTTATAGATAATATCTAGGAAGCTAACAATTTCATTATTATCATATAAGGGACTTTTAACTTTGTTAACATTATTTTTAAATTTTATATAAGAAATGTAAAAAGATACTTTTATCCGTTTTAAATCCTTTTTCTCCTATTAAGAAGAAGGCAAACGCTACTTATTCGACATCCTACATTTTCTGTATTTAACATTTAATGACGTCCAAATATATATAAGACATTATTCTCTCTTTTAAAATTAATTTAGTATTATACGTAACTCAAGCTCGCTTAAGAGAATTGAACCGAAAATTTTAACTATAGAAAATTTTAAAACTGTTTTCATTTTATGAAGACAATAACACTTTACATGAAACATTTTTGGGATTGAAAAAATGCCACGAAAGAGTCGTTTCACAAACCGACGCGCCTGTCACTCCTGAATTCACTGTACCCCCGGTAAGGTCTTACCTTAGGTCTAAATCATGTCAGGCCACCTGCGCCTTGAGCCCGCTACCAATACTTGTTAGTGGAGCTCGAGCTGCAGCAGCAGCAAAGCGTCCAGGAAGAGGATCGCTTAACCCAGATGCGCCAGGTGTGGGTGCGGGTGTCGGTGTTGGAGTTTGAGGAGGTGTCTGTGTCGGTGTAGTGATAGTCTCGGTACTGTGGTGCACGGTGGTGCTTGGTGAGCCGGCGGCGGCGGTGTTTCCTGCCCCTGCCTCCACCGGCAGCTCCACCTCCAGCTCCCGGCAAGAAGGTTAGTAACAATTTCATGAGCAAGTCAAGTGGGTTAGAGCCTCTGCAAGATGGTTAGAGCAACAGCAGCCGAATTGGGTTGTGCTGAGTGTTAGTGTCAAGCCGGGAGAAGTGTGTTGTTCTTGGGTTCAGGCGGCAGGAGGTGTACTCCTTCACTTACCTCTCGTTCTTCCACTTTGCCGCGTTTGTGGCCGCCTCCAGGACATCTTCGGGCAGGTCGACGTCCTCGCGATGCGGCTCTGCCTCGTCCTCGACGTGGGAAAAGGTGACCTTCTTGTCCGAGGGCGCTGGTGAGGGTTCTTTCTTGAGCGTTGGACGCAAATCGCTACTGATCTCCATAGGTTCGTCGCTATCCTCGGCTACCGGCGAAAGTTGCGCCTTGCGGGCACGGTCCTCGTCGGACGATGTGGAGTCGATGGAGGAAAGCGGGGCCAACAAGGCGCCTGGCTTACCGGCGGTCACCTGCTCTTCCTCGCTGCTGCCCATGCGGTCCAGAGGTACGGGCTTGGCCGCCTCGATTTCATCGAGAGCTAGATTGTCCTGTCGTGTCAGGGACTTTTTAAGGGCTTCCAGTTCAACAATGGGCTGCTCTACTGGCTCTTGAGTTTCGGCCCGGCCAATCTCCTCGTAGACATGCTCTCGACGCAGTCGAGGTGTCTTCTTAGGAGGAGATTCAGCATCAGCTTCTTCCTCGACTTCTTGTTCTGATTTTAGTTCTTCGGCTTGTTCCGACTTTTCCTCCGCGGGTTCGGTTATTTTCACAGCAGGCGCCTCCGTCTCAGTCTTGGCCACCGGTAGCTCTATGATCTCCTCTGGCTCAGGCACTCTGTTGCTGCCACTGCCACTAGGCTGATCCTCCTGGAGCTCCTCCTTGGTGCGCTTGCGGCAGGGAGACTCGTCGTACTCCACCAGTTCTAGGACATCGTCGGAGTCTTGCTTCTCGATGAAGTGTGGGATTTCACCGCGATCGGATTTGGGCGAAGCCTTCAGCTTCATGATCTTCTGCTGCTCACCCAGCACGATCTTATCCTCCTTCTTCAGCGTGATCCGCTTGATGTTTAGTCGCTTTTTCTGGCGTTCAGCCAGACTCTTCAGCTTCTTCATGATTTCGAATCCCTGCTTGGGCTTGCTGGTGTTCAAAGGCTTTTCGGTGTTGGGGATAAGAGATCCCGGCGGCGGGGCTAGCTCGTGCACGCTGCTCTGGCGACTAGGATTGGCCGAGTTGCCCGGCAACGATTGGGCGTCCTCGTGGGTGCGACCACTGCGTCTGCGCCGGATCAGGTCACGTATATGGGCCAGGCGATTTGTCTTGCGGGGACGGGCGTGTCCTCCAACCGCTAGCACGGAATCGGACACGCAGGAGATGCACTCGCTAAGCGCGTCCTCGTTGTGCTGGTCGCGTTCAGATTCGGTCTCCGAGTCGGACGATGATTCGCTGCTGTCGTCTGTGGTGGTGGCGACCGCCTCGTCCTCGGACAAGTCCTGGATGTATCTCTCGGTCTCCTTGACCAGTACTTGCTCGTCGTAGCGCACCTTCTTCAGGGACTTGGGCGATTCGGACTTGAAGCGCAGCTCCTGAGACTTGCGCAGCAGCAGCACAATCTCTGGCTGCTCGTCGGGTCCCAAAGGTCGCTTGTATAAATGAGTCCAAGGGTAGCCGCCCTGCGATCACATAGAAATGGGGACATGGTTAAGCAGGCAAGAACAATTTTAGAGGAAGGAAGGTTCACAGAAATCGCTGTTATTAAATTTTTAATTGCTGTCTAAACGTATAATACATCATTTTAAGTTATTGATTCCAAATCTAAGAATTTTTTCTTATTTATTTAAATTAATGTCGAAGTTATTTCTATATTTATTTAATTTTTAAGTGCAAAAGGTGACGTATGTATATATTTTTGCAATATCTATTTCATATATAACTATGCATTACTTATAAATTTTGGCACTGAACCATTAAAATGGCAATTAATTGTTCCTCTCTTATTATGTTTTGAGTTCGATTTGTTTGCTTGTAGAACTTTAGGCTATGGCGAAACTATAAATTTATAATTTGCCTACTTGAAATGTTTTTCAAAATTAATAAGCATAGTTCTTTCGTCATGTGATGATTTGTAGAAAGAAACACAGAGTTTTCTTAAAAGGAAATCATAATTTCTACAATAATTTTACGAGTGGTTCAAATGGTTCTCTTTCGTTCTTGGCTAACACAATAAACTGTATTATTGTTGCTAAAAACAATTTTTATATATTTACGTAAGGGCCAGATTTTAAATATTTATTACTTATTAATGCACTAATTTAAAAATAGAAACCAAAAGTAACTTACCCGTTCTTTGGCTCGCTTTAGATCCTCCCAACGGTAAGTTTGGAGTGGCACTGGTGGCTTGTCCTGGCTGCTGTGCAACAGGTACTTCTTCAGCGACTGGTAGTACTCCCGCTTGCAGTCCGCCGAGAGTCGCTGGGCATCTGTATCGTCCGATCCGCTTCCCTGCAGGCGATTCTGCTCGATCTGGGGAAGGGAGTCGATAAACTCCTGACGCTCCTGCTCCTCGGCCTCGGTCTTTGGCGTGGGGACCTCTACGAGCTTCAGCTCGTTGGGAGCGGCTACAATTGGCTTTGGCTTCTGCTCCTCTTCCGTTGGCAGCTCCAAGACAATCTCCGCCTGGGGCTTGTTCTTGAGGATGCCGGTCAGTTCGTTTAACTGCACCTCCACCTGCTTGGAGAGTGAGTTGAGCTCCTCCTTCTCGCGTTGGATCTGGTCCTTGTGCAGCTGCTGTGCCTCGTCTACATCCCTGCTGAGTGCCTGGATCAGCTCCTGTTCGATCTCATCCACCAGCTGCTCGGCGGTGCGACGCACTTCCTCCGACGGAGTGGCCGTCTCGTCGACCTCGGCGATTTGGTGAGCAGGTGCTGAAGTCTCGACGAGTTGCTTGGTCTTGGCGCCAGCCGGTTCGACCTCGATCACTGGCTCTGCGTCATCGGTGCCTACCTTGGATGTGCCCTGCTGCAGTTCCTGTTCGATGGGCGGCAGCTCCTTGATGCCAACGCCGCTGCCTTCGCCAGAGACGCTCTCGATGAGATGGGACTCGAAGTCGAGGAGGTGCGAGCCACCGGGAGTAGTGGGCACTGCTGCGGGATGCTGAGGTGCCTCGATGTAGTTGCTATCGAGGGCTAGCTTCAAGGCGGCCGCTCGGATCTGTTTCTCCTCCAATTGGGCGTCGCTGGCGAGGCCGTTGATCAGAAGGATGGTCGGCTGCTCACTCGCGGTGGTTCCAGCGCCGGGTAGCGACACTGCAGATGGGGGAGGGAGATGAAAAAGAGAACCCGTGAGTGAGGAGGGGTCGACTCAGGTGTTTACACGGTGCCAGCAACAGGTGCTAAAAATAAGCGCAAACATCGGACACTAGACGAGACACAATTACATAAGTCGCAGCCCGACTTCGAGACGTCAAGAGATGAGAGAAAGACAACACACACACACAGAGGACAGCATAAACATTCTCGCGAAGAATTCTCGCTACTCAATTCTTTCGATTTCGAAAGCTGCAATTACGAAATACTCGTACAAAGTATGTGTAATGTAAGGAGGCATTCCTTTACCACAAATTGCCAATTCTAGAACTCGATTCCTTCCCGAATCCGATTCCTGCCTTTCGTTTTTTCGTTGAATTCGGTTCGTTTTCGGTTTCCCTTTTTATTTTCAAAATAAAAATCAATCGAATTCGAATGGTTCTCGGTGCGCAAATATCTTGGATATCAGCGCAATTCGCGGCGGGTACACGAGCCGTGCACTGAAATTGTCCGGGGCCAACTGGTCCGTCCAAACGGATTTTCGCAAAGGCAGCCCCCCGAAAGCTAAATACCCGAATGCTACTACTGGTAGTGAGAGGAGACCAATTTTCCTTTGCTTTTTGCGCTCAACTGTTTTGGTTTTCAAATACTTATGCTTAGCAAATTTTACAATTGCTCGTTGTCTCTCTTGCCTTTCCTGCTATTTATCTGCCTTTTTGTTTAAGTTTTTCTGGCTAACCGTTGTACATAATGGGTATATTTAATTTGACAAAATATTTGTACAAAATATCAAAGTTGGCAACCCTCTTGACTATTTTTTATAACATATTTGAAGCCTTTTATGTTTTAATGAATATGAAAAGCATAATTTAACCGTATGCTGGGTATCTCATAGTCGAGGCTATATATTTTGGCGTTTCTTTTTGTTTTTGTTTGAGAAATAGTGGCGCACACAACCAGTCGTAAACAATTTGCAGTTTTTACACACATATTACCGTTAATTTAGCACACCTCGCATAAACAAGAGCACCAAAGCAACAAAAACCTACCCAACCAAGCAACCAAAAACTACAAAAAGAACTACGAAAAAATCAACAAAAACTAAAAGTAAATTTCGTTTTGCATTCATGTGCCCAATTCTCAGTGGGTCTCTCTGGGTGTACATATATGACTGTGTGTTTATGTGCATTTTACATTCAACAATTATTGTTTGCTTATCGCTGCTATATAGACACACATGTCTACTTATTCCATATCTGTATGTTTTCGGGGTCCAACGTAATCACATCGAAGAATTACATGCCCACGAAACTTAATTGTTTGTACAAAACAAAAATTTGCTTTTCGTTACGCCTTTCTGATTATTTTAGCGGGTGAATGAGTTCCTATATTGGCACAGAGTTGCAGGGAGGAAATTAGTACTAAATAATTCAGATTTTACTCATTAATATATATCATGACACATCGATTTAATCATTTGTCTTACGGGTTAAATGAGCTCAGATTCTTGGCTCACCTAGGGTGTGTTTTCTTTTCGTGCACGATGATGTCAAGAATAATGAAAAGCTGACAGCGGTTTAAATGGGTAATTATAGAAAAATGATGCAAAATATACTAATATATTATGTTATAGTGAGGAGGCATGTTTTTGATCAAAGTTCAAGTTGTTTACTTTCAAGCTTATTGAAAAACGAATCAGAAAATGGTTAACCCCGTTGGGAATTTTAGTGGAAAGTAAGCATTAAGTTCTATATATGTAGGTCCCTTGTATGATTGGAATTTTCTTCCATTCCTAAGTTCAAATAATTATTGTCTTGACGAAATCAACACTATGTATAATATAATTATAAATTACTTCCAAATATTTCAATGATTTAAACATTAGTTCTTGTTAAGGTTTTCCTAATCAAAAATTCATTTGTTAACAATTTACTGATGTCAACTTCTTTACTCTTAAGCTTTTCTTTGCCCTTTTAGCTTGTAGATGAACTCAACACATTATTTTATGAACCCATATTTACCCCTTTGGTATCCAATTATCTAGAGTGATTTCCCCTGTACCTTTTGATTTTTAAAATTCTCAATAGTGTAATATCTAAAGATGCCCTTTGATCTTTCACTATTCAATCATCTGGGCTGACTTCCTCACCGTAGTATAGAGCACCTTTCATATTTACATTTTCCTCCATTTGGGCTCACATGTGTGTTGATGGATTTACCATAACAATTCGAGCGTAACTGCCTTGGCTTGACTGGCTTTACATGGAGAGCGCCTTGTTCGCAGTTGAATGAGTTTCGTGCGCAAGGCATTTCCTCAAAATCAACTTTTCACACATAAATGAGCATGGACAACTGCCTGCGGGAGATGACTGCTCCCCCGCCTCCTCCACTGCGAGATGGAAATCAATCCGAATCACGGACAAGTTCATGAACACTGTCGCCGTTGAACTTTGCACAAATTTGTGAACAGACTGATAGAAGAGCGCGGGAATTTCGTTGGGAGTGCGGGGAGGGAGAGTCGGTGTGGCCCAACGCGGCGTATACGTAACGCGCGTGCGGATACATGGGCTCTATTAATAGTGGCAATGTAATAGCCCTAGGAATCATTACGTTGGCCATTACACTTTTTTGTTTTTGTCAATTTATTGCCGAACTCCGAACCCTTCGAACTTGACGAATTGCGTAACATGCAAATCCATTAGATCACTCACCATAATTGCCAGCGACACTGAGGAAAACATAAACCATGACTCGATATCATTGGCAGTTAAGGTATTATTGGGGAAATAATGGAAAACAAAAAAAGATAATAATTTGGAAAATAAGCAAAAACAAAAAGAGTAATAAGTTGCTGCGAGGCGAGGCGAGGCGTCTCCTGAGCCTCACATGTTCGACGTCTAATCGCGTTTTGAATACTACTCGCAGCCGCTAAAAAACCAACGCTGAAAACAAAACTAGCAAAAAGTTGGGGCAGCGCCGCCGCCGACAGCAGCGAACTTGTCGTCGAACGTCGAGCGCTGACGTTGAAGCTCTGACGCTGCTCTCGAATCGCTAAATGCGACATGCCGATTGAAAGGCGAGAGAAGAGACTCGGAACGGGAGACAAGGCACCGGCTCCTCCTCCGCTTCTGCCGCCTCCATTCCATGCTGCACTTTCGCCACTGGTTGCATGCGACGCTGGCTACGTCAACCTTCAAGGTCGTTGTCATCTGCCGCCGCCGCCGCCAGCCAGGCGCTCTCCACTATATTTAGAATCATTTAAGCGTAACGCACTCGAGGGCCGCCAGGGCAAGCCAACTTATTAATGAGAGCTTTACCTCTTGCTTCTCCTGCTCTTGGTCTGCATGGCTAGCTAGCTATAGCCACTTGGGAAATCAATTCATTATCCCTGTTCTCTACTCCTTCATCGATTTATTGTCTTTCTAACTAAGGGATTGCTTAAGGGTCTAGCCTTTAGAGGTTTAAGCTCAAGTAGGGTTTTTACTTAGTATTAAACATTATCTTGTATAAGATTTCGACCTAAAAAGATATTACTTCTGGTTCCTGAATAGCTTTAAGTTTTGCATTTTTAGTTATGATTGTATACAAAACAAATTAGTTGCTGCAGTAATTTATTTGGTTTTATATTAAAAGGGATAAAACAGACAAATAACAAAGTACCCAATTTCTAAAGAAAATAACATTTAATAAGATTTATATTTCAAAAATATATAGGTAAAATGATCCAAAGAACTTGGTAAGAATTTACTATTTAAAGCCATCGCAGTTTTTTATAGATTTCTAATATAAATGTTTAATACCAAAAGACTTCTTGCATTCGATTGCTAAAATTTGGATGGCACAGCTGAGAATATTCTGATGAATGAGCAAAGAAAAATTTGAGCAACTGGCACACATTGCGTATGCGTGATGTGGAATCAGGCCGCCGTCCCGGCTAAATTTTTTTGCGTTTTGTTTGCTCGGCAAATTTGTGCTTGTTGTGAAAATAAATTCTGTGTTCTTGTGACACAATTGCAAAAGCAGAAGCGCCGTGTTTCTCAACCGCAGCGACGAGTTCATTGTACGGTTTAATTATTCAAATGCAAACGGAAATTGCCGATTGTAATTGATTTGCCCCCTAAGTATGTTAGTTTTCCATATTTTCCAAATCGTTTTTTTTTTTATTGCATTTTAATGTGCCCTGTCCGCTGGCGGAGGACCGCACAGCAGAAGCTTTCGGTTTCTGACCTTGACTGGCCAGATATTAAATTATTTATGTGGCTACCTATAAATATAGTTCAGGGAGAACGCGGCGGTATATACACATTTTTATACACATTTCGGCTTTCCTTCATATTGACGATTAGTTCCAAACCGAAATAAAAATAAACCGTCAGGAACAACAACAACCACACGCGACGACGAATGACAAACAAAACGAAGACGACGTCGACGTCGACGTCCGACGAAAGGAAGCAAAACGGAACGAAATGAGACGAAACGGGGTACAAGAAATGAGAAATGGGAAATGCGAAGGAAAAGCGACAGAGCGGAAACCCAATCAAACCAAACAAGCGCAGAATATAACGTATACGTATCGTGGGTATCCCACATGCAGTTGGACTGACAGAAATCACGGCACAAGCTACGCCACTCGGCCACTCAAGTTGGGCCAAAAACTAAGGGAACTTTTCCACTTGTAAATAATGAAGGTACACACAGAAAACTAAATGTAAGGATTGACCCCTTTGATCTAATTTCATACCCAAAACATATAATTTTATCACTCCTTGGAGATCACTATTATTAACATTTATTTGTCATTATAAAGTTGATATTAACCAGCTTATTTCGGGTTAATTTTTATTCAATTTATGTTGTGCGTACGGACATTTAGATGGTATGAACACGGAAAGATACTTGTACTACTCTCGGAACCACACATAGAACTGATGACGAAGACAAGATGCAGACCAAATAATGTAAACAATGATCTTGGGGCAACATGTTGCCAATGAGAATGGGAACAGGAATCTGTGATCTCTCTTTATGAATGAACTGAACATGGTGGAACAGCACAAGACCACGGGGAAGAGTCATATGTGGGGATAGAATCGTTTACCAATCACTGGTGCCATGCAGGTCAGGAAGCGGGTCAGTGCTGTGCCCGTGCTGGGAATGGCTCTATTCGCCTGGGGACTCTTCGCTGAAAGGCCTGCAATTAGGTCAAAGTTTGTTTAGAATCATGTGATGTGGGATGCGACTCGCGGCCGCTAATTGGAAATCAATCAGGCCGCCATTAGTTGGGCCAACTCCTACAATAGACCGACCGATCGATGGCGGGAGCAGTTAGTCCGTTCCCCTGCCAATTACCAGCAATTTTCACCTGGTCTGAATCATCCGGTTTCTTCGCCATGCTAATCAACGAGCGAAATGTTCCGTGGAATATGCTTACCGGCATTTTAGGTTGAAACTTTTAGCACATTCGACTTGCCAGGAAATTGCTTGTGAGTTTGCCATAAGATGATTTACCAATAAATTATACAAAAGAGGGGCTGGAGAGTATCAAGGGGGCAAATGCTTATTGATTTATGAATCTAATATAATAATCATAAACACTGCGCCTGCCAAGAATAGCAGCTGACTTCACCATTGAGTGATGGCAAGAGCCGCTATGAAATATAAATGCAAGGAACCCATGACCAAGATAACCTTCATCACCCCCATCGTAATTATTGTGATACCCACTTTGTACTTAACCTGTAACCAATTATAGTAGCAAACTTGCTTTGTTATTTACTTATTATTTATTTAAATATGTTGTTGGATGAGCAAAGGTCATATGTAAGCAGTGTTCATGCTGATCAATTAATTACATTTGTCTTTTTTGACTAGTAAAAAAAGTAAAAATAAGTGAAAGGCAGTATTCACTATAAGACTACTTTAAAATTTAAAGATAGTATTTTATTTTTTCGGCATAAGTTCCTATGCTTCAAATTTTCAAAAATGTCAGCATTATAAATACCTGAGCAGAATTATGCAACAAACCCCAAACTTATCGGTTGGTCTGGCAAGTAAAATAGATAAAGTCGGCCGCCAATTGTTTCCAAACGATAAGATAATGAAGGCGTATGTTTACTGCCCCATCATATGACCCAAGAGTGACGTTTGAGCGTCGGTCTACGTGCTCTGATCCCAGTGTGCAGTGTCCACTGCAGGGAATTTTGAACTTGGCCTCTTTGTTTAGACGTATATACTCTACTCTCTACTGTTTTAATAGCCCCAAATAATTACTTTCAAGTGGCAATCAGAGCACTGCAATCTGCCAAGTGATAAGAACTGCCAACGGGAATTTCAACGGGCTTTGGCTTAGGGCTTATTGTTTGTTTTTCACTTTCATCAGCCTTAAATAAAACTGTCCAGAATAGCGGCAAACCGTTCACAGATCACGCTCATTCTCCGGCTAATTTAAATGATGATCGATGCAACGGCAAACGGTACTCCACCAAGTCGGTGGGTTGGGGTGGTAGAGTCTGTATACGAATAGCTAGTTACTAGCGCATCCATAACCGGTTTGTCAATTCACACAGAAATCTACGCCCATTGTGCTGCTGCTTAGGAAACCGAAGATGCCGCTAGCACGGAGCCAGTCTGTTTGTCCGAATGCCAAGCAATTCATAAGATTCCGAAATCTGTGAGTAAAAACTTGTGGGGAAATTCGGTTTTCCAAATGTAGAAGTTCATATGCTCTTGCGAAGGTCAAGATTTCTGGCCAAGAATTTGGGGTGATGAAATATTGGAATATCTGAGCCATTATAATGTCTTAAAGCATTTCGGTTATGCTTGTGTTTTTTGTATTTAATGTTAATAAATTGTGTTTCTTGAAATGTTTCTTTAGAACAAGGGCGAAAAATATTTACAAATTTTGTCTTTCCATATAGTTTAAAGGGAATATTAACGAAATCAATAGTGGATTTTTCATTAATAGAAAATGGGTTCTAGAAGTTTTGTTAATTTAGAAAACGATTGTTTTTTAAGAAAAAATATTAAGCTAACGAAAATAATTACAGTTTTATTTATATGCTGAACTTTTAATATACAAAATCTTAAACTTTAGAAATGAAAAAGGCCTAAGAAATACTATTTTAGTTGCCAAATAGTTATTTATTACCATTCTATGCCTAGAATAAAGAAAGCTGTGTTAGAAAAGGAAATGGTATATACTTTTCTTATATTTTAAAGTAGTCTTATAAATTCCCTTTCAGTGTATATAAATAAATTTCGCATCAAGCACTTGCAAATTATTTAAATTCTGACCCCAAGTTCATGGATTTTCTCCTCGCATTTTGCATGTCAAAGCGCTTAAGTAGCACTACCCCAATCACCAGACAATTGTGTGGTATTAGCGGGGCCATTGCAATGTGATTGCCGATTTCCGCTTGGCTGCGTTGCGTCTCTTGGAGCTCTGAATTCGCGACTTGGGCAAAAATATGCATACGGGTTTATAATTGGGCGACCGACCGACTGCGGCGCCAAAACAGAGAGCTTGTCATAGTTTTTGGCTGCCGTTCAACTTGGCAGGCAATCATAAGTAATGTGCTATATACCAGGGCATGTGTCTTGTCCGAGCGAACGAACGAACAACTTGTTCTATATTCGTTACAGGCGATGTGCGATGCGACACACCGCCCACGCGGCGTATGCGTAATGCGCGGCTAATTTGTGGGGCACCGCGGATGCAGTGACCACAGCTGGACTTGATGGGCCTACCTTCGTCCCAGGGGTGATGAGGCTGCTGCTGCTGCTGCTGCTGAGGATTGGCGGCGGCTGGGGCGACCTGTCCCGGTCGAGTTTTACGTCCTTTTTTCGAGCGCTTGGACTCCATTTTGTGGTGGCGGCGACTGCTCGCTGAGATTTACTTTTTGTTGGCTACAAGACACGCGCGTAAATAGAATAATATGTATTTGTATATACTATATGCTGCGATTTTATGTGTGCTCGTGGTTTATCTTCAGTGACGCACAGCACACACCAGTGACATTTGCCAAACACACACTCTGCCACACTCGCACACTCGCGCTTTTTTCGAACTTTGCGTATTTTTTGTCGCTTCGATTACTTGGCGGGCGGTCGGGCGCGCTCGGAGATATGTATCTAGCTGGCCGCCAATGAGAATATATTTTAGATTTGAAATTTTCCCAAGTTATTTATAATGCGGTGATTTAATTTAACACACACTCGGTCACTTTTCATATTCCTTACTGGCCGTCCGCCCGAAAGAGCCCCAAGTCGCACACACGAAGGATAGGGTATTTTCCAAAAAAATTAATAATGAAATTAAATCGAATGGGCATTACGTGACAACGCGACGTTTCGGTTTCGGGGGGTAACTAACCCTAACGATTATGGCGGGTAATGATGAGTTCTCCTTCTAACTGCCGCCGCTGGACTGCGGAGCTGGGTCAGTTGTGCTGGCTCTCGTTTATAATTGACCGGGCTTTCGGCCGGCTCCGGTTTGGGTACAGATGTGAATGTGGCGAGAACTGAGCGAGAAGTTGACTGAAAACTGAATGAAAATCGCGCACGGAGTCCATGCGTCGTCGTTTTTTTGTATTGTCGTCGATGTCGATGTCGTCGATCGTGGATCGTGGATCGTTTGCCGTGCCGTTGCGAGCGCGACTAATGCCGACTAAACCTGCGCCCACTTCGCTGACGAATGCCGTGGCCGCGGTGTGGACCTGTGGACGTCCGAAAGCTTTTCAGTTGGTCTCACTTTTGGACTGTGTTTTTTGTCACTGCTGCTGCTCTGTCGCCTCCGTTCCGTTCCGTGTTCTCTGGCCGACAGCCGTACACTGTATAGTATATAGATGGTGTTTACGGAGCCGCTCTCCGGCCAACTGCACTTGCTTATCACACACATTATTTTTATTTTGCGGTGTATTTTTAGAGATACGCATATCGAGTTGGTTGATTGCCAGCCAGATTGATGGGAAATGCAAATTAAAAGTGGACGGGATTCCGTTTGAGACCAGAAATGCCTATTCAAGCATGCAGGAGTTCGATTGGTAGCCAATCTTCAGAGATCTTTATGGAGAAATGTTGTCCGGAAAATGTATAGAGAATATTCCAATGCAGTCTTAACAGAAAATTATAGAGATGGTTCTGAAGTTTTTTTTATTTCAATTCCTTCAACTAACATTTTTTTAATGTTTTGAATACCAATTTATATTTATACCCTTGCAGTGCGTATTATGATTTTAATCATATAGTAGCTACTAGAGAAAGGGAAGTAATATAAACTTAAAAATTAAGACTTTCTGTTTTTCAAAATATTTCCACTTACTTCTGAAATATAAAAATGTTTTGAACTTGTTTGAGTGGGGTTTCTTTTTATACAATTTTAAAGTGTCATTTATTAAAAATAATAAAACACAATAAGTTAATTTTATATTTCCTGAGAAGAAGTCCTCTTTGAAGAATGGAGGGCACACCAGCGATCGGATATAAAATATGCGGGTTGCCATTTGATCCCTATAAATTAATAATAATATATGGAAAATAACGTTACCCAATTTTCAATAATTTGTAAATGGTCAAAATTTTAACAAATTTTAAATGCAGTATGCAGCTTTACTATCCAAATAAAAACTAACACAGAAAAGCTTTCCGAATTAAACTTAATGAATATTAGGCTTAATATGATCAATTTCCATGATCCAAACTGCAAGGGTATATGAACTTCATCTTCAAGAAGTTAGTTTCCTTTCCTATTTATCTAAAAACGAATGCTTTAAATTTTGGTGCCCCTTAAAGCTACAACATTGTCATTTAACTGGGCATAAACTGCCTCAGTAATTCCACTAATGAAAGTAAAGCGGCCCAGTGGATGACCTCACTTGTCAGGGTGCATTAAAGTGGGATTATAAAACGGAGGGTTCATCAAAAGTTTCGTGCAGTGGACGCGACAAGTTCAAGTTGTGTTGAGCCGGCAGATTGCATGTTTTGTGTTTCAGCCATGTTTATGAGGAGGCAACCCCCACCAGCATGCCAGCATCCCAGCATCGCAACATCCCAGTCCCTCCTATCATCCCAGCTATCCAGCAGTCGGGTTCAATTGCCGCACTACATCCACGTCCATCAGAGATGCCTTTGTGGTGCACGGCGTGGATGCAATGCAAAGCCAAAGTGGCAACTGCTGCTCATCAAGTTCATTCCACTTGGCATTAAGGGGCCCCAGCAGCCAGCCAGCAAACAAACATCCCAAGAATGCCGCAACAACACAGAGAGAGAGACACTGGCAGTGAGATCTGTTTATAGACCGGGCGGCATTTAATTGCTGTGCGAACGCGGTGGCTCCGTGTTGGGTTGATTGCGTTACATAAAGGGAGTGCAATAGGAATTGCAAAAGGTCCAGGCCACCGCCACCGCCACCGTCGCCACCGCTGATTGATTAGCCAAGAAGGCCGGCGGCAGTCATTAAAACGGCATTAGCGGGGCCAAAATATAATGATGAGGTGCAGGTGGGAGGATGAGTCCTTAATGAGAATGCTTGAACAACACATCGAGAAGCGTGCTTGATGAGATGCATCCAAGGAAACGTCTTAGTTGCGATGGTTACGTACGGGAAGCGCCTCCTCATGGAGTCGTGTTGATTGACAGGATACGCCGATTGGGGGAGGAACTGCCGCCTCGAATCCTTGGCAACGTAACGCACAACGTGGAGGCCATTAATCAAACCCAGCACACACGTGAGCTGCTCGCTCCTCCAGCAACGACTTATTTATGACTACGCTGGGACACTTATCGATTTGCCTGCCACCGAATTGTTCAATTATTTGGGTTACACCTGCCCCTTAAAATCAAATTCTGAACGTTTGACGCTCCCAGTAGCGGCGGCAGTTCCATTACCAGTCATAGTACCAGTTCTAGTCCCTCTCCCAAGCCCATCAATTAATTATCACTTCAGCCTTCCGCCGGGGGCAACACACACTTCCGTATCCGTAGCCGATATCCGATATGGCCAGCAGCAAGATGACCGGATCCGAAGCTCCGCGGGCAACGCACAACGCACGATGGGCAACCACAGCGCTACTGATGACTCGATGGCTGCTCCGGGGCTCGGTCGCCGCCTCTTTAATTCCATTTAGACCGAAGCTCTAGCCAGACTGAGACCGTCGTCCTGACTCTGTTTATGTTTATCCCTGCGCCTGCACTGGCTTGTTCGTTGTTGTTGCTACTGCCGGCTTCCCGGCAACCCGTCCACTTGCCGTTGGTGAGTCATGCGCACTGGACTCGCAGCTTTTTTACTAGGAGCCCAGTGCAAGGACTGCTCCCTCTCTCCTTCGTTTTGGGTGCATCTCCAGTAGCAGCTGTGGGGAAGCTTACTTTTGGCCAGCAGTGTTCTCATGGTGATTACTAAGAGAGTCTAGCCTACTTGGCGGCTACTTTTGAATTCAAATTTAGCGGCAGCCAGTGTTGGTTATTGGGGGAAAAGGTAGATTGATCGATGAACATCACGGTATTATTTGATTCAATTTATTTTAAAATAACAGAAATATACAATTTCGGTGAAGTAAAAACAAATCGAAGATTAAATAATTTGTTAATATATAAAAGTAAATATTTATAATTTATAATTTTATTCAGTTTACCTAATTTTTAAAGAAAAGTATCTACACTATGCTTAAGTATGGAGATCGGTGAACATGGTCTGGACATGGATGTAGTATTTAAAAGCTACAATATTTTTATAATATCCAAAATATTTATTTTTTGACATAAATATCACTTCAAATCCGTAGTGACAACTATCGGCTGACCAGCGAGAGTCCGAACCCAAACCTAGGGATGGGAAGTGCTGGTGCTAATGGTGATGTAGCGAGTGGGAACAGCTGATCACCAGAAGTTAGATAATAGTTTACTCTGCTCCCTCACTTAAAACAACGTCAACATGGCTCTGCGATTTGTGGCCAAGTCATGCCGATCTCTCCTGCAGAGCGGCAATCGTCCTGTGTCCTGGACCCGAACGCTCGCCCACTATCCTGTCAACGATGCCATGTTCGGGCTGGACGAGGATCGCCAGAAGTTGCGGGAAGTCGCCTTCAGTTTCTTCCAGAAGGAACTGGCTCCACTGGCCAAGGAGATCGACAAGCTGGATAACTTCAAGTAGGCTATGAAAAGATCCTGACATGCAAGTTCGGGGATCGCCTTTAATGGAATTTATAGGCAGAGTCTATAGTTTCTTTACACTAAAATCTATTTATTTCAATTTAATCTATAAAATGTAAGAGCCTTAATATATTTAAAACTTTTTTGATTTCACAGGGACATGCGTCCTTTCTGGAAGGAACTGGGCGATCTTGGCTTCCTGGGCATCACAGCAGAGCCAGACTTTGGTGGCACTGGAGGCACCTATCTCGATCACTGCATCATCATGGAGGAGTTCTCACGGTAAGATATAACATTTGGAAAAGCTAGAAATAATTATATATTTTATATATACAAGAACACCTTTGAATCAAGATTAACCTATATATTTTTAGAGCTGCTGGTGGCGTGGCTCTGTCCTACGGAGCCCACTCCAACCTGTGCATCAATCAGCTGACCAAGAACGGCACTCCCGAACAGAAGGAAAAGTACCTGCCGAAGCTGTGCAGCGGCGAGCACATCGGAGGACTGGCCATGTCTGAACCCGGAGCTGGATCCGATGTGGTGTCCATGAAGCTGCGCGCCGAGCGCAAGGGTGACTACTATGTGCTGAATGGATCAAAGTTCTGGATTACCAACGGATCCGATGCCGATACTCTAATCGTGTATGCCAAGACCGGAGGTCCTGGAGTGCCGGACAAGCACAGTATCACCGCTTTCATTGTGGAGACCGCCTGGGAGGGCTTCAGTGTGGCCCAGAAGCTGGACAAGCTGGGCATGCGTGGAAGCAGCACCTGCGAGCTGGTCTTCCAGGACCTGAAGGTGCCCGCCAAGAATGTGCTGGGCCAGGAGAACAAGGGCGTCTATGTGCTGATGTCTGGTTTGGACTTTGAACGCTTGGTGCTCGCAGCCGGACCCGTGGGTCTAATGCAAGCCGCCTGCGACGTGGCCTTTGACTATGCCCACCAGCGCAAGCAGATGAACCAGTTGATCGGCGAGTTCCAGCTGCTGCAGGGCAAGATGGCCGACATGTACACCACGCTGGGTGCCTGCCGCAGCTACCTCTACACAGTGGCCAGGTCCTGTGATGCGGGCACTCGCAGTCCCAAAGATTGCGCCGGCGTCATTCTATACACCGCCGAGAAGGCCACTCAGGTGGCGTTGGACGCCATTCAGATCCTCGGTGGCAACGGCTACATCAATGAGAACCCAACGGGTCGCATCCTACGGGACGCCAAACTGTACGAGATCGGAGCCGGCACCTCGGAGATCAGGCGCTGGCTCATCGGTCGCCAGCTAAACCAGGAGTACAAGTAGGAACAAGCAGCCCAGCTCTTGTAGGTACTCCGAACCAGAACCAGAAACGCATTTATTGAATGACAACTGTGGCAATTTTGTGGATAAACTCTACTACCCGACAGACTAAATGTTGCATTTATTTTATTATTTATAAATGAGATTTATAAAATCCTTTTATACTGTACAATTTGTTGTGTGTGCCTTAATAAAAATAATTTAAAACAGGAAATACTGATAAACCGTTTGAAATAGTTACTGAATCGAGAGGAACATTTTTGGGACAAATCTAAATTTTAAAACAGCAGCTATATGATTTTCATAAAATTTATACCCAAATACTGAAATAATAAAAGCTCATATCTCTGGGTATCTCTGGGATCTCCCGATCGTTCGTATGGCAGCTATAAGATATAGTAGTCCGATTTTCAAAAAATTAAAAGCGAAATTCTATAATAATACAGGGTGCGCCATCTTTTATCTCGGTATGTAAACATTGAATATCTTTAAAAATAAACAACCGATTTTCAAGTATGAGATATTTTTATTTAATTTGGTTCTTTAGAATTTCTACAGGCTATTGGACACACAAAATGTGCCCTTGTTGCTGCATTTCCATTACTTTTTCTAGCATCTCAGGTGGTATAGCGATGATTTCTGCACGAATATTAGCCATGATCTCGTCAATGGTTTGGCGTAAACTTTGCTTTACAAATATCCCCACAAAAAGAAGTCCGGTGGTGTAAAATCTGGAAATCTGGGTCCGATTAAGTTAAGTCAACACAACTGAACGACTATTTTCAATGTAAAGCGTCACTATTTCAGCGCGTTCTTTTGGAGTAAAGCGCTCCATGATTAAGACTCTGCTGAAGTGAGTTTTTCTCTCAAGTTAATTGGTTCACTGATGACAAAGTTTCAGGAAATTATATTTCACTTCTCACCTTCTTAAAAAATATCAATACTCATTTTTGTAACCAACGCCTTAATATTCGCAGAGTTTCAGACATCAATGTTTGCAGTTTACTGGTATCTTTCGTCTCGAAAAATTCAAAACACTTTTAAAACTCTGTTAAAATATTGTTTTTTTTTTTTATTAATTTACAAAAAATACACAATTGAAATATGCAACTGCATACACGACTCGCACATGTACGTATATACAAAGATATAAGAAATAATAATGATTACAACAAACAGAATTCACAACTTTAGAACATAGTAAGGGGTTTTACATAGATATTTTGAGTGTGTTCTACGTGGGACTTTCTTTCTTTCTTTTTTTAAATAAGGTTACACGCATTTCGAAATAAAAAATTGTGTTTTTAGTGCACAGTAATAAGTTGCATCGAATTAACAACGAAAATGAAGAACCAATTTTGTAGGGGTTATACGATTATTAGGGGTTAATTTGCAATTTGGTTTTTAAAGTTTAGATTTTAGATTTTAGAGGCTCGCCTGACTATATAATAAACTGGTGTTTATGGCTTGCTCCATCGATATATATGGTGTTTTGGCAATTGAATGGCAGATAGACAACAGATTTACAAAGACATAGAAAGTCGAATAGCGATTATAGGGTTGTTAATATTAGGTGATTATATGGTAGGGGGAAAGCATATATAGACGTAGTTCGCTAGTGGCTAGATTACAATTAATATTAAATTATTTCTATTAGTATGTTCGTGTGTGTGGGGTGTAAATGTTAAAAGCACTTTTGGCAAACATCGACAGACTCCTGCCCGAACATTTACTTAGGTCTGGCAGGCCTCTAGTCCAGTCGAAAACTATGCTTCTCCGTCTTGGTCTCCGAGCGGGACTCCGTCGTGGTCGTGAAGGACTTGCGCTCCATCACGCGCTGTGTCATCGAGGTGAGTCGCTCCGAGCCCTGGTCCACGATGCTGATCTTGCCGCCATCGGTGTTGAGGGTCATCTGCGAGAAGCTCGACTCCAAGGGCTTGACCAGGCCGAGATCGGTGCTGCTGCTGCTGGTGGTGGTGGTGTTGTTGTTGGCCGCCTTGTCAAAGTTACGCGTCTCATACCTGCAGACATACCAAGCGGAGATTAGCCAGAGCAGGAGGATAGCTTTCCGGCTGAAACTCACCTGGACGTGTAGCCCTCGTAGTTCTGTCCGGGATAACCATTGCCGCCCGTCAGCTGCACCACGCCGCCCTGGCCAAAGGTCTTGTCATGCAGATCCTGCACGCACGCCTCCAGATTCCGGTTGACCGGCTTCTGTGGCACCGCCGGCGGAGATGAGTTTTGCGTTTTAATGCTGGACGACGACTCAAAGCTGTGCTGGTAGTTGGTATTAGTGGGTGCTGAGGTTAGGCCATTGCTGCCGCCCGGGCTGCCCGGATAGGGACGGGGCACTGCATTGGCTGTTAGCTTGGGGTTAGGGCGGAAGCTACTGTGACCGGACGTGGCGGTTTGCATGTTAGAAATGGTCGTAGACAGCGGCGGCGGCGGCGGAGGGAAGTCTCCGTTGGGCTCTTCCATGGCAGGATAGTTGGACGGCGGCGGCGAGACTGCTCCGGGGTGATGAAAGTGCTGCGGCTGGGGGCTGGCGTAGCTGTAGTGATGCTTCTGCTGCTGCTGGCTTCCGCCCGAGAAGTAGCTCGGTGAGCTGGGCACTTCCCCGGCACCGTAGTAAGCGCCTCCTCCTCCGCTGCGACCCAAAGTCTGTTATGGTTACGGGGTTAGGAGAGAGAGAGAGAAGAGAGGTTAGACTGGTTACGTGTTAGATGGCCAACCCCACACCAGGTTAGGATCCCTCCGAATTACTCTACTGGAAAGAAATTGGTGCCTCAATTTAGCCTTCGATCTCAGTGCCAATTTCATTCGCTGGTGCAAAATCTAACTAAAAATGAAAGGAGAGCTTAAAAGGATTCTCATACATTGTTCTGGCTCCTGTTGAGCGTTCCATAGGCAATCTCTGTATCGCTTTCGTCGGTGGTGAAGCCCTGGGCATTCTTAGCGTAGCGCTGAGCCTGCCGCACATGCTTCAGGCGCTGGCGCGCCTCCTCCAGCTCCTTCTCCTTGCGCAGCACGGCGGAGCGGGCGTTGATCTCCTGCGCCATACCATCCACCATCGATGTGTTGATCTTTAGCGAGTGCTCCTCCTCGGCCTCCAGGCCCTGCTGGGCGGAGTGCACCAGGTTGTCGGTGGACTTGATCACCGCATTGCCGGCAGCCTGCAGACGTCGTCCGGCCTCCGAGTTGGGATTGGACTTCACCTTGCAGGCAATCAACAGCTGGGCCGTCGAGGCAGCCACCTGCTTGGCCGTGGAGATGAGCATCTCCTCGGTGCCGACGCCGCGCACCAAATTCTGGGCAGCCTCCACCAAGCTGTGTGTGGCGGCGGCAACCAGGCGAGCGGCGGAGATGAGGCCCTCGGACCACTGGCCATCGTCGGAGCTGGTCAGCGGACGGCGTGCCACCTTGCCCTGGTCAATGAGTTCACGCTGGGCAGCGTTGGCAGCGCGCACCAAGGCAGCCGAGGCGGCCATAATACCCTTGGCGGCCTCCAGAATCATTTCGTCAAACTTCATATTCTCGTCGAGTTCGATCTGTGTCAGGGCAGAAAAGTCAGGGATTAGTATGTACAGATATTTTGCAGCAGGAAAGGCATAACAGTCACCAGGCGTTTCGGTTTTAGTCGAGTTTTCAGGCCGAGAGGTTTAGTAGATTGGCGAGGGCCACAGTAATAATATGTTTGATTCCTGGGTGAACTTTTGAATGTAACAACCAAGAATATCAAACATATCTCACTGGAGCCATCAATTAGTTCGTTTTGAGAGCGTGGAGTTAGGGATCAAGCACCGCTTATAAACGAGTACGAGTTAGTTATCATTCACCGCTTGTTAGGTATTAGTTTGAGGATGCACAAGCTAGACCTACCGTGACATCGGCCTGACGACGCGGACGCAGCGAAGCCAGCTTCTTGGCCGCTGCATCGATGGAGGCTGCGGCGCCCAGCAGTTCGTTCTCAGCTATCACTGTGGGATCTTCAGGATCGATCCAGTCGGAGCCCTTGAGCAGCCTGGCCATGGCCACCAGATCGGTGACGCACTTGGCCACGCGACGCGACAAATGCATGCGATCGTCTGCGCTGCAGTTGTGCAGGATGCCGTTGAGCAGCTCGCGATAGGACTCGCCAACCGCCGTGCCCGCCTCCAGAGTGCGCATTCGCAGTTCCTCCGTTTCCGCGCAGTTCCAGGCGACGGAGCGGCAAACGATCAGCATGTCAGAGATGGCCCGACGTCCCAGATTGGCGGCAGCCACAATGTCAGCCTGCAGATTGGAGGTGCCGGCAGCCACGGCCTTGGCAGTGGCAGCAGTCACGTTCATGGTCACTCGGATGAGGTCCTCGGGTCCCACCTGGTTGCTGCCCACTGGAGGGGGAGTGTGCATGGCCTGGAAGGGTGAGAAAATAGAGTTAGGTTGAATTCAAAATATGTTCATATACTTTGAGACATGGCCATTTTGAATTATTTCAGAATTTCGGATTTAATTTTATGAAAATCAAAAGACTATATTAGCTGTCATAGGAACTATCGGAAAATTAACGATATTCCTTCAAATCTACTTTAAAAGAACAAATTTGGTCCCTTTCTCAAATTTTAAGTTAAGATATGCGAATTTTTAATTACGTACTTTAATAGTATTTCAATTTCGGCTTGCCAAAGTTAGCTTTCTTTTTTGTTTAACTTTGAAACACTTACCCGTATCTCCTGGGAAATGGCTTCAACGGTGGCCTCCATGGCCCGTGTTCCGCGCGTGTGCTCATCCTCCACAGCCTTGACGGTCTTCAGCAGCGAGGACACATTCAGCACCATCACCTATTTGGTTTCAAGTGTAAATTGGTTTTGCAGAGCAGAGATGTTTGTGATTAATGTTTGGTCGGCAAAGAGGTGAGAGAGAGGGTTACTTATAGATATAGCAGGATTTCTACGCTTGACTACTCAACATAACTTACTACTTCTACTACTAGGGATCTAGTACAACAATCTAAATGGCTTTGGCACTCTTTCAAATCAAAATACAAAACTAAATACGTAATTAAATAATACATATTCCAATTAAAGATTTTTATTATACGCATAAGTAATAAGAATTAGTTTATAAAATGACTTGGTAACATTGATAGATAAGAGATAAATAATGAGAACTTTTAAAGGCCGGGTAAGCGTTACGGAAAGTTCTCGAAATGTGCTTTAAAACGTTTGAAATTGAAAGTAAAATTAATTATTCACTTTAGGCTCTTCCCAGCAGTTAAAAGTCCTCTTACAATCAGTTTTGAATTCAACTTCTCAAGGGTCAAAAATTATGATTCATTGTGTTCTGAATGGCTTAATGCAAGTTGAACGAGGGACACGGACACGGATGGTTCTCAGTTGGCCATGGCGCTGTCGATGATGCCGTTGCTGCTGCTGCCGAGGAGGAGGATGTGGCTGCTACTGCGGATGTCTGAGTGTGGGTTAGTTTCTGAATGGCGGCCGTTGTGGGCAGCTGCTTGGCAAACATCTTGAAGCGTCTGCCCGTTTTTTGGTTTTATTTTTCGGTTTGTGCGGATGAATGGAGATTTTGGTTTGATATCGATTTGATAGCAGATTGTTTCCACAGCGAGCGCAGCGCATGAAGAGAAGGAGGAGCGTGTGGAGCGGTTTTTGAATTCGATTTGCATTTTGTACAGTTCATGAGTGTTTTGAGTTTTTTTTTTTTTTTTTGTTTTGTGGGAAAAAAGAAGAGCAGACACGTCGAAGGCACAACGAATTAGCAAAACGAAAAAAATACATCAATTTATGGATTTTCCCATTTGGTTTTTCTTTGTACAAACGTTGGAAGTGGGTGGTTGGTGGGTGTGGGTGTGGGACAGATGGAAAGGGTGGTTTGGAAAGGGTAGGTGGGTGTTCTGGGTGTCTCGGTGGTTGCGAGAGCGCGGCGCAGCAGTTGCAGGCAGAGCTAGAGCCAGCAGGGATGACCAGGGGGTTAGAGCCGGAGCCGGGGCAAGTAGGGTAGTTCCAAAATATATTCTTTCTCGCCGAAGCCGCAGGGAAATAATGCAAGTAGTGGGCTTTCGTGGGGCATGGTGCGTTCGGTTAAACATTGATAACATTAATAACATTAAAGGAAACGAAAACGAAAACGACAACAGAGCGAGAGCAGCGGCAGAAGCGTAAGGGAGCAGAGTGGGATGCGATTTCCATTCATTTTTGTACGAGATTTCAATAAAAAATCAGCCAGCAGCAGTGGAGTTGGGTTATTCAAAATATACACAGATACATTTATGTGGTTGGGGGTTTCCTATGTTTTTTGTATGTTTTGTTTTAACGGGTGGATGAGTGCCAAAGCCAGTTGATGTTTATTTATGTTCGAGTTTTCAATATGCCACAACATCAACAACATTTTTGTATGCGTTTTACATATTTTTTCATGGAAGAGAAAATATTATTAAAGAAATCATATATACTATAGACGATAAACACTATCGAGACCAGGGAGGCCATGGAAATTGCAGCCTAATCTGCATTTTATGATGTTTCAAAAACACTGCGATTTCTGTGGCCTCCCTGCCTAAGTTAAGTTACTTTTCAAGACCCATTTTACTTGGTAATCTCTTCTGAATACCTAAATAAAATTTTAGGGACAAACCATAACCATTTCTAGTCAGTTACAATTTTGGTGAGTTAGGGAGAGTAAAAACTAAGGCAGAGTAAATCGCTTAAAAGGGGACATTTTTTGTTGGTCTAAAAAATAGTTTATTATTTATAGAATATACTATGTTAAAGTTTCATTATCAAATTCAAACTCTTAGTGCCTCAAATCAAGTTAACGTGGGCGCATTAAAAACTGAGTTTTCTCTACTTTTAATTTTTGAGTTTTTACCTTTTGTAACAAAGAAAACTATGCAAAATATTGGAATGAATCAAAAACTATTATTATCAGCATCTATTTTACCGTTCAAATGTTTCCCCTAAAAGGGTCATACGTCCTATTTTAAGCGAATTTTTCTGCAAATACTAAAAGCCACAACAACGAAAGCTTTATAGCAGATATAAAAAACTACAGAGTAAGAGAGAGATAGTTTAAAAGAGAGACAGAGAGAAAGGGGAGACTGGTTAGGCGGTTCTCAAACTTACCCTGGCGCTCTCCTTCAGACCCTGCATGGAGGGATCGTTGATGGGCTTGCCCGAGGCCAGCTTGGTGCAGTTAATCAAGTCGCCCAGAGCCGAGGCCACATCTTTAACGGCATTGATGACCATCACCTGAGAGTCGGGCTGCGAGGATCCCAGCGAGCAGGCGCCTCGCTTCACCGCCTCAGCCAGTTGAGCTGGTGTTAAAAATATTTAGTTAGATTTTATCCCTTAAACTTTATTATTCTAAACTCACTTATAGTTGACACTGCATTCTGGGCAGCGCTGGCCAACTGATCCTGTGTTCCAGCTGCTCCTGTAACCAACACCTTGGTGTCCTCGACCAGAGCCTTGGCCGTCTGCAGAATGTGCTCGCGATGATCGGCAAAGCTTCCGTCTCCGTCCGAGTGCAAGGTTCCGGCGGTGGCGAACATAATGGTTGTGTCCAGATCTCCTATGATGCCGGACACCGTGTGGGCGGCATTGATGCAGGCCTGGGTGCCGCGTGATCCCGCCTGCAAGGCGGCCAGCACTTGGGCCACCTTCTCGGACACCTCGCGGGCGTTGCGGGCAATATCCTTCTGGGCGCCCACATCGTTGGGTCGTGCTCCGCCCGCCGACGACTGGATCATGGAGCTGACCGAGCGGCCCAAGTCGATGACTGTGGTGCGAATCCGCATGGCCACGTCCGGTGAGGTGGTGGTGGTGCTGGCTCCCACGGAATCTTGGGTCAGCTGCTGGTAGTGCTGAGTCATGTCCACGGCCAGCTGGGGCAGGGCCGCCGGCTCCACGCTGCTCTTGGCATTCATCTCGTTGGCCAGACTGGCGATCTCCTTTGCCCGCGCCACCATGCGCGTCTGGTAGTCCACGAAAGTGTCCGAGTACGAGGCGTTCAGCAGCGACTGCCGCTTGTCGGTCAGCCGGGTGATGGACCGGTTCACCTGCTCCATCAGACCCGTCACAATGCCCGTCTCCGCATTGATCTTCTCCACCGTTTGCTGCAGCTCCAGGATGGCCTCCCGCGTGCCATCGATGGCCTCGTCCAACCGCGGATGGGCGTGCGTGGCTCGGGGATTTCCGGCCGAGTCTTTGGCCGACTGCACCAGAGTGATGGCGCTCTCCACCACCGAGCGCGTCTGCTGGATCAGCGACATCTGCTGCTGGCTGTGCACGATGTGGGTGCAGGCGCCGATGGCGCCGTTCACCATGGGCACCACATACCGCGAGATCTCGCCCACGGCGTGGCCCAGCTGCTCGGCATTGTTCTTGCCCGCCACCCGGATGGGCTCCAGCTTGTCCACCAGCTCGGAGGCCGAGTTCATCGTCTGGCCACTGAAGCCGTGCAGGTTGTTGTCCCGCCGCTGGCTAAGACCCTGGGCGTTCACGGCGAGCGCACAGCTGTCCAGCTCGCGGGTGCAGGTGCCCAGGGTGTGGAGCACCTGCTCGCACTGCGCCTGTCCCGGCGCCTTGTCCCGAATGTTGTCCACCAGCCTCTTCACCGACTCCGACACCGGCGTCGAGTGCATCGAGAGCTGTTGCCACACGGGCGGATTGTCGGGGGAGAGGGCCAGCGACTTGGCCGCCTTGACCATCTCAACCACACCGTCGATGACGCCACGTCCCGCCTGGATCACTGGCTCCTGCGCCTTCCTGCCCTCCGCCGAGATCTTGGCGGGCACCGAGCTGAACTCCGGACTGGAGGCATACTGTCGCACCGCCTTGACGGCCTCTAGGAGTGGCTCCACCAGGCGCTCGCGACTTCCGCTGGCCGGCTGCTCCTCAATCGCCTTGATGGCCTGCACCAGGTCCGAGGTGGCCGTGGCCACCTGCTTGGCCAGCACAATGAACTCGTTTTTGGCCACCGGGTTCGAGGTGTTCATCGAGGCCTGGCGGCAGATGGAGCACAGGTAGCTGGTGTGCTTGGCGATCACCGTGAGGGCAGAGATCATCTGCGGCTTGGTCGACTGCTGGCTGGCCACGATGTCGCAGTGCTGCCGGATGCCCTGGTAGGCCCACGTCAGCTGGGCCTGATCAATGATGCCCGGCCGTCCGGCCACGCTGGACGGATGCGAGACGCCGATCAGATAGGCGGCCTGCGAGGAGCTCTCGATCAGGCCCTGGATGGAGTCGTTCACGTTGCTCACCGACTGGCTGAACTCCACGTGCTGCGACTGCTTAGCGTTGTTGATCATCTCGGAGATGGCGTAGCCCAGGTTGCGCGACTTGCCGGTGGCCTGCTCCACGCAGTCGAAGTAGCCCAGCTCGTTGATGGGCTCGTGGGGGTAGTCCAGCATCAGGCGCAGGGCCTCGATGTTGCGCATGGCGTTGTCGCACTCCTTCTGGCCAGGAGCAGACTGGATGCTGGCGTCCACCAGCTGGTTGATGCTCTCCGTGACGCCGCGGGCGGCGGCGTGCAGCAGGTTCTTGGCATTCGGCTGGCCGGGATCGGCGGCAATCGACTTGGCCGTGGACAGTAGCGAACACGACTGGGTGGAGACGTGGCGCAGGCACTCGATAATCTGGGATCGCACCTCCTCCTCCTGCGTCTGGCCGGCCATTTCCATGCTGACCGACAGCAGGTCCCGGTAGTTGGCCGCAAAGTTCTGCGTGGTCTCGGCCAGCAGGGCTGGCGAGTGGTAGGAGACCACGATCTGGCCCCCGGAGCTGCTCAGCTGCTCGGCCACCTGCTTCAGTTCCGACTGCAGCGTGGCATAGGGTCGGGCCGAGGGCGGGAACTCGCTCATCGAGAGGATCTCGCTCAGATCGCTCACGTTCCTCAGGGCCATGTCCACCTCGCGCTGGCCGGGAATGCAGTCCACGGCAGCGGACAGCGCTCCGGTCACCTCCTTGCCAGCCTGGGTCAGGGCGTCCGGGTTGGACACGCCCTGCAGCGTGCGCTGCGCCTGCTCGATCAGTCGCGCCGAGCTGGTCACCACATCATCCGCGCAGTCGATGATGGCCGGATTCTGGGTGGTGGCCGCCACCCCGTGCACGCTCTTGGTGAAGTCTCCCAGGGCCAGGGCCGTGTCGCGACCCGCTGAGCCGGCGTAGATGCGCTGGTTATGCAGCACCGACGACAGCAGCTGGCTCAGGGCAATGCCCACGTTCTTGGCGGACCTTCTCAGCTCATCGGCCGTGTTCTCCACCGTCTGTCCCGGCAAGGGACGCAGCTGGCCAGCGAGGGCCGCCTGACGCGTGTCGTCGAGTACGTCATGCAGCTTGCGCACCTCCTCCAAAGCCGACTCCAACTCCTGGCCACCGCAGGCATCGCGAGCGCGCTGGGCCACCGAGTGCAGCTCGGATACACATTGTCCCAGGTGCAGGGCACCCTTGGACAGCTGCGTGGCCGAGGGAATATCGGTGACGGTGGGCTGCAGAGCCCTCGAGGACTTGGACACCTGCAGTGCCGGTTCGATGAACTGCTCCGCCGCCTCGATGAGGTTCAGCTGGGCGTTGGGATCGTCGGGCTGCGCCCGGGTCGTCTTTAGGGAAGTAACCAGTCGCGGGATGGTGTCAGCCACCCGCTTGCAGTCCTGCAGCAGCGTCTCCTTGGTCTGGTGGTCCTGGCTGTGCTGCACCGCATTCTGGGCTGCCGAGATGCACTGCGTGGCTGCCGAGGCGGCCTGCTTCGAGCAGAACTCCAGTCGCTGGATGAGTCCCCGCTTCATGGCCGGCGTATTGGCCGCCGTGGTGGTGATTTCGCGCAGCTCCTCGGCCGCCCGGCGCAGGGCATTCTGGTTGTCAGTGTCGTGGGGATTCGAGGAGCAGAGACGCGCGGCCTCCACCAGCTTGGCCGTGGCATCGGCCAGCTGCTTGGCGGCGGACAGGAGGCGACGCTGCATGTCCGCGTCCTGCTGCTGATCCGCCTCACCCTTGATGCTCTGGATCAGCTGGGCGGTGGTCTGGCCCAGGGTGCGGGCATGGCGCACCATCTCCTGGGGATCGTGGGTGGACACCAGGATGTCCGTGCCGATGATCACGTTCTCGACGGGACTCAGCTCGGTGCTGGTGCGGTTCGCGTGCTCCCTGGTGCTCAGCTTCACGTGCTCCAGCATGTCGGTGAGGCTCTTGGACACGTCCCGAGCGGCTGCCAGGAGATCGGCCTTCAGCTTGGGATCGTTGCTCGCCTCGTTGCATACCTCGCACAGCGAGTTGACGGCCCTGGCCACGTTCCTGGCCGCCGCCTCCAGTTGCTCGCGGCAGGCGGCGTTGTGCAGCGTGGGCGCCACCACCTTAGCACAGGCCACCAGCTGACTGGTGGCCAGGGCACACTGGCTGGCCGCTCCAATCACCCTGTTGCGGGCCTGCTCGTCCTCGCAGCTGGCGGCAATGTTTTTGGCCCGCAGCACAAGGGCGGCGGTGGTGTTGGCCACCGCCTTGGCCAGAGCCAGGAGCATGTCGTGCAGATCCCGATTCTCGGGCACCTCCTCCTCGGCAATGGTGCTGAGCACATGGGTGGTGGCCTCTCCCACGCGGCTAGCCGCATTGATCAGATGCTGCGGCGGCTCCTTGCTCTCCGGCTCGGCGGCCTTGAGGAGATCGCTGAAGGCGTTGCACAAGTTGCGGGCAGCCTCCAGCAGCTGGTCGCCGTTCGAGTCGTTCTCCATCAGGGCGGCAATCAGACGCACCTCCTTGGTCACCTCGGGTATCGTTTGGGCAATCTGCGACACCGAAGCCGAAATGGCCTCCGTATCCACCTCGTCCGGCTGCGAGGCGGTGATGATCTGGGCTGTGGCGGCGCTCATGGTGGCCACATGACTGCTGACGGCCTGCTTGGAGGTGTCCAGCGTGTTCTCGCGCCACTCAATGGAGCGCATATCGCTGCCCAGCTCCTGGATGGGTGCCTGCAAGTGGAGAAGGTTAGTCCATCTCTAGTAACCAGGAGGAGACAAGGCCTAGCTTACCCTGGTGCGCAGCTCTTCGTCAGCGCGAATTAGGACATCCTGGCCGGCGGAAATGTAGCCCAACAGTGCCCGCTGTGGCTCCGTTAGATTCACAGAACTAATGCGAACTTCCTTAGTCTAAATATAAACATTTCAATACACTTATTAGTTGTCTGAATCAATCAATAATCTCTCCAGCTGAATGCATACTTGGTGAAACTCTGGTTGACCACTGGCTGTTCTCAGAGATTGCAGCATGTTGGGAGACAGGGATTAGAGATTAGATGTGTCATGTTAGTTCGCTGCAGATGAGATGGGGTCATATGGCACATGGTTATGACTATGGTTATGGTTAAGGTTAGGAGTACGAGTACGAGTATGTGCAGTGGCAACTCAGGAAAAAAGCGCGTGAAAAGAGGATTAACTGAGTGGAGTGTGTGAGTGCGGTTAGTGTGGAGTTTTTGTGTGTGTGTGTGTGGCTTTACGCAGGTGCGAGACGGGGCCAAGGGACAACTTACCGTGGGCGGCTGGTGGGCATGATTCACCTGGCCAACGAAGGCGCCATACTGCACCGTCTGCACTTCGTTGTGGGTGAAGGGGCGCTCGGCTGTGATTGAATTCAAAGGACGGGGGAGGTACAAGAAAGTCAAAATTATAAATTAGCATACTCAAAAAATAAGCAAGTAAAAAAGTAACCAAGCACTATAATATATCATATAAATATATATACATAAATATAAATAATACAATATGTCTTTATTTTTTATAAGGCTTAGAGACTCGTAAAAATTCCTTAATTGAAATCAGTTGTTGGTTTCTTTTCCAATGTCACTGATCTAATGTATGATCTCTAAATAAGGAAATCGGTTCTCTCATTTACAAATTTAAGAATTCCTTCTTTTAATCCCATATTTAACAAAGGTCTGATTTCATTAAAAATGTTCAAAAAACTATAAACTAATAAGCGCCAGCTAAAGTACTTTTTCCATTTCATAAAATACAAAAGAAATCTCTTAAAACTCACCGTCATAGTTGCGTATAATGCCCGGATGAGCCAAGCTCTCCACATTGAGTTGCTCCACGCGATTTGTTTCGTGTTGCAAGAAGGTGGCCCTGAAAACAAACAGAAACCATTATTAATCTATTATTAAACAAAAACCGACTCATTTTACTCACTTGGAAGGTGCCACAGACTCCTCCACCATGGTGGAGCCCTCATCGCCCTCGATGCCAAAGTGATCCTTGGTCTGTTTCTTCTTGAGTATAATATCGATGTAGCCAGCGATGAGCTGGACAATCTGCTCGGCCTCCGTCGTTTGCACCGAATAGTACTGATTGGCATAGTCGCCAAAGTCCAGGGTGAAGGTGTTCGGCGAGGCGCCCCATCGTCGGACTGTGGTCAATGGCCACGAGACGAGAATCTCCTTGGTACGCTCGTCCAGACGCAGCACCGAGTCCTTAGTGACGCCCAGCAGGCGGGGCACCAGCTTGTTCTTGCCATTCATCTTCTCCTTGACCAGGAAAAAGGTAACCCCATAGGTGGGCAACTCCCGGGCTGTCTTGGTGTACAGGACTTTGGCATCGATTTCGGATAGATCGGCGTGCCTTCGGTGCTCCGCAAAGACTTTCTTCTCAATGCCCTTGACGCGCACATACGACTGAGGCAGGAAGTCCTTCAGGCTGTACAGAAAAAATTTCAAATGGATTAAGAGAGGGACTTGGAATAAGGACTCTCAATATAAACTCACTCTAAAAATCCTGTCTTGTGCTTGGCCTCGTTGTGCGGTCCAAACTGAATGTGCGTTTGGATGCCAGCAAATTCACAAGCTAAGGAAATCAAAAAATTGTCAAGGGGCTTACTTTAAAGACTTTTTTAAACCAAACGCACCTTTCTCCTGGGTAACGGGATGCGTGCCATCCAGAATGGCGTCCCTGGCCTGCACATACAGCAGATTCAATTGCACGGGATCCCGGGAGTCAATGTTCTGATCCGAGAAGAAGAACCGACGGCGCAGTAAGACCGTCTCGGCCTCATCTATGCCCTGCTCCCTCAGAGTGCGACCGACATCCACCCAGTTCACTGCAAACAGAACCCTTTAGTAAGCTTCCCTTGGGCAATCGTGGCCAGGTAACTCACTCTCATCGTCCGTCTTGAGCTTCTTGCGCAAACTCTCCATCTTGGCGTCGCGATCCTTCTCCATGATCTTGCGCTTGAGGGTCAGAGTGCCGAACTTGTTGTCCGGCAGGTTCTCGTTCTGCGCCTCGTTGTCCTCGCGCACCAACCCATATTCCTCGTGGTTGGTGATGCCGATCTTCGTGCAGATGACCACCATGAGCTGCGACACCGGCTGCGAGTCATCCACCAGAATGGTCTTTACGGCACCGTCCAGCATGCGGACACGCAAGGTGCGCAGTTTGCGACGATACTCCAGCGTGTCTTGGTTGTGCAGGATGTAGTAGCCAAGGGTGCGTCCGGCCTCCAGCCAAACGCCTTGCTGGTTCTGCTCGTCGGAGATGAAAAGACCATATTCGCTGGCTGTAATGGAAGGAGAATTTAACATTTAAAGGGATTTCTGGCTATGGACTTCAGGAGTATACGTACGTTGTCCTTGCACAGCCTCGGCGAACTTATCACGGATGATCTTGCAGGCATCGAAGACTGTGGTGTTGGGCTGGAACTGTATGGTCTTGGTCACACGACCACCTTCCAGCTGGATGCGCAGCGATAGCGTGGACATCCTGGCGTCTTCTCTTCGGCTTTCTTTCTCCTCCTCCTTCTGTTTTCTCGATTCGTGCTTCTACTCCTCTCCTCTCACTCTCTCCTCCACCTCGTCGTCGTTGTTTCCTTGGGTAAACTTCCAAGGATGTGGGAAATGCAAAAGGCACTGTAACAAGGAAGAAGAGAAGTATTCAAGTAAAGTGGGTGAATGAAAAATAAAAGCTTAATTTTATTAAAGTGTGTTTGCTTTTGGCATTATTTAAGAAGAATTTTTAACAAGTTTTAAAAAGTTGCAACACTTTTCGAGGAAATAAAGAATGTTTCACTTTGAAAAGAATTCATATTGCTTACTAATCATAAGTATAATATTATTTTCGCTTAAGTATTCACTTTTACAATACTGAAATCTCTCAAGAAAGGACTGTAGTTTCCCAAGAAGATTCTGTTGTATCCACTCTTATAGGAATTGGGGACACTGTCCTATTATTATCCCATATTATTGTAATGGAACATTAAGCTAGAAAAAGTTAAAAGTGGAAATCAGAAACCAGAAAAGCCGAAACCAAAAACCATGAACCAAAACCGAAACTGAAACCACCCCCAAAGCGTAAGGATATCTTTTGCCGGGCGGAAAGGGGCGGTGGACGAGGATGTGGATGTGGATGTGGCAGTTGGCAGCCACCACCCAAAACGCAGACGACCGATAAAATTGCTGATGAAAATCTTCTCCACAAACACACACACACACAGAAGAGAGGGCAATGCAGGACACTTGAGTTTGCCAAATCAAAGCCTAAAAGCCCAGGCCCATTGTAGTTTCCTTAGGGGGTTGGCAATGTAACCCCACACCAGGACATCTACCTTCGACCGCTTCTCTCACTTTTGCTTCGTGGCTCTTCTCTCCTCTCCTCTCTTCTCCAGCAGCTCCGCGTCATTACGGCAGGGCTTTGGATTTTAAGCCAAGTGCTCCTAATGCCTATCTTTCCATCCCCGAAGAGCGGGCATAATTGATTTTCTGTCGCCCGCTTTTTAGATCCAGCAGCAGCAGCCTTTGAAAGGGAGCTGCCTCCTCAAAGTGTGTCACAGTTCGCCATTATTTTTTCTGTAGCTAAGGCAAAAATCAATAATTTACACAAATGTTTGCCTTTTTCCTTCTTTGTTTTTTTGTTTTTGCTTGGGGAGCTGAAGCGGAAGCGGAAGCACTTGAAATTTCCGGCAGACGACACACACACACACGAAACCGCACATAAACTTTCACAATTACTTTTTAAGGCCGGGCAGGACGCCCAGGACGCCTGTTCCATATGGCGGCGATAGTTGGCCCCGCTCGTCGGCATCCTGGGGAGAGTCGTTGATTAGATTATCCGGCTGTTAGAGCGGCACACGTCTGCTGCCCACGGAATCTGGCACGTAAATGATGAAAAGGCTGACTCAACCTTTGGACTGAGAGCGGCAGAGCCACCGGCAGAGGATGCGGCCGCGGCAGAGGGATGCTGCTGCGCCGACGTTAGCATCCTGCGAGTGTCTGCTGCTGGTGCTTTGGTGGTGGCAAAACAAATGCCAGGAGGACGAAGAGAGCCACAGAGAGCGGCGCCGGCGCCGTATCTCCCTGAGAGAGAGCGAAAGAGCTGAGTTTGACCCCAAAGGGTGCAGCCACTGGGTAAAACACCCTCCTCTGTGGGAGATTGGAGAGTTATCTCTTCGCACTCCCCTCCGGACCCGGTGTAGACTTTTCACGGCGCCTGAGTGGCGCCAGACAGCCGAAAAAGTATCTGAATCCTGCGCAGCTTCAGCAGGCATACACAAAGGAGGCGAACCCAAGGGGCAGGAGGAGGCAAACAGTCGCCGCGTAACCTGATATGAATCTACACTGCGCGACAGGACGACAGGTTCAAAAGGGGGGGAGTCAAGTGCGCAGTCAGAAGGCGTTTTTGTCCCTTAAATTAGTATGTTAAAGAATCGTTTAAAGGAAATCATAAATATTTAAGAGCTAGCTATAATTTAAAATATTTTGCAAATATATTTTGAGATTTATAATGTCCTTTAAATAAATTTTAGATTATTTCTTATGATTTTCCACTTGCTTAGCAATTAGTTTAGTTTGACAAATAATATTTGCACTTTTAGATTTAATATGAAAACTTTATAAAAGCGTTGCTCTTTTTCTACCAAAATTCCTCCTACAGCCCACACCCTAACAACACTAAACAAATAAATATTGTAATATGATCTACCCCATTAAATCAATTAACTTTATTTCAGAGAAGGATGATAGAAAGGACAACCACTAATAAAACATCCTCATCCATCCTTCTTACAGAAAACATAAAAAAAACTTTAGTGAATGTAGAAAACTGTCAGTGTCACGCTAGGAAAATGGATGAAAGACAATGAATAGGATCGATTTCACGGAACCCAGAACATTTATGAATATTTTGATGAATCAGAATCACTATTTGGTTCAATGGACTCTGTGTATCAAAAGATATCATATTTCTCGGCAGTTTTACTTTATTAGCCATTTTACAGATGGCTAATAAACAATAATTAAGGAATAGTGATTAATTTGCTATGAATTTTTATATTTTTTTTTTTTGGCACATCTTAGTTTTTACTCCACATCCACCTCCTGCTGTCCAATCCCACTCCTTCTCCTCCTCTAACCATTGCCAGTCGAATGCAAATGGAAGCCAGGCCAGGAGCCGGAGGTGGCATCGAAGCCTCTCACTAATTGGCAACCACTTTCCACCCAGAAGTCACACTGAGCTGCTAATGGATGTAATTTACGGCCGGCCACGTTTTTTCTATGAGCACAACTAATTAATTGACTGCGGATGTAGATGCCAAGGAAACGACTTGTGGATTTCGGACTTTTCTTACTTGAAACTAAAATAAAGAGAATTTTAACCTGTACGGACTTGGGATTTATTAAAATTACACTGTTGAGCGTCTGATTTTTTTATTTGATTTAAATATTTATGGTTTCTCAACTAATTTAAAACATTTTTTAGTTGAAATGTTAAAATAATTTTCCTCTTGTTAAGGAGGAGTACTTGACAGAATCTAGTCAAAGTCAAGAATTGCAAATAAGCGCAATGATAAAACATATTTTAAGAATTTGGTTTCTAAAGAATTTTGGTATCCTCAAAACTAAATTTCTTAGAAAGATTAGTATTTCAATAAATACTTTTTAAATAAGTTTCTGGATGTCTTAAATACTTATTCAAAACTTATTTTATTCAAAATAACAGTAGAAAAATTTATAAAAAAGAAACCAAGCTAATAGATGATGATTTTCCCCGGCTTACTTACTTTTCGAACACTTTGATAGACTCATCGTGGGATCTTGTTTACAATGGACGTTTTTTTCGAAGGTGTTTATATAGTATTTTTCGGAAAGTTGGCGATCGAAAAACGTTAAGGCACACAGAGCTTATGGTTACGGTTTTTTTTTTCTTTTTGGCTTAATGCTTATAAAGGCACGCTCGGGCGTAGTGTGTGTTGTTTGGTGTGTGTGTTTTTGGAGTGGTGTGTTTTGTGTTTTATTGGTGTTTAATCGATCGGCTTTACGTTGTCATCGAAATGCATCGCGGGGTGTTAAAGGGAGATTTTAAAAATCGTTGACTGCGACGGCAGCGCTGGAGCTAGCGAGATCCTCCTGCAGATCCTCCTGGGCTCCGGCGGCAGCTGCTCGACGAGCTGAGGCACGTTTGTGGTGTTTGGCAAACGGAGCGGACCGTTTTTGTACAAAAAATTGTACGGAACCGAAACTGAATTTACAAAATACTCAACACAAAACGATGGCAAAAATCGCTAACAGTTTGGAAAATCTTAAAAAACGCGTATACATCATTAAATAACGTGTGAATTTTGCAGTTTTGCAATGCTCTCGACCTCAACAAATAACGTTTAAAATTTTGTGGGTTCTCTAGTGTAAAAGCTTTCGTTGTGTAAATTTTGTAAAGTATATATAAACGTGTGTGACTTTGTACATATATTATATATATCGTTAAAAACGTGTAAGACTTTGTAACAAATTTTGTGTTTTTTTTTAAGGCTTTTTGTGTCTGTTCTAAGGCAAATTAGTGGCAGAGTTTTAGAGACTTAGGGTCTAGTAAAAGTAAAGTTTCTGTCCAAGGCACTCGACGACAACAACGCGTGTGTGTGTGTGTGGAAAGTTAAGAATAATTCTTAGGGATAAGGCACGAACTATTTATGACGAAAAACAAGGAACCGAAACGGCACAAAGGCACTTGACCGCCAAACTTAACGAATTTTCAGAAACTCAACAACAAAACGCTTTAAAAACGCGACTTGACACTTTGTGACTTGTTTTATTTTTTTGGTGACTGAAAGCCCGTAGTCCTGGCTGTCCTGGCAACTCCTGCCCGATCAGCGGCTAGGCCTAGAATGATGTGCTATGCCGGCGACACATCGTGAGCTTCTGATGCCAGCATCATCCATTCCACAAGTCGTAAGCGTTGTGAGAATCCGCGACTCGATGGCGTCGTCCTGACGTCGCATCCGCGCATGCTCTGCGGCTGGTATGCAGGATGCCTGGGCGAGATGGCATGTCACGGCGAAGCCTTGGCAGTGTGGCTGCGGGAAAAGGATGATGCTGCTGATGCCTCTGCCTCTGCTGCTGCTGCTGCCGAGATCGTAAAACTGCCTAACCATCGCAACCAAAAAAAGGGAGGGTTTGGGTCTTGGCCTTTTTCCTGCGGAAAATCCACCACCAACTGGGTGCGCCCCATGGGTGGCCCTGGACCACCAATGGCTGAACTTCGCCTCCGCCCTATGTACAAGCCCAGCCATTTACTTGGCCAAGTTGTGTGTAAGTTTGTGTGGAACTACATGCAAAATGAGTAATGGTTAGGGAATAGCGGGAGATCCTTAATTTTCCCTGCTTTTTCGCCCAGCTTTATTTTAATTAATCGGATGTCCCTTGATTAATTGCAACAAGATGAGTTAGGTAAAGTTTCAGAGATCTCGCTTTAAAGGCTGAGGAAGGATAATGTCTCCCCCTTTCGAACCCACTTATCTGTGCATCTCTTTGGACGACATAAAAGCGGAGGAGGAAGAAGGCAACAAAAAATAAGCTCAACTGGCGCGACTTTCTGGCGCCAAAGCCTCCATTTTGTCTGGCCATATAAACGGGTGTACAATAATATCCTTGTGTGTGTGTGTTCGTCCTGGAGCAGCGCGTGTGCCTGCGTAGGAGTCCTGTGGTGGCCGCCAAGGAATCTGCACTGTTTTCACTTGTCTTGGGACACGTTTACGCCTTCCCCGTCATGTTCTCCCTCTGATTGCTTCCCCCCGGTACCGATCCCGCTTCCCGTTTTCGATGTCTTGGGGCAAGGATAACAAAGTGCCATGGGACAGCGCCAATGTGGAGCCCTTTTATGTAATTTGCACAGTTTTTATTTCTTTTTGTGCTAAGCGAGCAAAATAGAATTTGCCAACAGATACAGCGACTTGTCTGGGGCATAAAAATAAAGCCTTAGAAAAGGCATAAAGTTCAAGGAGGCATATATTTAAGCCAATCTTATTTTATAGGTAGAAATTAGCTTTTAGTTCTATTTGATTAATAGAGGTTTTTTGAAGGGAAAACAGAGCGTATATGAGCATTTTATAACCTTCACTTACAATTACCTATAATAGAATATTGAATTACTATAATATCTATACTCGAGAACCATATTATAATCGTTCCCTTAATTATTTCCTTATTATTAAAAACAATACTACATCTTGTTTGAAAGAGAAGAATAAATAGAGCAAAGATCTTATAAATCCAATAAATGGGGTGAAAAAGAAATCCAATGTGAACTGAAGTATCAAAACAATTTAAGGAGAAAGTATCCCCAAAACGACTATCGTTACTACAACCATATTTAGATAATCTGTTTGTTTAGATAACAGGTTGGCTGATAAGTCCCCGGTCTGACACATAGATGACGTCGCTAGTATTGAATGCATATTATTTTTATATAGTACTAACCTTTAAATGATTCGTCTCAAAATTTGACGTCTGTCAGTCAATTAGTTTGTGAGATAGAGCGTCTTTTGTGAAGCAACTTTTGTTATTGTGAAAAAATTTGAAAAAAAGGAATGTCGTGTTTTGATAAAATACTGTTTTCTGAAGGGAAAAAATACAGTGGAAGCGAAAACTTGGCTTGATAATAAGTTTCCGGAGTCTGCCGTAGGGAAATCAACAATAATTGATTGGTATGCAAAATTCAATCGTGGTGAAATGAGCACGGAGGACGGTGAACGCAGTGGACGCCCGAAAGAGGTGGTTACCGTCGAAAACATCAAAAAAATCCACAAAATGATTTTGAATGACCGTAAAATAAAGTTGATCGAGATAGCATAGGCCTTAAAGTATCAAAGGAACGTGTTGGTCATATCATTCATCAACATTTGGATATGCGGAAGCTCTGTGCAAAATGGGTGCCGCGCGAGCTCACATTTGACCAAAAACAACCGTGCCACAAGTCGTTGAGAACGATGGCAAAAATTCATGAATTGGGCTTCGAATTGCTTCCACACCCACCGTATTCTCCAGATCTGGCCCCCAGCGACTTTTTCTTTTTCTCAGACCTCAAAAGGATGCCCGCAGGGAAAAAATTTGGCTGCAATGAAGAGGTGATCGCCGAAACTGAGGCCTATTTTGAGGCAAAACCGAAGGAGTACTACCAAAATGGTATCAAAAAATTGGAAGGTCTTTATAATCGTTGTATCGCTCTTGAAGGGAACTATGTTAAATAATAATAACGAATTTTGACAAAAAAATGTGTTTTTCTTTGTTAGACCGGGGACTTATCAGCCAACCTGTTAAATAGAGTAATTAACCCTTTTCATAAGCACAAAACTATTTCGAAATTGAAAGCATACACCCATTTCCCCACTATATAGATTCCAACACTTTAAACAAAGTTGTCTAGTGCTCTTATTTGATTATGGAGATATCCGTTGACACCTTCTTCACTCACCTCAATTCGTTGCTAGCCCCTGGTCTGGGCTAATGGCTGTTCGATTCAGTTTCTGTTGTTGTTTCGCAGATAGTGGAGAAATGTGAGTTGTTGTTTATCGAAAGTTGTTTGCTGTGTGTGCTGGTGCGCCCGTGTGTTTGGTGTGTGTTTGAAGGCAGTAGTAGTGTTAAAGGTAATCGTTGTTGTTGCGTTGCTTGTTTCTTCGTTGCTTGTTGCGGTTGTCGTTTGATTTTGATTTGTTTAGAAGATCTGCAAATAGAAGAGCAGAGCGAGCGAACGGTTAAAACTGCGAGCTGCAGACATCGTTGGGGAAATGGGAATGGGAAAATCTCTCAAGCCGCGCCACGCTAGCCACTCCAAACTGAAAACGCACAAGGCATTTTTCCTGTTTTCATTTTCCATATTAGCAGCGCTCGACCTCGGCGATGAGGATGATCATGATGATGGGTGGAAGAATAGTCTCTGCTAGAGTCTGTTAGGTGGGGCATCTGGAGGAGAAGAAGGGGGCCCCTGCACATATATGGCTAGATGTTGGCATTGCGGTTAATGCCACCAAGGCAGCCGGAGCACGGCCACCGATATGTGCGCACATAGAATACCATTCCAAGAATGCTGCACCAGACTTTTCCATTAGCGTTCGCACATCGCCAGCGACTTTTGTTTATAGCAGCAGAAAATATCAATCAACACCCAAAAGCCCAAAAGAGTGCATCATCCATGAAGGAGGCAGAGGATCGATCGACTGGAGAGTTGTCAGCTGCAGCTGGCCAGGAATGCGGCTGCTGCGGTCTTCCATTTCTGGCCATTAACCCAAGGAAAGTCATACTGCCACAGTCTATTTGCCTAACAGCTACTGTATGTGGTTTTTGGAATAGAAAAATGAGGTCTTTGAGGGGATATTTAAGGTATACAATGAATGGTATTCATGCAGATTTATATCCTGATTTGCCTAAGAATCTATTATCTCTCCTTTAAACCGATAAAAAGTGCTCTCTAAAGGTCTTAACAAGTCACTTCTACGAAAATATCTGTATAATTTCACTCAAAAATATCTCCACTGATCATTCACTGATTGAAATATTTGTAAATTATTAACAATCGTGTGACATGGGTCTAGACCAGGTTAAGACTCCCCCTCAAAGCTCATTCCCAACATACAGGTGCAGGTCAGCCCTCAACTCATTGGCAAGACAAAAGCCAACGGCATGGCGTGGGCGTGAATGCCCCCCTGCTGATCTCCTGGCCCCTATTCTAGATTCAATGAAAGCGAAATGCGATTGTGGGCGTTGTTGGACAAGTTTCAGTGCTTAGTGGGTCGCCGGCTGATTGAGTTTATAAAATGCTACACGCTACACTGTTCACGGTACATGGGCCAGGCCATTGAGTGTGTGTATGCTGTTCTTCGCGGAGCAATCAAAATTACAAAACGATAGCGTCACGTAGTTATGGCGAACACAATCTGAGACCTTGGCACGATTCTGCCATGCGGCCAGATGTCAGGCTAGGTGCTCCGGCACGTTCTACAATGCCGTAGCTACCGCGAGCAGCTGCAAAGGGTTCCGAGTGTAGAAGTTTATGGCCAAGACAGGCGACACTTCAGGGAAACATTTGGATGGGTTTATTGACCCGAGCCCAAGGGGGAATATGTGATGATGATCTTTCACGTCACATATGCAATCATAACTCTTCTCTGGAAAATGTGAGCAGAGATTTATGTTATCTTTTGAAGGAACAACATTTTCATATAATTTTGTTTGTAGGAAAGAGTTTTTTGCTTTTTTCATAACAAATTGAATATTTTTAATTGAATTATTTTGTATATTATATTTTCAAGCTATACTTTATTCTACTACACTTTATTCATTTCAAATTTGTGAGCCAAAGAGACTCAATTTCATGACATCACTCTTTTTTATTCAAAACATTCATCAAAGATGTTGATCAATAATTACATCACATATTAGCCAGAAATTCCTATAAAAGTTCGACTAATTAATAACTAAATCTTCATTATTAAATTAAGCTTTTAAATTAGCTGTCCGTCAAAAATCACCCATAACGCACCCACACGTAGAGACACACAAAATAATACCTCATAAGATATATATTCGAACGTAGGTGATGACTACATATGCAAGTGCTTAAATCAGCTTCCAATGCTATAAATCACATCACACACTGGGCAATACAGAAAAATAAGAAAAAGAGAAAGGAGATTTTAAATAAACTGCCAAAGAAAATTCATCGTAAAATGTGTTGAAAAAAAGGCCATACGAAAAAAGTTCCCTCTAACGATAAAGGCAAAACAGATTTTAATTAAACCGAAACAACATTCAGACCTCATGCTAGAGATGTGCCCAATCCCACATCCATGCTATATATATGTAGAGGGAACGCTATAAATACCCAGCAAAAACGAGAACTTTCAAGGTAAA